TGCCGGGTGAATCGCGTCCAGGTCACACATCGCAGGCGACAGTACGTCTCAAAAACCCAAAGGTCGGTTAGAATCGACTATTAATCCCCACACACACGCACATCTAGCCCCTATGCAAGTTAGTCCCCCCAGGAGCTAGGTCCAGTTAGTTCCCACAAGTCCAGGTCAAGTCAGTCCCTCCAGATATAGGTCAGGTCTGTCCCAGAGCCATTGCGTCAGGGTCACTACCAACAGTTACAAGGTTAGGTCAGTCCCACCAGCTATTATGTCAGGTCAGTCCCACCAGCTACTACGTCAGGTCAGTCCCCAAAAGCCAGTACGTCAGGTCAGTCCCACCAGCTACAAGGTCAGGTCAGTCCCAGCAGAACCTACGTCAGGTCAGTCCGCAGGCTGCACAGCACAGCCGGCTGCTGTCTGCTAAGCGTAGGCAGCATGTCCACTGTCCAAATTGACTTCTGATAATGGCTTCCTGTTAGGACCAAGCTCAACTACAATCCCCCAAAGGAAGATGGGTCTACATACAGAATCGAGCTGCAGGGGGTCTCCATGGCCACCATGAAGCAGATCCTGGACTACATCTTCAGTGGTGACGTAAGTATGGATTAGATAAGTAAGCACGGGAGGTAAATGTGTGCCGCTCTCTCCCCGTTGGTTCGTGGTTGGATGGATAATAATCGTGGATAATCCAGTTGGCCCGTCCTTCACACACAGATCACGTTGAGTGAGGAGACCATTCAGGACATGGTCCAGGCGTCCGACATGCTCCTCATGACCGACCTCAAGAACCTGTGCTGCCAGTTCTTGAAGAGCTGCATCACTGCAGAAAACTGCATCGGCATCCGCCACTTCTCTCTGCACTACTGCCTTCACCACGTCCACTACGCCGCCACGGAGTTCCTGCAGACGCACTTCAGCGACGTGGCGCGCACCGAGGAGTTCAGGGAGTTGCCCCCAAGCCGGCTCTGCGAGCTGCTGGCGATGGAGAAGCTGAACGTGGGCAACGAGAAGCACGTCCTCGAGGCCGTGTTGCAGTGGTACGCACACGACCCCGTGGAGCGCAAGGTGGGTGATGCTTCACCTCAAGTTCGGCGGGAAGATAAAGTCGGCTTATTTTTGTTTCAACTGATTAGAATACGCGTCATGCGACATGCACGACACTGTTGAGGTAAATGTCATTGATTGCTCGTTGGAGTTTTATATTTATATATATTAAAGTTGATCTTTTTAATGACATTTTAAAAGACACGTTGTAGCATTCAACATCGGTAAAATTGCAACGTAAGTCACAAACCTTGCTCTTTTAAGGTGCGCTACATTTAAATATATATTTCTAGGTAAGCTGTTTTACGGCATCGCACCCGTAGTCCGTCGTCCTTCAAACCATTTAGTAAGTTGTGTAGACGTATGTTCTTTCTCGGCATGAGAGATTCCTTTTATTAGTCCCACAGTGGGGAAATTCACAGGATCGCGGCACACGAGATACGTGGTTAAAAACAACAAGCGCAGCAGTAGTCAGTAAGTAGGTAAAGAAATGTATAATAATGATAGACGAAATAAAGATAAAAGCAGTGCAAAGATCACTAACTGAATCTACTAGGACCTAAATAAATATAAGCATATGTAGACATAGTTTCCCCCAGTGGATAAATGTGTTTGATATCACTGCGCCCAGAAATTTCAAATAATTCAAATGATTTATGTTTTTTTTAAAGAATGAGGAGGCAAGACACCCCAACCCCTAATTGCTCCCCGGGCAAAAATGTAAAAAGCCATGGGTTAAAAATGTAATTGTAAGTCGCTTTGGATAAAAGCGTCAGCTAAATCACCTGTAATGTGATGTAACAATATTGCCGCTTGGAATGAGACGTTAGCACTAGTATGTTTTAATATAGCAGGTATCCACTTAAATTAGGCCCTCAATTAGATATCATTTGTGTGTAGTGTGTCAAAAAGAATCATTATTGGGCTTAAATATGCACATCAATGCTGCCGCCAGATGTGGAAAGGTTTTTTTTTTTTATAGGACGGTGATTGTCAATGTTAAGTTTCCATGTTAAGCGGATTGTTCCATTCCGGCAGGTCCACATGACGGAGGTGATGTCCGCCGTGTGGCTGCAGGGCCTGGACGTGAGCTACCTGAGGGAGCAGGTAGGACCCCCCCCCTCACCTCCCCCCCTCTCCCCATGTAATCCACCACATGCGGGAGGGGAGTGACTTCTATGCGCATGCCGTCCCACCAGGCTGTGGGGGAGCCGCTGACGAGGGAGGTGATCACGGAGCACTGCCAGCAGGTGCTGTCGGACGGCCCGCTGCAGGGCGAGGCCATGCTCGCCGCCTTCAAGCCGCGAGGTTACTCCGAGTGCATTGTCATCGCCGGAGGGGAGGATCGCAAGTGAGTCGCCGCCGTCGTCGCGTCCGTCTGTCGATGGAATCGCGTGCGTTGAGATGTCTTGATACGCGACAACACCGTCCTTGTTATTATAATCCCGCCTTAACTGACATTTCGTACACATACAATGATTTTAGTCGCATCGCGCTTTTTATCCTTCAGCGTGGCCGGAAACGGCGTTTTTAACGCTCTTTGACGCCCAGTGTTTGCACCCCTGCAGAAGCAGGAAGCCCACCGCCGTGACGCGCTGCATGTGTCCGCTCTACGACGCCAACAGACAGGCCTGGATCGAGCTGCAGCCCATGAGCGGCGCCCGCCTCGGCCACGGAGTGGTAGCCGCGGGTCTGTGCTGGCGAGAAACCCCCCCCCCCCACCTGTCAACACCTGTCACGTGCTACCCTTTTGATAGCGAAGGGGTCGCGGTGTCACGCCAGTGTAATAACGTTGTGTTTCCCGTCTGTTAGAGGGCTTTTTGTTTGCGATGGGCGGAGCAGATGAACACAACACGGTCCTGGACAGTGGAGAGAAATATGACCCCGACTCCAACAGCTGGAGTCCCATCCCGCCGATGCTGCAGGTACACTTCCCCTTTCCAGCAGCTAAAACGTAGCACGCAAACATCAAATACCCACCGAAATGATCACGCTTGCTTTTTTGAATCTGCTGCTTTTCATAATTTTGAAGCGGGATCATTCCTGCAGCCATGTTGCACTTCTCCTTTATGGCCACTGGGTGTCAGCAGTTTGCTTCCGACGATGTTAAGGGGCGTGCGTGAGACTTCATTGTAGCGTAGAAGAACGTGTGATTTGAGTCATATATATAATGCAAACCCATACCTCAAACGCAACTCCAAAAAACGCCGTTGGAGCCATGGAATGCATGGAATGCATGCGAACTCGGTGTCATAGCTGTGCTAGTTTGTGCACATGGAGGAGTGTGCGCGTGTGACGCTGCTGTGGTCGGCTCACCTCGTCTCCAGGCGCGTCAGAGCTTCGGCGCGGTGGAGCTGGAGGGTCTGATCTACGTTCTCGGAGGAGAGAACAAGGACGGCGAGCTGATCACCGTCGAAGTGTTCGACCCCCACTTCAGCACCTGGAAACCTCAGACCAGTATGACCATGATCCGCAAGGTGACAAACCCCAGCGTCCTGACTTCCCTGTGCAATGCAATGCTGTAGATGTAATTCTGTCTCATATTGAACAGTAAGCAAACGTCAGCCTGCGACTTGTTTAGCCGTACCTGTCGTCCCCGTCAGGTCGCCTGCTACGCCTCCATGAACAAGAAGATCTATGCCATAGGGGGGGGCTCCTACGGGAAGCTGTACGACTCCGTGGAATGCTTTGACCCGAAGATCCAGCAGTGGACAGGCCTCTGCCCTCTGAAAGAGAGACGGTGAGCACAAAACCCAGAAGACGGCGGTCTTCTCTTCACGCCACCGTCTCGATGACGTCCGTTTCCATGTACAAACCTTCAGCCCAAAGGCTGTGACTTTCTACTTCTATGTATTGCGCAACAGAAAACGGGGCATGCCGGCAGTCCCGGGACTGTCGTTTTTAGTTTCGGTACGATTTCCTTCAAATTTGAAGCGACGAGGGAGGATGTTGAGTCACAGCGTGACGATTAGTCAGCGCAAGTTTGAGGAAACGGCGTTCAGTCGCTGCTGTCCGTCGTCTCCTTTTCAGATCATTGTGAGCAAGTCAGCTGATCCGGTAACTAAATGGCCCTGAAGTGCATCTATGGGACAAAATGCCATGATTTGGGATTTCACAAATCACAGAATCCAATTTGCTGGCCGAATGTAGACACTCCTGTCCTGATTCCTTGTTTCCCCCCTCCCGCCCTGGTCAGGTTTGGGTCGGTGGCGTGCGGCGTTGGCCAGGAGCTCTACGTGTTTGGCGGCGTTAGAAGCAAGGAGCAGGACAACCCCGAGCAAAGGCAGATGCTGACCTGCAAGTCTGAGTTCTACCACGACGACATGAGGAGGTCAGTGCGGCGAAAGGCTGCGTCTTCTGCAGCGACTTGCAAATAAATACCACAGTTCGATTCCTACATCAATGCTGCTGCTGCTACTTTCCCACGGGGGGGGGTCTACGCTCATTGTTAACCTTGGAAAACAGGGGGCATTCAGTTTATCGCAAGTGATTTCCTGTTCAGGGGGCCAATTCTTCTTCAGCGACCAGAACACAAAATACTTGTTTTTTCCATTAGCTTTATCTAATGCAGCTTCCAATAAGTGCACTCGGCCAACCGGAGACAGACCCCCGGAACAACTAGAATCATGGTTGTGGCCTGTGGTTGTTAACAGGCCGATTTGAGGCCGGGTTTAGGGGACGAGGGTGGATTTCTAGTTGCGGTCCTTCACGCGAGCTCGGACCCGTTGGATCGATCCGCAGCGTAAAACAAACAGAAGTACAAATTAACACATTTTCAAAAAGAAAAGTGAAATACGTTCTGCAATAATATCGCCATGTTATGCAATTCGTCCTCAACACACAGCTGTTGCTTGTCAGACGCAATCAGACGGACGGCGATAAAACGCCACGATGCCGTCACAATGCGTAATCACGCGAGACGGCTGATCTTGCGCTCTGAGAAGACACAGCTTCCAAACGCGCCTCGACCCCCCCCTGACGCCGATGTTGGCCCAGACCCCCCGTCCCCGATCCCCAATCATTGCCGCCAGTCTCTCATCAAGAGGGGACAGCTCCGGTGTCCCCTTTCCCACCCGGGGCAGACACACCTTGGCGATGGCGTCCTAAACGCTTCTTTGCATCCACTTTGATGTCAGACCATTTTTTCTTTATTTGGGCCACGGCCCGAGGTTGTGAGGCTGCAGCGTTGCCGTGGTGCCTCTTTGGCGTCAGTGACGTCCACACTGTGTCCTCCAAAGAGCATTGACTCTCCTTTCACTCGCCAATGAACGTTTCACTTCACACTCAGTGAAGCTAGAGCAATAAGTCACATGACTTCTCCGTCTGGGTGTTGAAGCACCGAAGGGGAAGCAGAGGGGCGGTTCTAGGAAGCGGACGGGTAGAGAGCGAAGAACTCCACTGGGGAGATGTGTGAACCAGTAGCATCTCCCCTCCCCTACTTTTTTTACAACATACGAGTCACTCAACAAACCATTGACGCTGCTCTCCCTTTGGACAGACGGTTAAACTCCCGTCTGCGTTGCCCGATGAACCATGTGGTATCTGCTGTTTTGCGATGGGCGCAGGTGGATGTTGCTGGATGACCAGAACCTGTGCATTCAGACCAGCTCGTCCTTGTCTGCGGCGCCGTGCCCGTTGGAGCCAGCGTCTATGTGCTGGGAGACCTGGACACAGGTCAGTAAGGGAGCCAGCGAGGACAACGGGCTGCCATTCCGGAGACGTCGCCTTGCGACTGCGCGTCTTGACGAGGTCACTGTGTGAATCCCGTTTTTTTTTCTCGCACAGGGACCAGCTTCGACTACATCCGGGAGTTCCGCCGCAGCACCGGCACGTGGCACCACACCAAGCCCATGCTGCCCGGCGACCTCTCCAAAACGGCCTGCGCCGCCCTGCGCATCGCCAACTGTCGACTGTTCCGCCTCCAGCTGAGCCAGGGCCTGTTCCGGATCAGAGTGTGATTCGGTGTGACTACCCGCTCCCCGGTCTGACTTTGGGGGTTTCACCAACACTTGCGAGGTCTAATTGCGACACGACAAAACACAAACTGTTTTATTTGTTTTTGTTTTTTCTAACATCTGTTTATTTTTCCGTTATATCGTGGTGGTGTTTTTTTAATTCATATGTAATGTTTACTCGGGGGGGGGGTGGGGGTTTATCTTGTTGCTTGGTGAGAGATTTCATATCATTACCATTTCAAAAACACTGTAATTGTAAAATCGAGGAACAACACTATCAATCATCCTGACGTCTTCAACCGCTGCTGTGAAGGTCAAAGGTTGAACATGTTTTAAGTTGCATAAATCTTTAGTGGGAAATGAGACTTTGGAGTCAGTCCCCTAGAAGCAGAGTGATGGGGGTCATATAGTAGATTATGGATTTGATTCGTGGAGGTTACTGAAGTTATCAGTGTTACCAGCAAAGTGTCGTCTCACGCTGGCTCGGTGCACCTGGTCTGCGCGGCGAGCGTCTTTCTAGACACATTATTGAGTTTATTACCGAGTCGCAGCGTTCACCAGTGTCACACGTGGCTTTTTCAAACGCACTTTGCCTTCACTTCCTGTTTGTGTTCCAGTGGATGTGCTCAAAATGATGTAGACATTGAGATTAGTCTGAATTACCTCGCAAAGCGAACTGCGGCCGACGAGCCGCGGACAACAACGGCCGGACTCGGGACGTGCTGCAGATCCCTGGAGGTCCCTCCCTCTGTGATTTCGGTGCGTGCGCGGCGTTCGTGTCGGTTAAAGTCGTGTCCTCTGGTTCCTGCGTGAACGGCTGGATGGTGACGCGTAGCGTAGAAGAGCAGTCCGATGCCGTAAATCGAACGCGCGCTGCGCAAAGCGAGTGACGCGACTTCGGGGGTTCGCTCGTACCGTTTCCTGCTGACGGGCGCGTCGGGTGGCGGGATCACGTGTTTTCTTTGATTCGGAGGTGACTGGCAACGTCTCACCACGTGTCGTGCTTTTAGGTTTCTTTAGTGCAAAAGTTGTTCCTGGAAATATTGTTGTTAAATATTTAAAGAAAATGTTCCAGATCCATTTAGATTGATGATAACACAATAAGGAAGCGGAGAGGGGACGTATGTATTGGGGGGGGGGGGGGAACTGTCCATTTTTTAAATCCGCGTTGATCACACGGATTCATTGCATCACTTAGTTTTGCACTTAAGGGGGGGGAGAGAAGTTCCTGATTCAACGCGAGGAAGAAGCTTTTGCTAATTATTCCTGTTCCTCCCGGTGGAGGGAGGCCCGCTTTAGTCGTCCCTGACGGGAATGCTCGTTTTCACTTTTGGTCACTGCCGAAACCGTTTTGTGAAAGCGAAACCCGACTCACTGCGTCGCTTTCCAAAAAAAAAGAGGCTGAACGCACAAAAAAGCTGCACACTACGGATGGATCTGACGCATTATGTTTTTAAAAACATGAGGCAACCAAACGTGTTGCATTGCTCATACTTTCTGCTGTTCGTTTACAACCGATCGTGCAAATCATTGGAGCGGCCGGTGCCGCTGTGCTGTCGTCAAACCTGCAGAAGAAGAGTCAGACTGAAAGAAAAGAATAGGGAGCGTTCCGCCGAGGCCGCGAGGACCACTTCCTCGTTCCGCATTGACGCTTAATCGTCCTTAAAATGTCTCGGCGGGAGTGGAGTCATTTACGGTAAAGGACGGGCCGAGCTGCGGTTGAAAAAAACCGTCAACCGTTATTAACAAATGACCTCATCAGTTCAAATCAGTCAAACCCTCGATTGCGAAGCACATTTCTTTGACGTTGTCATGGTGACGTGGCATGTCCCATCTGTATTCACGCCGTTTTCAGGCACTCACGGGTGATGCGGGTCAAGTCCCTCGGGGGTCAGGGGTCAGGGTCAAGGGTGGGAACACTGGGATTGGGCCTATGAGCCTCATTCGTTCACGCCAAAGGAAATAAAACAATGTGATCAACTCCCTGCCTTCTGTTTCTCTCTGGGTAAACGGTCGCCATCGGTCACATTCATATTAGTATTCCTGCTATTACCATTCACTACAGTAACACTTTCTATGATCATCTGATATCACTACCGCCATCCTTTTAATATTGACCACTTGTTATTTCTTGTATTTGGGCCCTTCCTCTGTTACTATTACAGCGGCTCTACCGTGACTGTTGTTTCTCTTTAGAAGCACGAAGAAGTGTCTCAACATCACTTTTGTTATGTTTTCATGATCAGTGCCTTCTGTGTGGTTCTCAAATGTGCAAAATGAAATAAAAATGCAAACGCTCCCGCTTTCCCGGACCAGAGTGAATGCGTAATCTCGCCGCCTGGTCCTCTGTCTTCCCCCCAGGGCCATTTCGCCGTTCTCGCTCGAGGGATTTGCTTCTCCGCGTGTCGAGGTTTTGATCTACTTCCTTTACTTTTGCTTGCTGTTTACACGCCACGGGTTCGGGGAAACGTCGACAGAAGACGTCCGCAGTGACAAATCACAATCAAGTCTAACTTGCGCTACAACCGTTTCACTGCTTCTTTGCGTCACCGACAGTAAACGCGCGGCATTCATAAAGCACTTTTACATTTGTCCTCCCTGCAGGCTCCTCTTTGCAAGGTCAGCGTCTTTTTTTTTCCCAACTGTCGCTTGGCAACCACCGAAGGAGCTCTAACATTAGCCCGCCACAAATCTTGAACTTTAAACTAGCTGTTGGTCCAGTCTATTAGTCCCAGTCAACGGAAAGAACTTCAGTGTGGCTTTCAATCACCTCGGTAAAAGTCGTACGCAGCAGCTCCACGATGAAAACGGAGCGCGTGGAGTGAAGTCGGGGGCACGTGTCCGCGTTGAAGAGGCCCGTGCGCCTGATATGTGACAAGAAAATAAAGCTTTCTTCAAACTGACGTCCTCCTCGTCTCTTTCCTGAATAAACAGGATTATTATCTCCGTTACCTGCGTAACACTATTCCACTGATTAAAGGGCTTCGCAAACACCCGTAAAACCTGTTCTTCAAAAAGGTCGACAATAAACTCCTCATTGCGCGGAAAACAGCGCAAGCGTTATTTGTTCGTGGTGATTCGGTCACGCCTTCAAACTCCTGGCAGGTCAGGTGACAAAAACGAAGTCTGTCTCGATGAGTTGTGTTTCTCCAGAGTTTGAATGAAGTGTACTCTGGTGAAAATGACTATCGCCTGACTGGAGAGCACATCGAGTATATGTTCAGGTCAGTGTTGGTCACACGGGAGCCGGAAGAAGAATAAGATGAGCACGTGTCCCCTGGACAAAGTCGTCTTTCCCGGGAGAACGTGTGGATTCCCACTAAAGGTAAAAGCCAGATGTAAGTGGATGTTACAGGGTTTGGTGATTCATCTAGAGGTTTCTTCCCATGGAGCAGAAGAAGAAATAACTAACTACAATTGTATTAAAAGTCCAGCTGGAACAAAGTGCTAAAAAAAGATTAAGAATTCGACCAGCCACTGCTGCTGACCCGTCCTGCCCTTTCTTCTCGTTTCCGGTTCCGTTCCTTAGCGAGGTGTCCAGTCCGTCTCGTTCCTCTCCTCGTTTGCACCCCGCCTGCTCGTTCGCTGTCTGGCCGTCCTCTCGCTTGATTTCCCGCGGCTTCTCCTGCCCGTGGCTTCCGCTTTCATGCCGTGCTCAGTGTCCTTTATAGCAGCTGTGTTAATTGGAGAGGGGAGGTCCTTTCATTGTTTAATGTGGTTGGCCAGAGCTCTCTGTAACTGATTAGTCCCTCCAGGTGCATGTAGTTTACTGAAAGGTGGGTTAATACAAACCATGCTAAAATGTAATAAAACAAACCATGCTAAAATGTAATAAAACAAGCCATGCTAAAATGTAATAAAACAAGCCATGCTAACATGTAAAAAAACAAACCATACTAAAATGTAATAAAACAAACCATGCTCAAATGTCATAAAACAAACCATGCTCAAATGTAATGAAACAAACCATGCTAACATGTAATAAAACAAACCATGCTAAAATGTAATAAAACAAACCATGCTAACATGTAATGAAACAAACCATGCTAAAATGTAATAAAACAAACCATGCTAACATGTAATAAAACAAACCATGCTAAAATGTAATTCAACAAACCATGCTAACATGTAATGAAACAAACCATGCTAACATGTAATAAAACAAACCATGCTAACATGTAATAAAACAAACCATGCTAAAATGTAATTCAACAAACCACGCTAAAATGTAAAAAAAAACAAACCATGCTAAAATGTAATGAAACAAACCATGCTAACATGTAATGAAACAAACCATGCTAAAATGTAATAAAACAAACCATGCTAACATGTAATAAAACAAACCATGCTAAAATGTAATTCAACAAACCATGCTAACATGTAAAAAAACAAACCATGCTAACATGTAATAAAACAAACCATGCTAAAATGTAATAAAACAAGCCATGCTAAAATGTAAAAAAACAAACCATGCTAAAATGTAAAAAAAACAAACCATGCTAACATGTAAAAAAACAAACCATGCTAACATGTAATAAAACAAACCATGCTAAAATGTAATAAAACAACCATGCTAAAATGTAATTCAACAAACCATGCTAACATGTAATAAAACAAACCATGCTAAAATGTAATGAAACAAGCCATGCTAAAATGTAATAAAACAACCATGCTAAAATGTAATGAAACAAACCATGCTAAAATGTAATAAAACAAACTATGCTAAAATGTAATAAAACAAACCATGCTAAAATGTAATAAAACAAACCATGCTAAAATGCAAAACCAAATCATGCTAAAATGTAATGAAACAAACCATGCTAAAATGCAAAACCAAACCATGCTAGAAAAAAATATAACAAACCAATAATTTACAGAAACCACAATGTCCCGCTGGTGACATATTTAACGCTCAATCAAATCATGTCCTTATTTGCTTGAACCCAACTTCTCTTCTTTGTTTCTTTCTTTGTGGGCACGGCCATGCCGGTTATGCTTACAACGCTGAGTAGATGTAAATGTGCGCGTTGGCGGTTTGAGAAGCGACGGAGAGTTGGGTTTCGAGTACCGAAGCATCCAGGATGAAGGCGATGAATATCTGCAGAGGTGTGGCGGGTTGCGCTTATCTCTCTGCGCGGGAACTCAACATACCTGAATCCAAACCGGATGCGGTGGAAATTTCGTTGCCCGTAGAGGCCGCTGTGGTCCGTTGCACATTACAATCTGATGACCACAACAAAGGGGCTCAGCCCAAGGCCGTAATAGTGTTAACTTTTAAAGCTTTAACTTAGTTTTTGTTATAGTCAGCGCTAACTGTGTTTGAAAGGCAGGAATGTCAATGTTTCATTGTAAATGTCAAATGTGTGTGTTCTGATAAGCGGCCTGAGTCGAGGGGCATTTACAACCACAGGCGAGACAGAATAGTCTGAGAAGAATGAAAGTAAGAGAAGAAGTGGTCAGATGGCCCAGACCTTTAACCAGGAATGGACCGACTCTTATAAGTCAGTTCTTCCTCCAGCGTGTCTCATCTGTCCAAAGCCCATGACGGTAAAAGGTCATGTGAAGCTCCACTATGAGACAAAGAACAACAGAAATACAGCGACATGAGAGCCACATTCATCACTGCCCAACACTGATGTTAACAGGGAGGAATAGATGTGAAGTGGTTTGATAACCACAGATAACGTCACTGCACACAAAGTTCTCTTTGTAGAAGGACCGAATAATATCATTTTGCGGCTTTTTGGATTCAGTTCACCCTGAATAAACTGAATTGAAAGCTGTGGGACAATTCAGTTCAATCCATTTTTCTAAAATCAATCACTATATTTTCAGATGCACATTTTTTAAACAGCTTTCTATTTTTAATCCAGTCCTCATTTTACTTGAAATGAGGGAATATGTGTAATTTATTATTAGATTACATACTATTTTTAATTCATCCAGTTCAGTTTGAAGAAAGGGAAATAAAAATTGTCGAGGTATTGTTCAACTAAATATTTTAAATAATACATAAAGACACAACTACTTGGCTTCTTCAGCGTATGAAGGTTGTTCTGTCCATCCTGACAGACGGATCCTCCTCTGCTGGTTTCTAAGGTTTCGTTTTCCATGTTGAAGTTTTTCATGTGCTGACGAGAAGCTTCTTGGACGGATTATGTCGCACGTACAGACTGTAAAGCCCTTTGAGGCAAATTTGAGATTTGGGATTTTAGGCCATACAAATACATTTAATTTTAATCTAATATACTTGTTCTATGCTTGCTGGAAGCCATTTACATTTCAGAGAAGACAAAAGTGTTGCTCGTTTGTGAACATTACTTGAATGAAAGAAAAAACGTGTGAGAATCACAAAGATTGGAGCGATCTTACTGTTGGATTACAGAAATACATAACCGGTGTAGCACAGAGAGGTCAAAGAAGACACTCGAGTTCAAGTGTTTCCTTTGTTGGGTGGTGATATACAACCGAAAACTGAAAGTAAAACTGAAATCACCACATTTTTACACGGCACTGTTTGAACAAATGTTATTATTTTTGTACCGTTTTTATTGCTTCTGCGTATTTTTGTTTGTATGTACTGTTTATTGTTTGTAATTGATGTTGTTCACTGCTGCCGGTTGGCTGAGGATTATCAAACCAAACGTTGTTGATTCACTACAATGACCATAGAAAATAGTTATGGAAGCAAACATGTGGATGAGATATGAACCGTGTAGAAGAGGGTTCTAGTTAGTTATATAAACTAACATGTGGATGAGTTATGAGCCATGTAGCAGAGGGTTATAGTTAGTTTATATAACTAACATGTGGATGAGTTATGAGCCATGTAGAAGAGGGTTATAGTTAGTTATATAAACTAACATGTGGATGAGTTATGAGCCATGTAGAAGAGGGTTCTAGTTAGTTATATAAACTGACATGTGGATGAGTTATGAGCCATGTAGCAGAGGGTTATAGTTAGTTATATAAACTAACATGTGGATGAGTTATGAGCCATGTAGTAGAGGGTTCTAGTTAGTTATATAAACTAACATGTGGATGAGTTATGAGCCATGTAGCAGAGGGTTCTAGTTAGTTATATAAACTAACATGTGGATGAGTTATGAGCCATGTAGCAGAGGGTTATAGTTAGTTATATAAACTAACATGTGGATGAGTTATGAGCCATGTAGCAGAGGGTTATAGTTAGTTATATAAACTAACATGTGGATGAGTTATGAGCCATGTAAAAGAGGGTTCTAGTTAGTTATATAAACTAACATGTGGATGAGTTATGAGCCATGTAGTAGAGGGTTCTAGTTAGTTATATAAACTAACATGTGGATGAGTTATGAGCCATGTAGAAGAGGGTTCTAGTTAGTTATATAAACTAACATGTGGATGAGTTATGAGCCATGTAGTAGAGGGTTCTAGTTAGTAATATAAACTAACATGTGGATGAGTTATGAACCGTGTAGAAGAGGGTTCTAGTTAGTTATATAAACTAACATGTGGATGAGTTATGAGCCATGTAGTAGAGGGTTCTAGTTAGTTATATAAACTAACATGTGGATGAGTTATGAGCCATGTAGTAGAGGGTTCTAGTTAGTTATATAAACTAACATGTGGATGAGTTATGAACCGTGTAGAAGAGGGTTCTAGTTAGTTATATAAACTAACATGTGGATGAGTTATGAGCCATGTAGAAGAGGGTTCTAGTTAGTTATATAAACTAACATGTGGATGAGTTATGAACCGTGTAGAAGAGGGTTCTAGTTAGTTATATAAACTAACATGTGGATGAGTTATGAGCCATGTAGAAGAGGGTTCTAGTTAGTTATATAAACTAACATGTGGATGAGTTATGAGCCATGTAGTAGAGGGTTCTAGTTAGTTATATAAACTAACATGTGGATGAGTTATGAGCCATGTAGAAGAGGGTTCTAGTTAGTTATATAAACTAACATGTGGATGAGTTATGAGCCATGTAGTAGAGGGTTCTAGTTAGTAATATATAACTAGCATGTGGATGAGTTATGAGCCATGTAGTAGAGGGTTCTAGTTAGTTATATATAACTAACATGTGGATGAGTTATGAGCCATGTAGCCGAGGGTTCTAGTTAGTTATATAAACTAACATGTGGATGAGTTATGAGCCATGTAGTAGAGGGTTCTAGTTAGTTATATAAACTAACATGTGGACGAGTTATGAGCCATGTAGAAGAGGGTTCTAGTTAGTTATATAAACTAACATGTGGATGAGTTATGAGCCATGTAGTAGAGGGTTCTAGTTAGTAATATATAACTAGCATGTGGATGAGTTATGAGCCATGTAGTAGAGGGTTCTAGTTAGTTATATATATAACTAACATGTGGATGAGTTATGAGCCATGTAGAAGAGGGTTCTAGTTAGTTATATAAACTAACATGTGGATGAGTTATGAGCCATGTAGTAGAGGGTTCTAGTTAGTTATATATAACTAACATGTGGATGAGTTATGAGCCATGTAGAAGAGGGTTCTAGTTAGTTATATAAACTAACATGTGGATGAGTTATGAGCCATGTAGCCGAGGGTTCTAGTTAGTTATATAAACTAACATGTGGATGAGTTATGAGCCATGTAGCCGAGGGTTCTAGTTAGTTATATAAACTAACATGTGGATGAGTTATGAGCCATGTAGTAGAGGGTTCTAGTTAGTAATATATAACTAGCATGTGGATGAGTTATGAGCCATGTAGTAGAGGGTTCTAGTTAGTTATATATAACTAACATGTGGATGAGTTATGAGCCATGTAGAAGAGGGTTCTAGTTAGTTATATAAACTAACATGTGGATGAGTTATGAGCCATGTAGTAGAGGGTTCTAGTTAGTAATATAAACTAACATGTGGATGAGTTATGAGCCGTGTAGTAGAGGGTTCTAGTTAGTAATATAAACTAACATGTGGATGAGTTATGAACCGTGTAGAAGAGGGTTCTAGTTAGTTATATAAACTAACATGTGGATGAGTTATGAGCCATGTAGTAGAGGGTTCTAGTTAGTTATATAAACTAACATGTGGATGAGTTATGAGCCATGTAGTTGAGGGTTCTATTTAGTTATATAAACTAACATGTGGATGAGTTATGAGCCATGTAGCCGAGGGTTCTAGTTAGTTATATAAACTAACATGTGGATGAGTTATGAGCCATGTAGAAGAGGGTTCTAGTTAGTAATGTCAACTAACATGTGGATGACGACTCGCATCGTCATCTCCAGCGAAGTGAACCCACCGCTGGCTCCTCGGAGCCGCCTCCATGTTTTGTGTATCAGCGCGGGGGGGGGGGGGGGGCGGGGAGAGGGTGGGGCCGGTGCGTGCGCGTGTGCCTTCGGCAGAAGTGCAGCGCAGAAAAGACACGCGGCTCATCCGCTCACCTCCCCATTGACGTCAGTCCGGTGTCACGTGAACGAGCGGGGACCAATCGGCGCGGCGCTGGCGGAGAGAGCGCTGGCTGCCTGTTCCACCGAGACGTAGCGGGGGGGGCGGGAGGGGTGGGAAGTAGACGCTGAATAAAGAGGAAGCCGTGCCGCTCGGTCTGTAATGACCACAAGCACCCGCGGAGGAGACTAGCGCCCCCGCCGTCGGATACTAAGTGTCCGCGTCCCGTCCTTTCCCGTCGCGGTGGATTATTGGGTTCGGGAGGGGAGAAGGCCATGGTCCCGACCGACTGAACGGCCCTTTGCTGGCGGAGGCGGCGGCGGCGGCGGTGGAGGAGGCGAGGAGCGCGCCGTGGGGACGGTTTATGGGGCTTTGTGTGGCGAGGAAAATGGTGGATTATTTGCCCCGTGTGTCATAAAACGCTTGGATATCCTCTCGTGAAAACCGGATCGTGACCCCCCTCCCTGCGCCAGCCTCGGGCCCTGTCCGCGGCAACTCGGGTCGTGTTTTACGGTTTGGTTGGTGGGGAGCCCCCCTCCCCCTCCCCGCAGCCCCCTAGCTCGATCCGAACCGCCTCGTCCACTTGTATTTATTCCCGTACATGTAGGATCCTCGGGTCGGTTCGACACGCCCGCACCCCCCCCGTTTGGAAAACATTAAACCCGCGGATTACCGAGCGATGGATTTCACCGGCAGCGGCGGAGCCAACGACCTGCACAACAACCAGTTCTACCCGTGCGAGGAGAACAAGCCTCTGCTGGGGGAGATGTCGGAGGGGAACAACAACAACACCAAGCCGAGCGCGGGGCCCTGCAAGCGGTCCCTGCACCACTGCAGCAGCGGCGGCGGGATGCGATACAAGCTGCTGCACGAAGGGGACATCCAGGTGTGCGTGGTCAAGCACCCGCGCACCTTCCTCAGCAAGATCCTCACCTCCAAGTTCCTGCGGAGGTGGGAGCCGCATCACCTCAGCCTCGCGGACGGCAGCCTCACCTCGGCCACCGTGAGTCTCCTTCCAGCCTCCCCCCCCCCCCCCCCGCCTCCGGCTCCGGATCTGTCTTTGTCTCTCTATGCCTGTCTCTGACCCCCACTGTCTTTACCTGTCTTTGTCTCTCTATGCCTGTCTCTGATCCCCACTGTCTTTACCTGTCTTTGTCTCTCTATGCCTGTCTCTGATCCCCACTGTCTTTGTCTCTCTATGCCTGTCTCTGACTCCCACTGTCTGTATCTGTCTTTGTCTCTCTATGCCTGTCTCTGACTCCCACTGTCTTTACTTGTATTTGTCTCTCTATGCCTGTCTCTGACCCCCACTGTCTTTGTCTCTCTATGCCTGTCTCTGATCCCCACTGTCTTTGTCTCTCTATGCCTGTCTCTGACTCCCACTGTCTGTATCTGTCTTTGTCTCTCTATGCCTGTCTCTGACCCCCACTGTCTTTACCTGTCTTTGTCTCTCTATGCCTGTCTCTGATCCCCACTGTCTTTGTCTCTCTATGCCTGTCTCTGACTCCCACTGTCTGTATCTGTCTTTGTCTCTCTATGCCTGTCTCTGACCCCCACTGTCTTTACCTGTCTTTGTCTCTCTATGCCTGTCTCTGATCCCCACTGTCTTTGTCTCTCTATGCCTGTCTCTGACTCCCACTGTCTTTACCTGTCTTTGTCTCTCTATGCCTGTCTCTGATCCCCACTGTCTTTACCTGTCTTTGTCTCTCTATGCCTGTCTCTGACCCCCTCTGTCTTTACCTGTCTTTGTCTCTCTCTGCCTGTCTCTGACTCCCACTGTCTTTACCTGTCTTTGTCTCTCTATGCCTGTCTCTGACTCCCACTGTCTGTATCTGTCTGTGTCTCTCTATGCCTGTCTCCCTCTGTCTCTGTCTCTGTGTGTGTGAGACCATGCAATGTGCAGCTTTAATGTTTGTCTTGTCGTACGACGTTCACCAGCAGCCTGTTGTTGACGCAGTTAGAACGCGGCCGCCTGTCACCTCTTTCGCGGCCTCCGAGTTCTGCCGATAGCATCCGGCCTCCCTCTCCATCACTTCCGCGTGCAAGCGACCCGACCAGTTGGCCGTTTAGTGGCGTCGCTCTGCTGCTGCATCAGGTCTGTAGTTCAGCGATAATGTCATCGCGCAAGGGTGTTTTAGGCCTGCAGCCGATGCGCGCGACGGAAGGAGGGATCTCGCCTCGAATCCGGGTTCCAAACAGCCGCACCTGAAATATACAGGCGGCCTTTTCACTGCTATTCTGTTGCCAGGGCAACTGCTTCGGTTAATCCTGCTACTGCATTAGCACGCATTGCAAAAGCGCCTCGGGAGGAAATCGGGGATCCATTTTTTCCCCATAAAATGCAATATTCCAAGTTTTTTTTTTGTTTTTTTTGGACTGGCTCCGTGGAGACCACGGGCCGCCCTTTAATCAGACGATGGCGCCTCCGCTACTCACCATGTCCATGTGTCCTTGGGCAAGCTGTGACTACGGTGTGGCATCGATAGCTACTGATGGGAAGGTGTCGCGGTGTTCAGTAAATCAATGGTTGTGAATGGCTGAATGATGACATGGGGTTAACGGGATTTTAGTGGTCGGATCCACGTTCAGTGCATTCACCTTTTACACGTGTAAATCATTGACCACATATATGGACCATCCTGGGGGAATAATAGAAAAACTAATCATTAACTACAAAGTCGCATGTCTGCTAATCAAACCAATTGTAATTGTTTTGTAAGTCAGCACAATAAAAAAAAAAGCCTTTATTTCCTCCTGCGTTTTTGTCAACACCTGTGACATTTTCCACAAAGGCCGGCTCAGTGTTTTATCAATACACCTTGTCACAGGTATTTCTGGACGTGTGCCTATCACACCTAAGCTACAGGAGTGCTGAATGGCTCGGCGTGTTTGAGACTGTTATTATAGCAGGAAAGACTGGTCGAGGCAGTGGAGGGTAAACCCCCGACCCGCTGGGTCTGCTGGTCCTACTACACATCTCAATAAATCATCAGAATTCCTTTAAAAAAATAATAATAATATCGGCCTTTTATTGGGGAATGCATTCAATCATTTGGAGCGAGCCAGTCTCTTCCAGCTGCGGGGGGAAGTATCTTCCAAACAGTCCCTCTTGACTGTGGTTCAGGTCATCGTTCTCAGTAAGTGCAACACGTTGAGACGCTCTGTCAGGTGCTTTTCGGTACAGCATAGCAATACAGATTCTGTCAGCTATTCCAAGAGGTAGCTGCGTAATCAGGCGAGACATACTGTGTTTCTATGAAAAATGGCATTAATATTAGCCTACAGTACTTCCGCATTTCACTTCTGGCATCTTTCCCCCTCCCCCCCCCTCGCTGTGAGTGCACGCTTTGCAGCCCCCGCCTCCTTGTGGAGCATTAGCGCTTGTTAGTATGTTACATACATGTTACTGTAAAAGTAACGATGAAGCAGGAAGTAATTCTGAAATAATGTGTGACAGTCTAAGCAAGTTAACAGCAATACAATCAAGCAATTTAAAATAAAAGTGAACACGTGCCTCACACAAGATGATCTATCGATATCGCAAAAAACATTAATTGCGATAAACAATATTCTTGTAATTTTCAGACCATTTTTGCCACTGATTACATAATGACAATATGACATTATAATAGCATAATAATGTACAGAAAGAACGTTTTATTCCTCAGAATATTTAGACATTAAAAAATAGAAGGTGAAAAAATATATCCATGAATAAAACAAATATTATATCTATACCTTTTGTTATCAAAAAAGTGCAACACGGACCGAGCGGGGCAAAGCATGGGGCTTAATGCGATGTTCTAAGGGTTGGAGATGTTCACCCGGGAAGTTGCTGGCAGGGCCTCGCGCTCCGCGTCGGGGGGGTTGCTGGGTGGAGACGGGGCGTCTTGGTCCCACCACCTAGAAAGGCCAGCCGGAGACGAACGCAGGGCGTCGGTCCGGGAGACAAAGTTGACATACCGGCTCGCTCGGGTCTATTGGCTCTCCTCTCTCGTTCGGCTTGAAGCCAAAATGTTTCCCTGAAGATTGCGGCTTCAAACTCAGGGCGTAAAGGACAGAGGCGGCGCAATTGACTTAATGAGTGATGTTTCATCATCTACTCTAAGATCTAATGCGGGAGTACCCCAGGGTTGTATTTGGGACCTTTTTTATTATTGAGTTTATACATTATCGATTTGCTGGATGATGTGATGTTCAAGTGTATGCAGATGATGCAGCGATTTATGTTCGCAAGGACAAAGAACAAACCTAAACTGACATCCACAATGGCAAATATAACTAAATGGCTTGCAGATTGTTTGTATGTTCTTCACAAAGAGGGTTAGCACCACTGCAATATTCTCAGCAAACACCACGTCCTGAGTTGGGGGAACCTCACTCATTTGACACGGTGTGGCCGCCTCCACCTGGTGTTTTAACTAAAGAAAGCAGTCAAAGCAGCAGACGTACCGGATCTACTTCGAGAGGTGATTTATGTCATTTGCAATAGTTCAAGCTTGTTTAGCGGATCTGGATTCTCTGTGAAGGCAGCTTGCCCGTAACAACCATAAGTCTATGGATATTAGTTCCATTTCCTTTTGAGAATTTGTCGTTTTAGGCTGCCTTAAAAACATCTGGCTGGGGACAGGAGATGGAAATTAGCCACTCTAGCTCACAACTGTCTATTGGTATGCAGTGTCCCTGCAAAAAAAATACATAAATCAACATTAACACTTTATTACATACCATAATGATTACACTATTAGAAAAAAAATATATATATATATATATTATGGCTGTCAACAGACTAAAAGAACGAAAACGGAAGTAATTTTGACAGCCTTAACATAAAATAAATACTATCTAATTAAAGAGTGGTTGTTGCTGGACCTTGAAATCTGTAGTTTGGCCTCGTTTTAAAGGGACAAATGCTGTCTTAAATGATCCCGTAACGCACCCAGCGGCCGAGGGGGAAATGCTAAAAAAAATCACCCCGCTGCTTTTAAGCAATCATGTGAATCCCATCCAGCACCGGATAGGTGGTTAACATTTCTGCACGTCACTGGCGGTCAACCACAGCCTCTGAAGGCGGAAATATGAGGAAGAGGGTTTTCTGTTCTCAAGGCAAAGCATGAACGTGCATCTCCGGAGCAGCAAAGCTCTCAGTTGTGATGTGGGACCACGACCACTGCTAAGCAACGTAGCTCTGCTCTCCCCACGGACAGACGTGGCCTCCCGAGACGGAGGAGGCAAAGGAGCGTCGACAAATACTTGGGACAACTTATGAAAGAGGAGCTTTGTTTCACTTGTTTCAGTCGCAAGAAGCTCGCCGAGCCCGCTTCGCTTCTTTTTCCCAGAACGAGTAGAAAAGGACGCGATGTCTGTATTAAAGGTAATCGTATTCTAAGGCGGCGTCAACGTCCGTATATCAATAATTGCAGTGAGAGAAATTGGTGACTCACTCCTCCCTCCTTGGGTCACAGGCCTAACGTGCATCACGTCTACGTAAGAGGGGAACAGCTGCAAGCGAGCGCTTCCTGCGCTGTGGCTCGCTGACAAAAGGCCCCGAGGTGGAAGGAGTGTGGTTCGCGCCGCGAGCGTGGAGGGGGGGGGCGCTTCTAGAGAGGGGACCCTCTTTAGAAATCAATGGGGGCCCCGGGGGGCGTCTCCTGGTCACGTCTGCACCGTCTAATGACAATAATAACCAGTCTTATCTCCACCGTGGCACTCTTACTACAGCGGGTGTCAACCTTTGCTCACCGCAGAGATCTTTGTGGTGCTTGACTTGAAAAGAATGAACAAATGCCACTTCTTCGGTTTTATCGGAGCGCGTTCCCCTTCGGCTCCGCTGTCGCAGGGGCCGATACAGGAGATCATTCCTGCCCAGTGCAATAACACTCTACAATAAATCATCCCTGGCTAAATAACGACAATAACAACTGCTGTGACGCTGCTGCTCTTCCTCTTCTCCTTTTACAAATTATTATTATTGTCTCTTTTTGAAGGTTATTCTTTTGTTTCAGTTTAGTTTATTTCCAGTAGTTTGCACGATTCGGTCATTTGGTCACATCTGTTTCACCTCGTGTCAACACGATAGCACACGCCGCACTGGCACATCTTCTTGCATATTCTACATTAGCGCGTGTCCTCTAGATACGTCTCAGTGGGACCGAAACCTGCGGTTTTATTCCTCCAGAACACACAGCTTGTGTGACTCTGAGGTCTTTTAGGGGTGAGTTCTTACCTGTTTTCACATGCGTCACCGTCCCTCTGAAGCCTCACTGTGCCGTGTGCACGTTGGACCACCGGTTGCGCTGCTAGCTGCTAACTGAGCCGTGCAGATATGTTCTGATTTTTAAAAAAACGAAAACCTCCTCTTTTCAGTAGCCTTGTATGTGCACACGGTATTTCCCCTCATTAGTGGGGCTGATCGGTTTGACGGTCGGGGGGTCTGCGCGCGTACACCGACATGTGCGCGTTTTAAATGACGGCCTCCTTCTGACTCCTGTCAGTTGTTTTTGCCGGTAGAATAACCGTCCCGTGTGAGCTCACGCTGCTGTAACGCCCCACACCACAACAAACACACTGCTTTATGCGACACCCATTTCCGTGTCGACCGAACGCGCGCAAACATCAATGTGGTTCAACCTGCTGCCTCATTTAAAATGCTACAAACACGAGACTAAATTAGAGAGAGAGGCCGTGACACCGACTCACAATACATGATCTCAAACCTACTGTCATTTTTTTTTTTTTTTCTTCAAAAGGATCAACAAGTTTTTAAAAAGGCCCGCTGTAGTTTTTTCTGCACCGTCGGTCCCGCCGTTGATTTTTGAAGTCTGTTCGTAATGATGTCGTGATAGTGAACCTGATGTGTTCAAACGATAAAACCACATCCCCTAAATCCCATTTCTGGGTCCGGCGTCTACAACATTAGTGCACAGGTCATGCTTTCGTTTCTTCCCGTCCTCCTCTTTCTTTCTTTGTTGTTGTGCCCCAGAAACAATCAACAACAACCGGCATTTTCCTCCCCTTGTTTCTATGGTAACACGGCGATGAGAAGACGTGTTACCATACACACCCCCCCCCCTGAGGAAAAGCAGAACACACACAGAGGAAAAAAAAACAAAAACGCCGAGCATCTCTGCAGCACATCGCTTCATATCGTCTTCCTCATCTTACGCTTCAACGCGCTCCTGCCACGCTTGTTACTCCAGGATGCACTATTTGGCGGATAGAACAGGACAGGACAGAGATACGGACGGGCAGACAGAAGGACGGACAGGGACCCGGGCTGACGTTTGCTTTTCCAAGGAAATGAGACGTCTCGCCCAGAACCAATATTTGCCCCGGTTGTGGCCTGTAATGAAAATCCTGTAGTGTGTGTGTGTCCGAGGATGTTAGTTCATCGGGGGGGGGGGGGAGGGTGTGCAGATAAAGACAACCACCTGTCTGTTGGACTCTGGAAGCAGGTGTTATGTTCATTCATCATCATTGTCTGGATGAAAAGAAACGCTGTCTTGTCATAAGCAGACGTGCATGCGAACGTTTCTGATGGCACGTTCGACTTGCTCCACTTGTGAGTAGAACGTTAATCTTTCATGGAACAAAATTAATCAACTTGTTTACTTGTAAATGTAAAATGAATTAAAGCTCGTCGTCAAAAAGACCCCAAAAAAGAAATGGTGGGTGTGGGATTCGAACCCGAGCATTCAAAAATGGGAGATAATCACACAACGTTTGCTAACCAAACATGTATTAACTTTCTGATCAGAGGTCTGGCGGATATATTTTGCGGACTGAACACACTGAATATGTCTGCGTGCATGTGAACTTGTATGGTGGCTTCCTGAAGAGGGCAGAGCTGTGGTCACGTGACTGCACATGCCATCATTTCTCTCCAGCGAGGATGTGGACAGACGTCCAGTCATGTCGGTCACATTGGGACATTTGAGCAACTGGATTACTCATTATTATTATTATCAGCCTACTTTGCTGATAAATGACATTTGGAAGCATTGAAATCGTGTGAAGCCACTACGTCTTTAACCGTGAATGTGTGTTCCAAATTTGGTAAGGATTGGAGTCCCTCAAACGCGCCTTGGAAGAACGGGTTGCCATGGCAACAGCGTAACACTAAACAAAAAGCTAATAACTTTTAATCATCGAGTCCTTTGGGATTGTTTTGTCAAAATTTGAAGTGGCTGTGACAAAGTCCCAGAGAGGAGTTGGTCAAAGTATAGCGTCTAGAAAGTGCCAAAAATAGAGGAAATATTCACTCATGACAAATTATAACCGACTTCCTCTTTCCGTTTTAGAGCATGGCAAACTATTTGGGGTCTCCCTGTTTCTACATATTTCCCAAAATACATGTAGGTCAAACAAGGCGCTGGGGCTACTTCGTTGAAAACTGGCAGGGGGGCGCTATGGAGACCACTTTTGAGCCCAAACCCCACATCGAGTTTTTGAGATTGGCACCAAAATATCTGCTTGAACTTTCATGCGAACCGTGTCGTCGTAAAAAAATAATAATTCCCAATACTTACCGTGAACAATCATCAAAGTCCTAAGGCTTAGCTTCACAAATTTGAGGCTGGTTAGATAAAAGGTGTAAGAGTAGCTCGTCAAAGTAGGTAGCGCGATAGTTTTTACTAGGAATTTATTAGGAATAAGAAATCTCAAGAAAATCAGCCAAAATGGACGCCTGTGTGGTTTTGATCACACAGGTTTCAGGATTAATTAACCCGAACTTAATCGATTGGGTTTAAACTCTTGGAGTTTGTTTATTGATGACTCAAAAACACAATGTAAAATTGGAAAAAACAAGCAAAAACTCAGCGCGTGAGTGCGGCGCACCCTAATATTTGAAAAGATTAGGGTGCGCTTAAGGACTCGACGTGAACACATCCTAGAGATTTGGTGAGGACAAGTCAAGTACTTTTGAAGTTATAGGTATTTAACTATTAGGCCACACACCCCTTACAGCAGACTTTTTATATAAAAAATGGTGTTTGGAGGCAGAAAACAATAAGTTCAAAGTTCTTCCATCTGACCTCTCCTGCCTCGGCTACCGGGTTATTGTTTCTGTAATGTTGGCACTGAGGGAAAGTGGACTGTCGAGAGTCACACCGAGGTTCCTGGCCGTCGGGGGGGGTCATGACGGGGTTGTCAAAGGTCAGGCCGTTGGTGGGAGAGTCTCTCCATGGAAGGAAAGCGTAGTTCAGGGGGCGTGCGGCCTTCCACTGAGAGATGTCTCTTAAACAGGCTGAGGGTCAAGTTACCTGTGTCTCAGATGGGGGGGGAGGAGAAGCCATGTGAGGAGACGACAGAGCCGAGACAGTTGGTGCACAGAGAGAAGAGGAAGGGACCCAGGACAGATCCTTGGGGGACCCCGTGTGGTGAGAGAACACGGTTCAGACACAGATCCTCTCCGTGTGACCCGGTGAGCGCGGCGGCCATTGAGGTGGGAGGAGAGAAGGGAGAGAGCAAAGCCCGAGAGACCCAGTTCCTGAAGGATCTGATGTCCTCACTGTGACAAATGGTCCAGAAAGGTCAAAATGGATGAGGACAGCAGCGTTTCCCCTACCACTGAACAAAGGGAGCGCCCCGGTGACCCCTGAAGAAACAGTTGCTTCCTTCAGAGAGATTATAAAACAGCCAGTTGACAGGGAAGTGATGAGGTGGGAGAGTAAAGGAAGAAGGTCCGGGAGCAACTAGACTGGAAAATGTACGACGGGATGGGGCCAAGGGGGCAGGTGGTCGTACAGGCAGAGGTTACCAAGATGAGAACTCGATCGGGAGACAAGAGGTAGGAGGTGGATTGCGAGGATCAAGGAGGTTGAAAAGTTGAGTCTTCTGGGGGTCGCGCGGCGAGGATTGAAGTCTAGATTGGTGGAGCGAGCTTTCCACAGCCGAACTAGAGGCAGAGCGACTGGTCGGCGAGCAGGTCGTCGGTCGGACTCCCGCTGCGCTCTCTCTGCGACGCGCTCAGGCTCTTCCGTCATCGGCGGCTGCTAACAAGTCACCCGCTGACCACAATGTCCGGGAAGTCCGCTGGTGATTCACCTCCCTGCCATCCTTATCGGCAATGCTGTCCGACGGTACGGCGTCCTGTTCCGATGCGCCGTGGCCCGTCCCCGCAGACTCCTCCTGTCGGCTGCATCCACCTCCGCTTCCCACAACTGGGATCCGCCGTCATGCTTTTTCTATGCAGATGTCGGTGCGTTTGCGTGATTAATGGCTTTTGCTAAATTGCTTTTCCGCCTGGTTTTCATTATTCAATGATCCTTCACTTCGTGACATGTCAGCGCAGCTGATAAAGAGGAGTCCGTGTGCTTCCTCTTGTTTACTTAGGGCAGGTCAGCCCGGCAACAGGTTTCCTTCTGCCTTTTCCCGGCCAACTGCCAGTGAAATAAGTGCTCTTTTTTCCCTCTGGCCCGGGCTAAATATGCAGCATGTTCTGCAAATGTTCGGCGGTGGCAGACTTAACACCCTCTGGCGTTTTCCTCTCTCTCTCTCCCCTCTCAGCCCACCGGATACATGGAGACGTCCCTGTCCTACAGCTTCATAGAGGACCTGCAGCTGCTGTCGTGGGACAACGCTCCCAAGTACTGTGTCCAGCTCAGCTTCCCCGGCGGCACCGTCCTGCTGCAGGTAAGCGTCTGGAGGAGAAGCTGGCGGCGCTCAGCGGGGTTGGAGGGTGGAGGCCGGGGTTCAGTTAGACGCGTCGGTTGGCTAGCTCAGCTTATAGCGTTTGCAATAGCCACAGATAAAACCAGATATCGCCAAGTGGTAGAAAATTAGTCAAACCAGTCGAGTTTGAAGTGCAGCATAAAACCCTTTTTCTTTCAAACCAAACTTTTTATCTATTTAGGGTTCGCGTTTTCTAAATGATACGTTCCTGTTCAGTTGTGTTAAATGGAATATATATTTATGCTGAAATGACCAGCTCGTGTACGTTTAAGCTCACCAATGGATGGATATTTGTGTGTGTGTGTGTGTGTGTGTGATTCAAAGGACACTCCCTGGTCTGGCATTTCTTTAGCTCATGCAAACAGTGTCCACCGTCCCGTTCACACAGAGAGCCGTCATGCAGGTGGAACGTACGGGACAAAGGTGGAGCACTGTGCGGTCAGCGCGCTGTGACGAATGATCGGGCCGAGACATTTTAAAGCTCGGGGTGCAGCGGGAACTTTGCTTCCTTTGTGGTAGTCTGCAGAGTGCTGTGTCAACACTGAACAAAGGCGCAGGGAGAAGAAAAAACACACACACACTCTGGCTTCTTTGATTTCTTTCAACCGATCCCGATCGACTCGCTTTGGGACAGAAGCAGATGGCGTCCTACGAGAGGCTGCTCTTATGTTCATCCCCACATTACGCACTGACCCGTTAGCTCAGTTACCTCTGATACGCTGCTCAGCCATCGGGCGCCGTTGTTGTTATTATTGGAAGAAGAGAGTTGGATCTTGAGCTTGACCACAGTAAGATGGTAAGTGACTGCGGGCCAATAATTAAGTCAAAATCAACGCAATATATTTCATATCAGAACTGTTATTGAATCTTCAGAGTTGGTTTTGTTATTTTTTTTACAATGTGACTAGTTCGCTTAAAAAAAAACACACATATTCTAATGTCTGGTTGCGCATTAGACACGTCGATAACGGGAGAAATGAATACAACGAGACATGACTACTTGTATAGGTAATTTATTATAAGTTCAAATATATTTAACAACACACAAAAATAAGTAAATGAACTAATGGCCAAGACCGCTGACCTCTCTCTCTCTCTCTCTCTGCGCATAGTGGTTTAATAAATAAACGACAACAATAAACAAATGCTGAGTTCGGATCATGAGTTTTCTGCCAGAAATTTAAGGTCGCGATTATTGTCCCAAATGTGTCAGGCTTCATTCAGTGATTGAAACAAGTGAACATTAACTGAAGTTTTACAGCTCCGAGCGAGTTGCGCTGTGGTGAACATGGAACTTTTCCCTGCCAAATAATCGAAGCTGTTGTAGCTGTATCGTTTTTTATTTTATTGTTCTATTCGTGCAATATACAGTCAGTCAGGCGCGCGCCTTTCTTAAATTATTATTATTATTTTTTACATTTGAATATTCATTTTCACATTTGAATAGTTGTTTTTAACAACTAATATATATATTCGATTATAGAATATTCGCCCTGGTGTGTGAATGGCCTGAATGTTACTCCTGATAATCCAGCTGGATAATCTACTAAACTAAACTACCCTATGCGGATTTTGAAATGAGAATATAATCAGAGGGAGTAAAAAGCTAATTTTATAAAGGTCACATGAATTCAATAGTGATGACATTTAGTCTTTTTTTTTTTAGACTCTTGGCAACCGACTTTGTTGAGACATGCAAAATATTCTAAATTCACAAGTAGGGGGTTTCTGATCTGTTGTCGAACGTCATTATCTAACCGAACGAACCGGAAATGTAAACTTGTGCTCACTCATTCCTGCAGCACTCATGAGCGCAGACCAGTGAGGCAGTTTCAGTACATCGTCGACATTGTATTCCTCTATTAATTATATTACAACAGTTTATTCCCTTCACGGTAGCACACAGGTGTAGGAGCGCCGCCGGGTCGACATCATTACTGATTAACCCCATAGTATTTCATGTCTATAACGCGGTGATCATTGATGCTACGGTTAGATGAGTAAACGCTTCGTTTTGTCGCAAATCAATTCATTTATTGCCAGAAAACACGGGGACTTTCCTTTGCTCTTTAGTCAGAGGTCAACATTCACATTGAAAGGCGTAGGTGTGGTTTGTGTGCTTACGCCGGGCCGCCGTCAATCGTGTTATATCGAGCCGCTTCCACACAGTCCACATCAAGCACCTTAATAAATATTAGCCAAGGAGGCTCATTTATCCTGGGATTCAATGTCTATTGTTTCCCATTATGGTTTGGTGTTAATATCCCATTTTATAAAAAGGTACATAGGAATTTTTAGGGGACGATTATTATATTTTTGAATGTTGTTTGAATGAATTCAATTTCTTCCTGCTCTAATCCCGTCCATTCATGTATAACGTTTATGTATCTATGTATGTATCTTCATACTATACACACAGCGTAGCTGGAATGAAATGAATCAACTGTTAACAACATCCATCGGATGCAGTGAAACAATAGTGTTTAGCCATATATATATATATATATATATATATGTGTGTGTATATATATATTTATTTATATATATATATATTTATTTATATATATATATATGTATATTTATATGTATTTATATATATATATTTATATACAGTATATATAAATATATATATATGTATTTATATATGTGTATATATATATATTTATATACAGTATATATGTATATATACATATATATTTATTATATTTCTTGTACTGCCAGTACAGCTTTGCCTTATTCATTCATGCCTGATGTGAAGCATTCACAGCGGATACCGAGGGCCAGTTTGAGGCAAACGAGTTTGTGTGACTAACCGATCGTGGTTAGAAGTAGGGTGTTGCATTGGAGAGTCAAAAACCCAGCCGCTAGTTGCCTGCCATTCTAAATGCGCCTTCAAGTTGATCAGCTGATGAGTAAAAAAAAAAAACGAATCCATTTTGATGACGATGTGCAGGCTGAAGAGTCTGTTGATCTAAGGCCGACTTCCAAAACGGGACGGTGTCACTTTACAGGATGTTGTCGATCGCTGCTGGCAAATAACATGAAGCCCTTGTGTGGGTTATCTTCCTCATCATCTGAGATCACATGTAACCATGTGTGTGTGTGTGTGTGTGTGTGTGTGTTTGTTGCTACAGGCTGCAAACAGCTACCTAAGGGACCAGTGGTTTCACTCCCTGCAGTGGAAGGTGAGGTTTCTCTTTGTCTCATCTATTGATGGATTTGTTTATTCAGCCCCCTCCTTTTATTGTATCCTGTATTGTTCCTCCCTACACACATATTAAAGCTCAAAGCAGTTTTGAGATCTTAAGTAGTAGTAATCTAAAGCTGTTATATAGACGGCACTACCCGGGTATTATGATAGCTCTGACTCTTCACAAGCATTTCCCGTCCGTGTACGTTTCCCCTTCACCGGAAGCAGAGCAACAGAACAGTTGCTGCTTTGTATGGTTCCCTGTTGTCCCTGGGGGGCTGTTGCATCTTTGTTTTTGTTTTTTTTTCATGCAGAAAAAGATCTACAAGTACCGCAAAGTCCTGAACAACCCGAGTCGCTGGGACGTGGTGCTGAAGGAGATCAGGGCGCTGGTGGACATGGCTCTGACCTCACCGCTGCAGGACGAGTCCATCTACCAGGCTCCTCTGCACATCATCTCCACCCTGCTGGCTGAGGTGGGAAAACACACTTTCACGCACGCGTTATATTACCATTCCCGCTCTGTGCTTCAGTATGAGCCTTTTCCCAATCAGATTTTTTTAATATGCTTCACTTTAAAAAAAAAAAACACTATCCAGAAGAAAAGATTCCGCTGTGACATAAAAGATTTATGAAACTGAAACTCTAGGGTGCAATACATGGGTTAGTCTTGCAATAAGGAAATATAAATTAAGAAACAACAAGAGTTGATTTTTTAGATTGTTAAATTAGTGCAGGATTTGTTCACCTGGTTATTTATTTCTATTTATTTAGCATGAAACACTTACTGGAGTATTTCAGTTTTGTGTTGCTTTATACAATCAAAGGAAAACATAAGAGCTTTGCTCCACTAGTTATTTAAGACAGATTTTCTTCAGATTTTACATATGGACCAATTTCTTTCACCAGTATGTTATAGATTATACGCTAAAAAGAAGCAATCGACAGCAAACAGTTTGTTCGGCTGAGGCCAAAGACTGTACACAAGGAAAAAGCCTGTTTTCGAGTTGTGTAAAGAATAGAAAAGTTAAAACCGAACCTGGTTGATAGATATTTCGGCACAAAACACACCCTAGAACAACACACGTGTACAAGGCTAGTTGTTTCCCTGTTTCCCTGGCACTGTGTCAGTTCACGTGACGACGCAGTACAAAGAAGCAACCCAACCTAAACGCTACCTAAACATGGCGCTAATCCTAAACATGGCTCAGACATTAGATGGAAACAGCCCTGTTCAAATCCTCACTTTTTATAAGATTTGACAATAGTTTTTTGTATTGGTCTTTCCCCACAGAACTCTAATCTCAGCACTCAGGATCATGAGAACATCATTGTGGTGAGTTTTTACTATAAGGTGATAATATACGTTAACGTGCAGTTATCGCTTTACACGCTTTAGGCCTGCTTGTTTGATCCTTAAATTGAAGACAGTGTTATCATGAAGCTATGTCAAAAATATCATGGTGCTATCACAATGTCATCGCGTGAGGCTATGACGATGTCATCGCGCGAAGTTATGACGATCTTATTGCGAGGCTATGACGATGTCATCGCGAGGCTATGACAATGTTATCGCGAGGCTATGACAATGTTATCGCGAGGCTATGACAATGTTATCGCGCGAGGCTATGGCGATGTTACCGCGGGGCTATGACGATGTTACCGCGGGGCTATGACGATGTTACCGCGGGGCTATGACGATGTTACCGCGGGGCTATAACGATGTTATCGCGAGGCTATGACGATGTTACCGGGGGCTATGACGATGTTACCGCGGGGCTATAACGATGTTACCGCGAGGGCTATGACGATGTTACCGCGAGGCTATGACGATGTTATCGCGAGGCTATGACGATGTTACCGCGGGGCTATGACGATGTTATCGCGAGGCTATGACGATGTTACCGCGGGGCTATGACGATGTTACCGCGAGGCTATGACGATGTTACCGCGAGGCTATGACGATGTTACCGCGGGGCTATGACGATGTTATCGCGAGGCTATGACGATGTTATCGCGAGGCTATGACGATGTTACCGCGAGGCTATGACGATGTTACCGCGAGGGCTATGACGATGTCATCGCGGAGGCTATGACGATGTTACCGCGGGGGCTATGACGATGTTATCGCGGGGGCTATGACGATGTTATCGCGAGGCTATGACGATGTTACCGCGGGGCTATGACGATGTTATCGCGAGGCTATGGCGATGTCATCGCGCGGGGCTATGACAACACCTGTGGGCTTCATCCTACAAATCTCCTGCCGCTGACAGCTCACATCAACACTGTTGGCTCCCAGCCTGGATAACTAAGCGATAGGACATGGAAATATTCATCGGTCTCTGTGTGTTGTTCAGGCCATTGCTCCTCTCCTGGAAAACAACCACCCACCACCTGACCTGTGTGAGTTCTTCTGCAAGGTGAGCACATGTGTCAAAGTAGAAGCCTGAATATCTATGGGGAGAAAGGGTTTGAAGCGTTGCACTGTGCTTCCCGGTGATGGTCGTGGCCGTGTGTTGCAGCACTGTCGGGAGCGGCCGCGGTCCATGGTGGTGATTGAAGTGTTCACTCCTGTGGTTCAGAGAATCCTCAAACACAACATGGTGAGAACGGCTGTGTCCTGAGCGGCACGGAGCATAGAGTCATTAAAAAGAGAAATGTGTTCGCATTTGACCTGTTTGTTAAAATGCAATTTCATGTTTTAAGTCGTTTTAGGATTAAGTTGCTACATTGTCTAAGACAATGAATGCCTTCAGTTCATCTAAAGCAGTGCATTAGAAGATGTAGTGTAACCGACCAACAGACATAAATCTTTATTGAAATCAGACATGGCAGAAGGATTAGCGCCGTGGCCGTGATTTATTACTCCATCTCAGGAAAACGGACTTTTAAACCTTTTACCTTTCTGATGTAACCCTCCAGTTCGCTCTTCTCGTTTGCCCGACAGGATTTTGGAAAGTGTCCCCGACTGCGTCTCTTCACCCAGGAGTACATCCTGGCCCTCAACGAGCTGAATGCTGGCATGGAGGTCGTCAAGAAGTTCGTCCACAGGTGCGACCGCGTCCCACCCAACCGCGCGTAGCCGAGTCAACGGGTCCCAGTAGATGGTCAATTTCCTGCTGGGTCACATGCAGACACGTTACTGGCTGCTGGTATATTACATGTTTATCTCAAACCGCATTCTTCTCAGCCCCGTAACGACACATGGAATCTCCATTATTCGCACTCGGAGCAGCACGAGGTGACTGAACTCAGAATGTTCAGGAATCAGGAAACATTCATTGCCGTGATATGTCAGACATGCCAGGGATTTGACTTGTCGGCTGGTGCGTGACAGCAGAGGTATCCAACCTGCGCCCCCGTGTGTGTTGCAGCATGCATGGGCCCACGGGGCAGTGCCCTCACCCGCGCGTCCTGCCGAACCTGGTGGCAGTGTGTCTCGCCGCCATTTACTCCTGCTACGAGGAGTTCATCAACAGGTCAGTCAGTACACACACACACACACACACACACAGTCACCATGGTCTCTACACCTGATTGGTTACAAACCGCGTCATTGGATTGGCCGGAGTGATGCGTTCACACAACTATAGAAGCCCATTTACGCACTAAAGAAAGGGGATAAAAAGTCAAAATTATGACATAAAACGTTGTCAAAAACCAAACGCCCCCCTTCGGTAACCGTAGTGGAGCGTAGATGACAACCAGCTACAAGCATCATTTACCATCATTACGGCACATTAAGAGCAACGCGTCCAGCTCGCAGACCGGTCCGTCAGTCTGAATCTGAATATCTAATAACTTTACTGAACTGATCTTACCTCATTATTTCCATTTTCCAAAAAGTCGATCCGTATTGAAAGTTGGCGAGATATTCACAGATTTTGACTTTTTTTCCGGTATTTTACAAATACGGACCAGTCTGAGACTAAGAGCAGCTTTTTCTTCATTTAAAAGAAAAATGAATCTGTTTAATATATTTTTTACATCGGCTACGTCCATATTGTGTTGAAATGCAAGCTGCATTGGTTCCTGCATTGTTGATAGAAAATCATATTTGTGACAAAGATTTTTTTTTCTCTTATAAAAAATTAGAGAAGGTAATTCATCTGTTGATTTTCTTTAATTATCAAATAAAGTAGGAGGTGATCAGCAACCTCTGAGTAGCAAACTCAGATCTGAGAAAATTTAGAAAATCGAGATGCATCGATAATCGTTTTATCGGTTTAGAATCGAATCGTTGACCTCCTGAATCGGAATCGAATCGTGAGGTGCCAAGAGATTCGGCCTCGCTGCTTGTGTACAAAGTGGCTTCCTCAGTCAAAGTTCGCGATGACCATAAATCCTCCCAACGTGGCGCCCTGACAGAAAAAGTCTCTATTGGACATCGTTGCCGTGCTTTTCGGTTTCCTTCCACTGCGCTCCGTCGGGGGCCTTCGAACTTGTTGGCGTCATCTCCTCAGACAGCCTCACCCGGGGGAGGATACTTCTCGGTACCCTTTTCCCCGCCTGCGGCGCTCAGAGGAACAAGTGACTCTGGTGACGCGTCTCCTGGATACTTTGTCACTTCTACGGTTCCTCAACTCGGTCCTCACTGTCGTTGCTGTCGTACTGTAACACTCCTGTGTCGAGTGTAAGATTTGGCTCTTTTCCGATTCCCTCCCTCCCTCCCTCCCTCCCTCCCTCCCTCCTCCCCCATCTCTCCCCCCCTCTCCCCCGTGCAGTCGGGACACTCCCGAGCCTGAAGGAGATCAGAAACGGCTGCCAGCAGCAGAACGAGCGGAAACCTCCGATGCCGCTCCGCTGCTGCGCCCCGAGCCGCCGCCGCCGCCGCCTCCGAACGCCATCGTCAACCCCACCCACCCTCAGCCACCAGCCCCGGCGCCCCCGAACCCCGCCGCGTCCATCCCCTTCTCCTCCTCCCCTCCTCCTCCCCCCCCCCTGCGTCGTCACCTCCAGCGAGATCCTGGTGGAGCTGGAGCGGAACAACAACTCGGCCAACGCCCGGCGGAAGGACGGCCCGGCGGCGGTGGAGCGCGAGCCCAACCTCATCGACCGCCTGCTGGTCAGCCCGGCCGCCAGCACGCTGTCCATCCAGCTGCCGGCGCAGGCCGACCGCGTGCTGGGCTGCTTCGCCCTCATCCTCAAGATGCTGTGAGTTCATGTGACCTCACGTGACCTTCTAGCTGCCGACACACAAACGCCCAGAGACCGTCTGTAAAAACACTGGCGTGCTTTCACAAACAGGCACAGCTAGCGTGACGGCGTCCTTGTGTTGGAGATGTGTTGTTTGTTCCGTCATGTTGACACACGGTATAGATCGGAGGACCTTTGCGAGGCGAGTTGGCGAAGGTGACGTCGGGCGAGCGTCTCGACCCGCAGAGCCGATAGTGGCCGCGTGATCTCGCAACGCGTTTGTAATAAAAGCCCGCGTTGCTCAACTCTCAGAAATGTGACGCCGCTGCGGCCTGCGTCACCCTCGCCTCGCGTTGCTCCTTTATCTGTGTGCTGCACCCTCCTCTGACTCACTCCATCTCCCTTTGCTCCTCCTCCACCTCCTCCTCCACCTTCCGTCAGGTCGGACTACGATGACTGGAGACCCGCCCTGGCCAGCCTGCTGCAGCCCATCCCCTTCCCCAAGGAGTGAGTATCCACACACGCGCTCCTCTGCGATTGTGCACGCGTGTCTTTCTTCATATTCGCTGGTTGCGGCGGAGCTAATTGTAGCACCATTACGTAGCACTGAGGTGATTTAACCACTTCGTCTTGTTCGTAAGTACGAGAAAGTCATTTGGTCATTTGACAAACACCAGCCGTCCAATTACCCGCCCGGATTACGTCTCGTTTGCCGGTTCCGTCGGGCAGCGGTCCTCCTCAGAGCGCCGACACGCCCGCACGCGTAAACGCACACGTGCTGTTAGCGCGCAACGTCGATGTTTGTCCAGCACCTTCTACTTTGGCCGTTTGCTGGGATGTGGAAGGCGCTCTTATTAACCGCCAACATGGCTGATTGCATTGTGGCCACGATGCTATTTATAGCTGACCCAGATACACATAGATACCGCGTGTGTGCGTGTGTGTGTGTGTGTGTGTCTTGTTGCTTGATTAAGGAGCCTCAGCCTGTGGAACACACAGCAGATGTGGCGCGTCGACAGTTGCAGAACTTTAAGGAGAGTTTTAGTGTCCCGTTGATCCAGAGAAAGGCGGAGTAGAGCAACACCGTCACATACTGTAACCCCCCACCCCCCTCCCCCGTCCCTTACATCACTCTTTCTCTGCTGGGGCCTGGCGTCTCTGACGTCGGTGCGGTACCTGAACGCCTCTCTGGAGACTCAGGCACCGGGGGCCGCCTCCTCTTTCCCACCCCGGAGAAGCCGCCATAATTAGCGGGTTCTTTTTTTTTCCTAATTGCCCAGCTGAGCAGGCCGACAACTTGTTGTTCCCGCTGGTAAAGAAAACACACCTGTTGCTCACCTGCGCCACTGTTGCCGCCGCCCGCCCACCCCCCGGGGGGGGGGAGGTCGATGGCGTCATTAAGAGAGACAACAATACTCCCCTGGAAATAAGGAAGGAAATAATGACTCCTGTCGGTGCACGAGGCGCACACACACACACACACACACACACACACACACACACACACACTAACAGGCTCTGCACACGTGCGTGCACTTGCACGTTTAAATAACTCGTTGCTCAAGAGAAGAGGCTCGGTGGTGACGGGAGGCGGTTCCGGGCTCTCGACTGGCGCTGCAGTGAAGATTAACCCGTGATGTTTAAGAAGCGGGCCGGATCGCTCACGTCTCTCCCTCTCTCTCCCCCCCCCCGACGCAGGGCCCTCGCACACGCCAAGTTCACAAAGTAAGTAGCCAAACGCCTCCCGCTCAGATCCAGTACGCTCGCGGCGTCTCTGTCGACGAGCTGACGTCCGCCTTCCCCCCCCCCCCCCGCCTTTTTTGTGTCGGAAACAGGGAGCTGAAATACGTCATTCAGCGGTTTGCCGAGGACCCGAGGCAGGAGGTGGGTCGCCCTTCTGCACGTTCCCGCGGCAGAGGGTTCTGTGCACATTGACCGATGGTGGAACGCGTGTGCTTCTTCACCAGGTACATTCCTGCTTACTCAGCGTGCGCTCGGGTAAAGACGGCTGGTTCCAGCTCTACAGCCCGGGGGGCGTGGCCTGCGATGACGACGGAGAGCTGTTTGCTAGCATGGTGAGCTAGCATGGGGGCTACACACACACACACACACAGAGAGTCGACTTGGCGGGCTGATGAACCTCCCCCCCCTCTTCCTCCTCCCCATCCAGGTCCACATCCTGATGGGTTCCTGCTACAAGACCAAGAAGTTCCTGCTGTCGCTGGCTGAGAACAAGCTGGGTCCCTGCATGCTGCTGGCCCTGCGCGGGAACCAGACCATGGTGGAGGTACCGAGAAGGGTTTTGGGGAGCGTGGTGGTGGACGTTGGAGCAGAAGTGGGCGTGGTTGCATCCGTTAGACGCCCCCGTTCGTTTCTCAATAGTAAACCGCGCGTTTGGTCCGGAGAAGGTCGGGGAGTCCGACGAACGGACACCGGCATGTCGGTTCTGTAGGAAAGTCAAACCGCGGTGGAGAACGGTTCCGGCAGGAGACACCTGCCACGCTCAGTCTCCTCTGGCTCGGCCCCCGTAGTGCGCTTCATACTGTGTGTGTGTGTGTGTGTGTGTGTGTGTGTGTGTGTGTGTGCAGATCTTGTGTCTGATGCTGGAATACAACATCATCGAGAACAAGGACACCCAGCTGCAGATCATCTCCACGCTGGAGAGCACCCAGGTGGGCCTCCGCATGTACGAGCAGCTCTGCGACCGACAGAGAGAGCTCAAAGAGCTGGTGAGTCCCCGCCCCCCCAACACACACACACACACACACACACAGCGAGGTCTGAAGAGAACACGGTGCCGTCCTCGTAGATCCGAACCGAGAACGTCTCGTTCCAGTTCGTTCCATCTCTGCTCACCTGCAGGAGTAAGACGCGCTCTCAGTGACTTACCTCGACCTGCAGTTCCTAAGCGAAGTGAAATGAATGCAGCAGGCGCACACACACACACACACACACACACACACACACCCTCTACTTAGTTTTCTGTCCGTCTCCCCAGCAAAGGAAAGGAGGTCCCACCCGGCTGACGCTGCCCTCAAAGTCCACGGTGAGACGCCCCTCGCACTGTAACCCTTTCTGCCAACATCCACTGAGATACTTTGCATTCGCTGTTTCGACGTTTGAACGTTTCCCTTTGATGCTCAGGATGCAGACCTGGCCCGTCTGCTGAGTTCAGGTTCCTTTGGGAACTTGGAGAACCTGAGCTTGGCCTTCACCAACGTCACCAGTGCCTGTGCCGAGCAGCTCATCAAGCTGCCGTCACTCAAACAGCTCAACCTCTGGTCCACACAGGTACACGCGCGCACACACACGCACACACGCACACGCGCACACGCCAGTGACCAGCCCTGATCTCGTGTCTGATGCATGTCCATGCTCTCTGCTCTCCCGCCTCCCTCAGTTTGGTGACGCGGGGTTGCGGTTGCTGTCCGAGCACCTGGCGTGTCTTCAGGTTTTGAACCTGTGCGAGACGCCGGTGACCGACGCCGGCCTGCTCGCCCTCAGCTGTAAGCAAACGACGAGAGGGCGGATTAGTTGAACCCCGAAGACGAGCTCGGCGCGAACGCGGCTAACGTGAAGCCTTTATTTGCCTCTTTTCAGCCATGAAGAGTCTGTGCAGCCTGAACATGAACAGCACCAAGCTCACGGCGGACACGTACCAGGACCTCAAGGTAAAACGGAGCGGCAACTCCCGACACGACGTTTCTATTTTTAGTTTTTACGTTACGACGCGGGCGTTTGTGGCCTCAGGTGTTCGTTTAACCAGCGCGTTTCGACAATGCGTCTCTCCGCAGGCCAAGCTGCCCAACCTGAAAGACGTTGACGTCCGGTACACGGAGGCCTGGTGATCAACCACCCGGCCCTCACACACACACACACACACACACGGAGGTGACGGAGTGATGTCGCCTCCATCGTTAGACCGCCGCCGCGGAGGAGGAGGAGGAGGAGCCTTCGTCATCTTCAGACGGCCATCAGCAGAAAGGTTTTTTTTTTTCCTAAAACAGTCGCCTTTCACGGACCTCGTCGCTCCGCTCACATCCGTCCCCCGACGCCCCGAAGGAGCCGCGATGTTACTCTTTGTATCTTTCTCTTTCGCCCGCCGTGTTTCACTTTTGCCGTTTGTTTTCATATCCAAGTCCCAAGTCCAGGTCCAGGTCCAGGTCCAGGTCCAGGTCCAGGTCTCCCTCCCGCTCATGTTGTGAGCCTCTTTTTTCTCTCTCTCTCTCTGCCCTCCTCCCGCCCTGAAGGCTTGGACCCAGCAGCTCACATTCCAGTTCTCCTCCGGTCCGCTCCGCTTATGTAGCTCGCTCCCGTCCCCCCGTCCCCCCGGCGGTTTTCAGGGTCTCCCCCGGCTTCTGGTCTCTTTGGGGTGAGAAAGTGAGGCGCTGCCTGCGAGAGAAGAAGGGGAAGCCGTGAGACTCCTGTCGCTGCAAAAAGATTTTCTCTTTCAAAAGATTTTCTGTGTTTCTCTTCTTGCGCCGGTGAAACTTTTTTGGGACCTCGACAGGAACGAACGGCGACGTTGGTTCCTTTTTTAAAACGTGTTCTCAGTGCAGCACACTGATGATCTCCCATTTCTATCTAATAGGAAAGCTGTGTAGCAGTAGCTGGGGGTCGGGGGTCGGGGACCTCCTCGTATTTATTATTTGTGTTGTTAAAGCCTCTTTTACTCTCTGGAGCCCCGACGGAAGTGAAGCACGGGTTCGCGATAACGTTTATCAGAAGAAGCCCCGATGGGATTCATATAAGACGCCGATCAGCAGCTCACAGCCCTCCCGTCTTTATCAGAAAGGACACCTGCCAAACGGTTTTTGGGGGGAAGGGGGGGGGGGGGCGTTTTTAGGGCGTCGCCATCAATGAACGGGACAAAATTATTGTACATATCGCTTCGCATTGAGCTATGAGGGACGACGAACGGGAGGAGGGGGGTCAACTTTCGGCCACGTTTACCCGTCTGCATCTCCTATAAATGTCCCATGACCACCCTGTCAGAACCCCTCGTTCCCCTCGGCCCAGTTGGGGCTGGTTTCTCTGCAGCCCGCCCGCCCGTCCCGCCGCCCCCATCGGTTTATCGGGCGCCGTGAGAGTTTTCGTCTCTTTGGGTCTCTTTCCAATCCTGTAGATACACAAATGTAAATAGTTCTGTCCTCCCTGAACCCCCCCTGTTTTTACCCCAATCATCCTTTTCCGTAGCGCGCAGCCCGTCATCACTGGGCGCCCGGCGTTGCCTTCATCTTCTGCGTGTGGTTCTTATGGGTTTTTTTTTTACACAAAGTGCACTGTAATCTAACGTGTTTTTCATGATATCTTTATGAAAACGTCTTCGATTGGATCTCTTTAAATCAGACATTTGTTTCCTGGCGTTGTCGTTTTATTTTGCATGTACATGTTTCTGCGTCACCCGGTGTTTTTATTTTGTAATTTTTGTTTTTATAAAAAAAGGTTTGAAAATGTAATAAAAGGGTCTGATCACTATCTGACTGAGGTTAAGGACTGAAATGGGGCGTTCCCGTCCCGTGGCCGGAGGGATCCTATTGGTTGAGGCCGTCGGGATTTGAGCGCTTTTGCCTGAAGGATGGACTGAAGCTGCCAACAGCTGAGCTTTAAAGTTTTTCTATTTTAGTCCTAATGCCTGACAGATAATCATATCAGAGCTGGACTTCATTGACTGAGCATTTTGATTTTACGTCCAGCTTCACTGTGGTTTGTTTTATTCCAAATGTCTGAATGTTTGAGGAGAATTTGACATTTTGGAAAGAAATGGGTTTTTTTTTTTTTTTTTGAACGTCCAATGAGAGGATTGGGAGCATGAACGTCCTGTGAAGTGGGCGGACCCTCACTGAACTCCTCCCACTGAGTGTTTGAGGCTCCTCCCTCTTGTCCATTGGGTTCTAGAAGGAACCGGCCTGACTATTGAATAAAAAAAAAAAAAAACTTGATTACCCACAATTCCTTGTAGTAAAAACATGTTTGGCAGCTGGGGGGGTCGCCCATCATGTTACTCTCTTTTTTTAGTCTTTCTCCGCGTTGAATTGCTTCTCCAGCTGAGTTATTATTATTATTATTATTATTGCTACTGCTGCTTTGTGGCTGTTGTAATAAAAGTACAAAAGATCTTCAACAGGAAAAATAACTGATGTAAAATTATTTCAATTAAAAAATAAATTGTCTGAATTAAGTAAACTGCTTGTAGAATGTGTTTAAAAAAAAAAAAACTTGCCAGACACACTTTTAAATTGTATTATTTCTATTTTATTTATTTTATATTGTGCGCAATTGAAATGTGTACACGTGTAAAAACATCCTCTCATCCGCAGGAAGAATTCCCTCCATCAGGGTGGACAGAAGTGTGACGGAGGTACAACACATTTAACCTCCACATCAATGAGAACTACTGTAGTACTACTGTAGTACTACTGTAGTACAGCGTACTGGATCTATTTGAGTAATAACTGGATCAAACGCCAGTAGTAATACTTTAAAAACTATAAGAAATACATAACCTGCTCAATAGGCCATGCTGATTAAATCATACAACTTAAACGTGACAAATAAAGCCCATTTTGGTTTTCTTCAGTACATTTTTATGTAATTGCTTACTATAAAAATCAGACAAGAAGGCAATAAGCAATAAACCGGATTAAAAACAACAGCTGGAGGTCATGCGCTGACTCCTTATTTCAACCAACTCGTCAAAGTCTTCCCCCCCCCTCCGTTTCTATGGATGGAGAGGAACACCGGCAGCTGTCCTCTCCATGCGCCGTCCGCGGACGTCCTAATCTCACGTCTCTTCAGGACAGGAGTCCGTCGTGGAACACCGTGTCTTTAGCTGTAACCTCGTCGGAGTTCTTCATTAGCGGTCAACACCAAAAAAGGGGAACAGATCTATAAAGAGTCCCAACAACTCATGTTTGCTTTACAACTTCCAAGATAAGTCAGCATCTATTTTCATTTTCTCAGTTCTGTGTCCTCCGTCTTTCATAATATAGCAGAAAGAAAGGATGAAGACGCGTGGCTTAAAATCTACAGGAAACATTTTTGGGGTTTCTTCAGTTCTGACTGTTCCGTCAAGTCCGTCAAGCTCCTGAAGTTTGCGGATGACACCACCCTCATTGGACTAATCTCTGGTGGGGATGAGTCCGCCTACAGGTGGGAGTCCGACCATCTGGTGTCCTGGTGCAGCCAGAACAACCTGGAGCTCAACGCTCTGAAGACAGTGGAGATGGTTGTGGATTTCAGGAAGAACAGAGCCCCACCCTCCCCCATCACCCTGTGTGACTCCCCCGTCACTATTGTGGATTCCTTCCGTTTCCTGGGCTCCATCATCACCCAGGACTTCAAGTGGGAGCTGAACATCAGCTCCATCACCAAGAAGGCTCAGCAGAGGTTGTTCTTCCTGAGGCAGCTGAAGAAATTCAACCTGCCAAAGACAATGATGGTGCACTTCTACACGGCCATCATGGAGTCCATCCTCTGCTCCTCCATCAGCGTCTGGTACGCTGCAGCCACAGCCAAGGACAAGGGCAGGCTGCAGCGTGTCCTCCGCTCTGCATAGAGGGTGATTGGCTGCAATCTGCCGTCCCTGCAGGACTTGTTCGCTTCCAGGACCCTAAAGCAGCTAAAAAGATGGTAGCCGACCCCTCTCACCCCGGACAAAACCTGTTTGTGCCCCTTCCATCTGGCAGGAGGCTGAGGTCCATCAGGACTAAGACCTCCCGCCACACCAACAGTTTCTTGTCGGGCTCATTAACAGAGCCGGTCCCCCACTGACTGACTATAACACTCCACCGGTCACTCCCCTTCATACTGCACACGTCACTTTGTCGTCACTCGTCACTTGTTCGATAGTGCACTTTATTTTTTAACTTTTAAAATATTTTTAACTTTAACTTTATTCTCTTATTTTATACTAACCCATAGCCTTATTCCACTAACCCATTGCATTAGCATTTCATTTTATTACTTGTGCACTGCTGTCCTGTTGTCTATTGTTTCTACTGTCACGCACCAACCGCCAAGACAAATTCCTTGTATGTTTGACATATTTTGGCAATAAATGTTTCCTGATTCCAGAAATAAAAGAAAGGGAAAGCAGGAAAATGGTGAGGGGTGGGGGGTGGGGAACAGAACTGTTTCAGATGCGACAAGATTCACAAGGTCCAGATTTTCACTAGAACAATGGACCTCAAGTCCAATTTCAACCTCAAAATAAGAAAACCCATATTGAAAGTATCCCAAAACCAAATTAAATACATTTTTAAAACACTATTTAACGATGATTTTAACCTTACAAACTTTAGCAGCTTTCAACTCCGGTGAATACACACAAATCAATTTTATCCAATTACTTTTAGCTTGAATACTTTTTAAAACACACATTTCATTAAATATATAACAGTTTATCTTGCATTTGATGCCATAATTAGTCGACCACTCAAAAGCTCACCGGCTCCTCCTTCAGGCTTTATTCTTTATTCTTCCTGTGAGTGAGTGAGTTCCTCCAACCCGCCCTGATCTCCAGATCGTCTCCACCTGGTGCATCCGGATGCTCCTCCCTGGGAGACGTGACCTAAGCGTTGCCTCGACATTCACATCACACGCACAAAAGATCCGCGATGAATAAGATGTGCGGCGTGTTCAGCAGCACGAAACAGATGATTGTCATTAACGCGACGTCGTTGTGTGTTCGCTCCTCAGTTCGCATGGATGCTTGGCTGTGGCAGCCTCATCACGGATTACTCTGCGTCGCATTTCTGCCCATGACGACCTCGTACTTACACGCCTTTAGGTGCCATAAACCGATTTTCATATTAGTTTGACGTCGACTATTAAAGAATATCGAATTTTATGCAATTTCTGCATCTGATCAATTCTACTGAAAGTTATTCTTTCAAAGTCTAGCAAATAGTATATTTACTTTTATTCTAGTGGTACTTTAGAACCATAGTGAAGCAGCTGCGTTATGTATTTTCTTGCTTATAAATGAATATCTAGAACTAACGTTGGCATCATGTGTTTTGCCTGAAACAAAGAGGAGCGACTGACCTTCGTCGGCGTGATCAAACGATGGCTGCGACTTCTGTTTGTTTAAACTGGGTTCAGGCGGGAAGGATCTCAACATCCGGCCTGAAGACGAGCGACGCCGTTCGACACCAATTGTTCCAACAATTCCTGAGTCTGGAAGTGAGGTGTGAAACGAGCGCTGAAGAACCAGCTTTTAGACCTTCGCGGCGGGACGGTGCAACCGGTCAAATAAAGCCTGAGCCGTGACAGGCTGACCCAACATTTTTAATTCAAATCAATAATGCGACAGAAAAGTGGGTTGAACCATCTGTAGAAAGCTGCTTCCCCTTCCGATGCTGGTACGGTGCAGAAAACTACATTTTCTTTTGAGACCAACCCCCCCCAACCAAGTGAGTCGTCTGTTGGTTAGAAAAAGAAAAAAGAAAAGTTCCATTTGGCAAAGAGGGGAAAGGAAGCAAGTCCGTGGAAAGGCTACAGAGACGCATTTAAACCGCGGCCTGCAGGTCTGTGCGTCGGGTGTTCTGGAACCTCACGTGGACACTCTGCAGACCTCAGACCAACACTGGCTTTTTTTTTTTTTTTTACTTTGGTCTCATCTAAATCAGCAAACCGCCTTCAAAAGTTCATCGCCTCTTGAAGGCAGACTTCCTAGAGGCGCCGAATCAAGGACAAAGAGGCCGCACGAGGGTTCGGACTGACAAGACGCACCAAAAAAACAACAACCACGAGCGCGCTGGAAGGTGGCCGGGGAGTTCAGGGGTGCGCGCGGATCTGATTGGCTGAGGCTGCGCGTTGGCAACAGTTGCAGCAACCGTTGCCTCACATTCGGTGTAATGCGTCTGAACAGAGCCTCACGCTCCAGAACCGCGGCCGAAGCACAACGAGCACCTGGACACCAGGAGCTTCCCAAAGGGGTCGCTTTGTCTTCAGCGGCCTGCTGCCAAGTGCTTCGCTTGGTCTTCAGAACTGGTTCGGCGGCGGCGGTTTAGGTGGGACTCCCGGTTCCCAGTTTGGGCTCCGATGACGTCTCACTGAATCCGTCAGAACCCACGCAGCCTTGATGGAAGGAGGGACGGCGTTTTGGTACAGCGCAGTAATAAAACCATCATGTTACTTCCATAATAAATAATAAAAAAAAGAATAATAATTACACCCCATAAAAAAAGCTTGTCATATCCTACTCAATGCAGTGGAATACATAAGAACATTTACAAATAACTGCAGCAAAAAATAAAACAGCGTGGTATTTTTAAAAGTGTGTGAGCATGCGGCTTAAGAGACTCAGACCGACGGGATCGGAGATCTACCGTTGCATTAGGTAACAGCTGGTTGGGCTTTCTGTGGGAATTCATCTTAGTTGTTCCTGTATACATTTCTTTTTATAAAATATTTTATTCATACAATCATTTCTTTAACTAAAAGCAACATTACTATTTCATTTTGAGTGGCAAGATATCAGTTGCACATCATTTCAAGAACAATAGTATATAAACAAATGCAGAAAAAAAAAAATTATTCTGTATCCATTTGAGTATGTCTCTCAGTTTGTCCCGTGTCTGTACACCTGTCTTGTCCGTCAGTGGTGAGCCAATAGGAGTATTGCTGGTCCTGGGGGAGAGGGTGGGGGGGGGGGGGGGGGTCGGTACAGCTCTGAACAATGGTGTCTCTGCTGGATGGTCAGCGGGAGGTCCCGTGTGTGGCAGAACAGGCTGGACGTCGGCTGGACGTCAGGAGACCCTCACGCCGGCCCGTTGACAGCCGGCTCCGAGGACACGGCGCTCTGGTCCCGTCTGGGAAGACGAGGCGGGCAAAAGACCACGTCCACTTTTTTGAGTAACGGCAGTAAAAAGGAGGAGCTTAGTGTGCCGGTGGCTGCAGTCGAGACTTACTTGGCCTCCTCGTTGGGGGACATGTCCTCCAGAGGACCGTTGGGAAGCTCGACACCAGGCCGACACTTCTCACTGCTTAAAAACAGGCGGATTAACAGATCATTTTTAATTATAATCTCTTCATTAGATTGAAAAAAAGTTAATTGTGAGCAGTAAAAAGATGATTTGGTGTGTGTGTGTGTGTGTGTGTGTGTCCTCACCCCGTGTTGGGACAGCAGGATGCGGCTGAGCTGTTGACGCCTGCTCTCTCTGCATCCACACACTCAACGTATTTCTCTGCAGAGGCGTTCTTCTCCTCATCGCTGTAAAACACACACACACATCAATACCACACAAGGTGATCACAACCAACCGCGACCCCCACAGAGACACAAAGAACACAGTGAGTGACGCATGCTGGGGGGAGGGAGGGGGAGGAGGGAGCACGCAGTAAAAACAAAAAAAAAAAAGGGTGAAAGGGTGTCGAAATGGAGCAGCATGTCGGAGAAGCATCAAAATGTACAGCAAATGGAGAAAGTCAACGGTTTGACAGAATGCGCTTTGCAGTTTCAGAGCCAAATAGCAGGCGGTCGCCTGCCGCCCGATTTGGAGGCCGATTAGACCCAAATTGCCAGCCGTCAAGTCTCGCTTTGTGTCAGAGAACCACCAATAATCTTGATGAGGCCTCAAAGCAAAAAACGGCCACACGCACCCGAATAGAACGCAAGGCAGCGGACCAGCTGATGCTGGAAGACCAATTAAAACACATCGCGGCAGCTAGAAAGTTAATAACGGGGCCACTCTGAACCAAAGGAAAACGCTTTAAGATTAAAAAAATAAAAATTCCCAGTAAGAAGACTGGAAAGGCACGACACAAGTGCTGTCCATGTACTATATTATTGTTATTATTAATATTACATTAGTGATTTTTTACAATCAAGTTATACCTACTCATTTTTTTTCTGATTAAAAAACGATTCTGGATTATTCGAAGAAAACGTGTGTCATTAATCGTAACTGTTGCACCAATGTGACATCATATCCACTCAATTTATCGTCTGGTCAGAACAGTTTGAGAATACATTTAATGCTGAGCGCACTGCTGTATAAATGCATTTACAATCAGCAGTGCTTGTGCCGGTCCAGTATTGTGACACTTTTACATTTAATTTGTGCATTTGTAACTTGGATCAACACAAAAAAAACAAAAAAAAACAAAAAGGCAATAAAACTTTTAACGCCGTTTGTTTAGGCCACTTAAGCTGCACTTCCACTGTCATCAAAATTAATAATGTGGCGTTTAATCCGTTCGGCTTGTTGACAGAAGTAAGCCATAAACTAATAAATAAGAACACATGCAGAATGGAGATAATGAAATAAAGAAACAAAAAGGAGCTGAAACCAAAAGAAGATCAAAATTGGGAAAGAAAAGTTGGTGGTTGACGTGACAACAAGACTACATCACGGCTGCAGGCTGATCTCTGATTGGCTGTACATACCGATAAGATTTCAAAACTCTGAAGAAGACCACACCCACAACGCACAGCAAGAGAGAGAGGAGGGGAAGCTCAGTTCAGACAGTTGTTACTCAGACAGACAGACAGACACAGTAGAACGCAGCGTCAACGGGGGACAGGAGGACAGCAGGAAACCTGTGGAATTATGGGAGCGTTGCTGACAGGTGCGCTTGAGTAATTAGTAGAAAGTGGAGCTCAAATGTCATAATGTCACGGCGTCGTACGGAGGAGTTTGACTTTCACTGTCAATACGGTTTAAACCAACTCTCGGTCACGCTGTTTAAGCGTATGATTATGGTTTAATTCCCTTTTCCCCCCCTGAAAGGGTTTTCATTTCTTGGGGAGTTTGTTCCTGTGCCGACGGGAGGGTTTCGGGACAGAGGACGTCGCGTGTGTACGGACTGTAAAGCTCCCGGAGGTAAATTTGTAATTAGCGATATTTGGGGCTATACAAGAGAAAACTCCTTAATCAGTTTCCCCCCCATCAACACTCTCAAAAGGAAAAACACCAACGGTTGCGGCGACTCCTCGGGGGGAAAACAGACGTGCGTTAGCGAGCCGCGGTGCGCTTGTGTCTGGCGAACCTCTTGAAGACGGCGGTCTCGGTCTTGGCGTCGACAGTGAGGCTGAGCGTCTCCTTCATGGAGCCGTTGATGACCGTCTCCGTGATGCTGCGCTGCTCACAGGGAGCGGCCTCCTCCTCCTCCTCCTCCTCCTCTTCTTTACGTCTCCCACAATCCTTAGCTGAGGCCGAGGGGGGAGAAGCTACACTAGTACCCAGCCAACCATCACGATCTGGGATGGTCGGATTGAAACATTCCAAATTAAAACTCAAATCAGCTATTTATACACATTAGCTAGACTCACCTAAGTCAATATGAACATCTCACCTTCAGGCTGTATGGGTGCGTTGACCCCCAGAGGGTCCATTGTCTCTATGCTGGTTTCCATGGCAACAGGGGAGTTGCACCTCAGAGGGTCTTTGGGGCTGAAAGGAGACATTTCTGCGGTCATAAAAACGTTCAAATTCATTTGTCGCCGCCGCACTCTCGGAAACTGAAAAAAAGAGTCCGTGGGGAGGCTCCACCTGACGGGAGTGAAGTTGGAGAAATCTGCCCAGCCTTCGGAGCTGGCGGTGGCAGGAGGAGTGGTGGAGCTCCACGCGGCCTCCGGGGGCTCCTCCGTAGAAGAGGAGGAGGGTGGGGGGGACAAAGCCGCGGGGGCGGCAGGGTTGCTGGGGCTGGTCGCCGGAGCGGTGGACGTACCGGTGTCCATGGGGATGTCGTCAAAGTTGGCCGTCCACACGGGCCCTAAGAAGAGATTAAGAATTATAAAAAAAACAACAACATGCAGCACCACTCCTACGTGCACAAAACGGTCATTTCAAAAACATCTTACACATCCCAAACATAATTATAAATATTGGGAACTGGGCGGAACAGCTTTAGCATCCTGAGCGCGTCTCGTTTGGCTTCCCGCGTTTTACTGCTTCGCTTGGCGTCGTGTTGCTACACCGACCTGTGTCCACCTCCATTCGGTCATCGGCGCTCGGGTTGGAGGCTTCGAACGTATCCCTCTTCACATCCTCCTCCTCGGAGTCCGTGCTTTCCTCGCTGTCCGTGCTGCCTGAACTCCTGAGATGGACACACACACACACACATCACGCGTGTTAGTGACGTCTTCATAATACTTGTCGCACTGAGGTGCAATTATCTTACGCAATACAGCGAAAAAGCAGCGCTGTCCGACTGACCTGGGGCGTCTTTGTGCCTCTGGGGCAAAGGTCACGTCCTTTTCGTCCCAGATGTCCTCCTCGTCTGAACCAGCGTCCTCGAACTGCTGGATTTTCTCCTTACAGCGCGCCTCAAACAAAGCTATATTCGCCTGGGAGCAAAACACACGGGCCGCACACTTTAGACAAATCCGACGTAGACACCAACGCGCACGGCGCCGCCTCGGGCAGCGACGTGCGCTTTACATGTGGGAAAGTATTTGATCGAATCAGGGTTCTGCTTGAAATCTGATTTGAGCAAAAACCCAAAACGTGCCACGTTGACAATAATGAAAAGACGTTTTCGTTCGTTGCTTTTAATTTGAACCGTTCTCATGTATGAAGTCAAGATTAATGATCATTGTACTTACACTTTCATTTGTATTCAGTGAAAAATTGATGTCTGATATTCTATCAAAGGGAATACTGCAATGTTAAAGAGAAGAGAGATTAGTTAAATTAGGGTCATTAGGCATCCACAGATATGAGAAACACACAGGCAGACAGGCTTCAGCAGAACATCGGGTCTGATACTGATACTAAAACTCTCCCTCACCCGTCTGCAGTATTAAAGAAATGTGGGTTTTGGTTTATAAACTGGCCAAAGAAAGAAGAGCCCTCATTGAAGGGGAATAGCCGCTTTCACAACGGCTAAATGTGGAAATTCTCCCAAAAAGCGTGATTTAAGTACCAGAACATTTAACATTGGATGTTGTTCATCGACAAGCAGAAGCTGAAAAACAAAGCTCCCAACAATAACGGTCAAACACTGTTAATCTGCAGGTAGCATTGAAGCAGAGACTGTAAACAACCTCCACGGTAAACGACGACTTAACGGATAAAAGATCGGCACAAAAAAAGGAGCAAACTTTTAGATCCCTGATCATGTTATTTTTTGCCGTTGATAAATGTATCTAATGTTCAGCCATTTATAGCGTTTCATCCTAAAAAGGAATAAACGCTTCCACCAAACAAATGAATCTCTCTCTCGCTGTGATTAGTCAGCTGACCGTCAGTGTCCGTTTCAAGTTAACTAAGCAGATTCTGCCAAAGTCACCAGAGATCGGTGACTAGAAAAGCACGAGTGTCAATGTCTTGATTGCGCGTTTTACTGAATATTGAAACTTTATTTGATGGTGAAGGTAAACTGCAATTATTCCACGGTCCAGATGTGTGCTGTGGAAACGATGCAAATCTTTAAGTAAACTAATATCTCATCTAAAAACGATTGTCAGAAGTTCTAAAACTGCTTGAGTGGCTTCAACTTTCCGGTGGGAAACCAGAATGAGAACGTGATGCAGTAAAAAAAACAAGCGCTAAAGACCAAGTCACATTCACACAATCACCTCCAGTCCCACCATCTCAGAAGAGCCTAACCGACCCCACCCACTGGAGCGTCTCCATCCCACCACCCTAAATTGCAGTAAGTCCATCTCATTTTGCTCTCAAACACGACAAATGGGAAGTATTTGACCTGCATGGATTGTTTTTAAGGCTCAGTCGGTTGCGTTGACATTAAAGGCCCAGTCGGATACGTTCTGAGGGGACGGACCGTCACCTTAAAGAATCAGCGGGTACATCAAACCAACGATTCCTCCAAGTAAACACGCCAACCTGAGCGGTTTAAAGATACCCTTTAAATCACCGTCATATGAAGTAGTATCATGTAGAACGGACCAGACAGCAAAGTTCAATCTACCATTGCAACCTGTTATTAGACGGTTACTATGGAGTCAAAGTTCAGTAAGATAGAACCTCCAGACCCATCTTTGCAAATACACACGTGCATTTTAATCTGGCAATGTGTGTGCGCGCGAGGGAGAAATATCTGTGGTAAAACAATTACAGGAACGTTAGTATTGATGTACCGCTGGTTTCACTCGGCCAAAAGTCTCATTTTGTCCGATATTGCCCAAAAATAAAAACGCATGTAAAAAGAGAAAAGGGCTCTTCTTCAAACCAAACAAGACCCAAACCAGCTTGCCGTAAGGACGACAGAAAGGGACAGCACACAACAACCACAACGCCAAAGCTGGACATTCTGGATTCTTCGGTTTGAGCCATTTGCTCAAATGACTACGGACGCCATATCAAAAGAGAAAATGAGGCCATCCTGAGGTAATCGCATTAGTTTTAATAGTCTAAATGTGACTTCAGATACATCTAAATTATGCTGCACAACATTGAGATTTTAATGTTGGCAAGAACGCTTTGGATAGCAGTGGTATTATTGAATGAGTGTATAGAATAACACCTCTGGCGCGTCGCAAGTGCCCTGTCCCTTCGTTTGTTACACAGCAATATTTAGACAGCAGGTACAGTCAAGCGGGATGAGTACTCACTCCACAACATCGTCCTGTTCAGCAAACTCTTCGTCATTGAAGCCGAACTGCTCAATAAAATTGGACGTCATTTGTTGCATCTGATAATCAGAAAAGGCCTGGCAAAACCCAGGACCAACGATAATGATATAGTCTTGGCTCTACACAAAAGGCGGTCATTACATTTATGTGGTTGTAAACACAAAAAGGAAAATGTTTAACATGTAGGCTAGACAGGTTAATAGCTAAGAAATAAAGAACATGCATTTGCACTCAAATGCCAAACTGCTTTTACATTAGATTTCTAAAAATATCAGACAATTCTTTTTTTATTTAAAGTCAATGTTTTTTTTTTTTAACAACATTAGTAGTTAAGTAATCAAAAACATTTTCAAAAGAGATCTAGAGAAGGTTAGAGCTTCAGATGAAAACAGTCAGAAAGACCACAGAAGACACTTGTGGACGAGCTGGGCCCATGTGCGCGTGGATATGGCTGCATTCGAGTGTGTAGGTCTTACTTGTTGTAGAGAGGAGTCCTGGTGAAAGCCGCTGTCTTTAAAGTCCACCTCATCGTCACTGGACGAATGGATGTGGTGGGTATTCACCTACAGAGAGCAATAAGTGAGAATCCCGACAGTTTAGGAGATTGACGTGTACACAGAACACCGGCTGTGGCTTTAAAGGTTCCTTTCGAATCCAAAATACTGGGACAAATGAAAAGAAAAAGGCACACTGTCTAAGGGCGCAGCACAAACCAACATGTGTAGGGAAATAATAAAGCCTGCCGACAGGGTTAAAAGTCCATGTGGTTACTCACCAGGTCAACAGTGTTTCTCTTGTTTGTGTCGGACAGCTGGCCAGAAATAAAGGCCTCCCATTTCTCCCGGTCCTCTGCTGGGAGCTCTGTTGCACACAAACACACACCAACTCCAGCACTATACACACACACACTTAATGAACGGTGCCCTTGTGTTCATTTCAGAAGCCACAAGTTACGTTGTGGAGTCATGCTACGGGAAGATCGCTGGCAACATCAGTTTATAGTCAGCGGCCTCAAACTGAAAGACAGAGGTGAAGACAGACGAGGAACGCAAGTAGCCGCAGACAGAAGAGTCCTTACCGGCGATAAGGTGTTGGATCTGTGGTCCATTGGGGCCTTTGTCGCAGTTGTGAACTATGGAGTTGGCTATTCTGGTGAGGTGACCCATGTAGCCTCGTCGGCGACCGCCTTCCGCCCTAAAACCAACGCATCAATGCAATCATCTGGACGTTCCATTATGAGCAGGAAAGCCACGCATCACAATCCTAACCATCGCGAACCTTCGACCACGCCAACGGCCTAAAACTGACGATTATTTTGATAATTAATCAGTCGATTATTTCTTCAATGAATCGGATTAAACGGCATTAAAAAGCTTTAATTTCCAACCCTTTATTCTAAAACAGAACTGCAAATTCACATTGCAAAAAATACAGGTTGCTCCTTGAACATAATTTTTAAAAATTAAAATAGAAAAATCGGAAGATTTAACAGGATTTGTTTTAACGTCAGAACTAGTTCTCTATACTACACTCACAAACACACCCCCATGTTCACTTGAAGCTTATTCATTCAATTATTACCATCATTGTAGTGCAAGTTAAGTAAGTGCATACAGCTAAAAAACAACCAAGTGCTATGAGGTGAATTTCAAATTTGTAAATAAATGCATTAGAGGCTTAGTTGATTTAATGGATCACTGTGTGTCTCCCTTTACAGGCGTAACATCAACTACCGTATAACTCACAGTATATGCGCAAGCGCACTGGACTACCGTATATGACAGCGTTAAAAAGTACAATACACACAAATATATTTGTCAACAATAACCGATATGGGACAAAGCACAAAATATATACAAGACAACAGATTGGTCCAAAAGAGGCGAGTAAATAAAAACGTGTCATAGTCCTGCTAACTGCTTTGCTGCTGTTATTAGCAAGCTAACGCTAGCTTGATGACGAGTAAACGGGAGGCTCGTTACGTTCCTCGCGTCCAAACGGGACAACCAGCCATAAATCTACCACGATAACATAATGATGCATAATTACACATTTGCAGCGGAGCAAAATACTCACTGATCCTTCTCATTGGAGCTCCAGGCCTCGATGATTCTCTGAATGAACTGTCCCTTTTGAAACAGCTGGTGGAATAAAAAAATAAAAATGAGGATATTAAAACAGCCATTTAAGCGTACCCACTTGCATAACATGCTCCTGCACACACAGTCAGAAATGCCTGGTGTACAGCCTTCCCGATCTAACGTATTCTCAGACTTGTGTCCTTCTACACAGTACAACGTACATTCTCGCCAACACAAATGAACGGATCACGGCAGGGATTACCCAGATTACTTGTGCCATTAAACACTGCATCTGTCCAATTTGACAATTAATGCGTTGTTGGGTTTACGCTGAATGCATTTTATTACCCATATCTTACATGTTTGATGAGGATGCTCTCCCGGGGGTTTTCCTGCTCTGTGTCCAGCTGGATGTCAGTGGGGGCCGGGGGCATAGCCAGAATCATGGCTGTGCAGATCTCAACTTGAATGTGGAGGAAGTTGTTCCAGATGTATTTGAAATACATATCCTGGGCAGAAAAACAAAACAAAATTGGGTCATTAAGAAATTGTTTAGATCATCCAGATACTAGACTTTTACAGATGTTGTTTAGTTATTCTAGATGATCTCAGTATGTACTATGTACGGTGACAGTGACCAACAGACTACCTACCAAAGCCAATCTCTAGTTTAACAAATTTATCAAAATATACCAACTCCCAATGTAACTAAAAATTCAAACTGAAATGTCAAGGGAAACTTGCATATGCAAAACTACAGCAGGTAAAAGGCTAAACAGGAACTTCACGTGTACGATTATTTGTAGGTTTTATTATTATTATTTTTTTTACAGACACTACAGATCGTCACAATTAAGGCAGTGAATTCAATAAAGTGCAATAAAGTTTTCCTGCTTATGTTGCTTCTATAGGAACAAGTCAAGAACCAGTGTGATCAGAGCACGCTAACCGCTGCACCCAGTCATGCGCCTGCACGCGTTGACTGACAGGAGGGCGGGGGCGAGCTCACAGGGGGGGGAGACATGGCCTCACGTGCACAAGCTTGTCAGGGAAAAAAAAAAAGATGGCAGACGCGAAATGTGGAAGTGCTTTGGCAACATTACATAGCGTGTATAATCAATGCTCTGATGGCACCATGTTGTTTTCAGCAAGATTAATATCTTGCTGTAGGCCAATAATCATTTAATGCCATTTGTTTTCAAAAAGCTGAGCAGGAAATATATTTTTTTTAAACTATTTTTTCACACTTTATTTGGGTATTGTGACTATCAATTTAAAGTGTCAGTAGACAGATATACAAGCCCCGATTTAGGAAAGGGTCTGTGGCAGAGTGCGACCAGGCTAAAGCTATTACAGCATCAATGGATGCTGTAGTATACTGTATTGAGTAAAGGAATAGGGTATCAAGTCACCATAATTCATGTTGCACCCCTAGTTTTTAAAGTCTCATATGAGGAAAAACCTACCAGAAAAAATACCATTGAGTATCTGTCATTTATAACACATGATCTCAGATCAAACCGTTGTCACATTTCAGCCTCAGTTCTTAAGATTAGATTTAAAATGCCACTTGCAGTAGTTTGTAATCCAGAAGAAAGACCAGGGAAACTAAAACAGACATTACTCACTAGTATGACTCCCAGTGTGTTGAGGTTAATGAGTTCCGTGTTGATGCTGTGCGTGTTGCTCTGCAACAGACTGGCCACCAGTCTAACCACATTGAGCCTGGTGTTGCCAACAGGGGGGTCCAGCACCCCCCACGTTGTCTTCATCACGTTGGCCTGTTGGCAGAGAAGACACTGCTCAATAAAGCCACAAGTGACTGGCAGACACGCAAACTGATTCCTGAATAATTATAGTATGTGGTAGAGGACATTCTGACAGTAGTCTTCAGCCGCTTTCTAAGAATATACTAATTCAAAATAAACTGAAAACATATCAAAATGAGTTAATAATGATCCCTTGCAAACTGCAAAATTGTAACTTCAGTCAACAAGACATTGAGTTCATCTGAACTGCTTGTATCCGGGTTTTTTTTTTTACCTTTGGGGGTTCGAGTAGCAGCTGGTGAAAGTCTTTGAGTCGGGGTCTCACAGCCTCTAGGATGCTGTGGTTAACGGAGAATGAAGGGTGGGACATCCCAGGGGGGCACTCCATATGACCCTCGAACCTGCAACGTAGAGAGTCAGTTGGGTGAAGCGCCGCACTACTCAACTATGGACACTGGTAGACAAATACAAGTTGCGCGTTCTCTCCAAGTGAAGCAGATCCTCTGAATTTGCAACCCGTTTAATAAGGTGACTCTCATGTTTCTGTCAGATTAGCACTCATTCAAAACTTTAACTAGACCCTTTGAAAAGTTACTATAAAATCTGTCATCAAATGTACACACGCACGCACACACAAAGGCCACAGGACGTACGCTGGTCTCCTGGTCTCAAATAATGTGAGGAGGATCTGGATGACACTGACGATTGCAGATTCCTTCTTCTCCTTGTCAAAGATATTAGAAAGCAACTGCTCCACAGTCTCCTGCCTGTGGGGGAGGACAGACAAGAGCAGCAGCCTTCAAAGACCTGCAGTTTCCAGTGAAGAGTGGCCAGAGTAGCCAGATGCAAAAACAAATCAAACTGATGTACATGGAAAATGACTACAGTAATAAGAACCAAATATTGAACTAACTTGCAGTTCTGCATGTCTAAGTTCTTGGAAATGCATGCCTACTTTTCAAGTGTGGACAGAAGTGGGTCCGGATCAGAGGAGCCTTGGACCTGGAACATCTGGTCCCGGCTCAGCCGGATGATCTCACACAGGGACTGGGAGGCATTGGAGTGTCTCTGAGTTAAGAAAGTTGGATTAAATAAATTGTCAGCAACCAGCTGATGCTAAAAGTGAGACATTTTCTTTTCAAATTGGCACCAAATATTTAAAGAAACTTTTTTTTTTTTCCCCTGGCAAGGCTATATTGTAAACAACAAATCAGTAGTGAAATCTGCAGGGGGAGAGCTAGCTAACATTAGCGGATTTCAACCTGTGGGCAGAAAAGTCCTGATTAGGTAAATAATAGTAACACTGGTATTGGGAGAGAAATTCTAATGTTACAGTGATGTGTTCAGAAGTAGTCATGTGATATTTACATTTGCTGAGGAGGATCATCAGGGACTAAAAGTACATAATTACAAAAACAGCAATGAAACAGTATTAAAAAGTGTATATGGAGTAAGTAACAGTAAAATGTATCCTAAATGCAAACTGAACAAACTGGTGACCAATGCAGGAAAGCGCTAGTGTGAAACTCACGTCTTCATCTTGAGACGGTTGTACCATGTCCAGAGTTTCTGATTCACTTCTCTTCATTCACCCCACTGAAAGAGACAAAAGACGTCCCGCCGCCACACACCGGAAGCAAGACCCCTTTCAATGTCAAGCAGAGGGAATATGTTCCTCCACCAAGTCAGTAGGCGCTCCAAATTCTTTTTTTTTTAACAATTTACAATTTATCCCCTAATCTCGCGCGGGGGGGTGGGGGGGGGGGCACAAACAGACACATGCACAATACTAAAGATAGTTGCTTCAGAAAAACATCCTGCACATTTTCTGCATAGTCTGAAAATCAGAAGCAGAGACCAGACGTCAACTAGGGCTGTCAGCAAATATTCTATATTCGAATATATATATAGAACTATATATAAAAACACACATAACAGCAGCAGCGGCGCGACCCGTCTGCTTTGCGGGGGCGCGCGTCTGTACTGACTGTATAGTGCATGAATAAAACAGACTAGATCGGCTACAACAGCTTCATGCACTGGTTTGATTATTTGCCGCTTCCTGCCAAGGAAAAACTTTGTGGCGGTACGCGCGTGAGAGAGCGAGAAAGAGCGCGATCTGCGGTCTCGGCGATTGGCCAGTTCTTTTACTTATTTTTGTGTAGGGAATATGTTAAATATGTTTAAACTTAAATAAATTACCTATACAAGTGGTTATGTCTTGCTGTATTAATTTGTCCTGTTATTGACGTGCAATGCAATGCAATGACGTGTAATGCGCAACCAGATATTCGAATATATTTGTGTTTTATTAAAGCGGATATTCGAACGACAGCCTTATTGTCAAAACATTTGGACCTGTCCAAACACTAATGTCGATGCATCCGGGTGCTGCAGCATGCGTTCTCTTTTGTATGAATACTAAACTCTGCCAGATCACAAACAGGGAAATCTCATTTGCTGCCGTAATTTTGTAGGATGGTCCAATTGAAATTAACAGATATGGGACATGTGTTACTGTAGTAGTGCACGCGACCCACATTGAGAACGTCCTGTCGTAGCTGTTGTGGCTCGATGCAGGTGAGCATTCTCAGCAGCAGGTCCATAATGGCAGACGTCCCGATGTGTTTGATCATCAGGTCCACAAAGTCATCCCGCTTTCGCAGAAACTCCACTATCTACAAACACAGGCAAACAAGCCATACACATTAAAATCTGGAATCAGGATAAACCAAAAAGGCATGTGACCCGATTACCCACAAATATTGCGGTTTGGCATTGATTGATCGGACAAAGTATTTCAGTGGACAACCTGGATGCCGTTAACAGATACAACGCTCTCTTGACACCCACTTACCTGGTCTGGCTTGCGTCCGATAAGAATGGATAGGACCTTGGAGAAGAAGCTGGCCAGGAGCGGGTTGAGAGGCGGCTCGTTCTGCAGGAAGCCATACAGTTTTATGAGCAGGTTTTCATCTTCTCCCAGCCGGTCGTTGATCTGGCCCACATCGGATGTAAGCAGCTCACATGATATGTTGGGATACCTGCAGGAGAGCAAAAGCGTCAAAGTTTACAAAACTGTAGATGAACTTTTACACCTGCCACCACCAAATATGTGCTGTTAGATGACAGGAATCATAAGCAGGGGATGAAAGAATAACTGGATCTGAACCCTAATGTTCAATTTCAAGTCAATCGGATTCAATTTGGATGCCAAACAAACAACTTTTGTTCTAAAGGCTACCAGAAGTTTGAGTTTGTGTAAATGACCTGAAGACCAAAAAAAAATCCAAATTTTATCCACAGTTCCAAATAGTCCGCTTACTAGACTTGCTGACCAAGCTTTCCTGCTGATTTCAACAAACATCTATTGTCCCGAGCCGGAGTCTTAAGCACGGATTTCCGGCTTAATTCAATTTATTTTGTAGAGCCCATATTACAAATTGGTCTCAGAGGGCTTCATGATCTGTACACACGTGACATCTTCCATCCTGGAACCCTCATACTGACAGAAAAAACTAGGGTACACACACACACGTCTTTAAACTATGATATTGTATTTACTTGTTCATGGGACTACTCCTGGCACTAAATGCTCAAAACGATCCAGAGTGTAAAGGAGCCGTTGCAGTGCAGACGAGAAAAAAATGGTTGAAATGCAGTATGACAAGTTCTTGAAAGGAGACAAAACAGGGCTTTCATTTGAATGGCTAAACCCTTCTTATCCTTTGCTCAATTTCAACTCACTTGTATTTAACTTTCTCCTCAACTTCAGTGCTGGGTTCCTGTGTGATGTAGGTGACCAGGTCCTCCATGCACTGGGGTCTCAATAGGAAGTCAACCAGTTTGTGGTTCTGGGCCTTGCACTCCTGCAGCACATCGTCCTCATCCATCACCTCCGTCAGAGTCACATCTTCCTTATCCAACAGCGTGTCGATGTGGGACGTGGTGTGGAGGTCAAATTTCCAAAACATGTTGGCTTTAAAGGAAAGTGAAAACATGAGCAACGGTGTTAGTAAAAAAAAAAGAAAAGCGTCCTTCCATGAGAGGTTATCGGAGTATAACAGTTGTGCCTACCTGTGAGTATTAGAGTCCAAACAGCGGAGCTCAGGTTAAAAATAGCTGTGTTCTAGTCTTTGGGAGTTGTGGCCCATTCCAGGTTAGCCAGATGGACAGACGGGGGGGGCGACGGAGGTGATGGACAGACTGACCAAACACACATATAGTGGATTAACAGCACACACACCTGTGAAGAGGAAAAGGACGTCATTATATTGTTAGAGGAATATCTCACCGTTTTGGGATATTATTAGCAAAAAGGAACAAATCGTTCACATGGACGTGTAAGTAAAAACAATGCAGAGTGCGACCATAACAGAGAGATAAATGGTCTAAGTCTCAAAGAACTAGCAGGATGGAAAAGCATGTTCAGATTTTCATCTTTCCAAAGTTCCTTGAACACGTCACGTATGACAAATCCAATACCAAAAAACGTTTTCTTCTTCATGTCGCATTTAAAATAAAAAAATAAAACAAAAAGTTAGCTTTAACCAGATCTTGTAAAAACAGTCTACATGCTGCTTAATAGGAGAGGCTGTCAGAATGTGTAAATAGGTAAAAATAGAAATATTACACAGACTTACACTCCTGGACACAACATTTTGGATGTGTAGATTTCATTGTTTGCCGATTTTTGTAGAGGAAATTGAGAAAATCAACTTACATTTTGCACGTGTATGCCATGAAAACAGTATTATATCACACATATATTTCAATAGAGGTCATGCACGCTGCAGTAAAAATCAAAGCCACACAGATGAAGATATGGTGGGAGCACAAAGCGGCGTGGAGTTGAGACGGTTAAACACACTTCACAAACGGCAGGTTTCCACCCGCCCATCATGATCTAAAGTAGTGGTGTCAAACTCAATCAGAGAGGGACAAAATTCAAAACTGGTATTGCATTGAGGACCAAATAAGGGTAACATTACTTGAAACTGGATAGAAAGCGCTTTGGGTAAAGTGCTGAGAGAAAACATATTCAAGTATGCTACATTTTTCATGCATATGTAGCCGTGTCAGATGTTTGGCATCTTTTCTTGACTGACAGTTCATTAAATGCTTGAGGTTAGATTCCGTGCTGGAGGACTATCAGCTCCATATTTCAGGTCCTGTTTCCACATCAAATACAAACGGATTGCTACGGAGGTGCTCCACGTTCAGACCATATCGGAAAGACAGAAATTGGCCGTTACTTGCGCGGTTAGTGCGGATACAGCACCTGTATTTCTTATTGTGCTTGTATGTTAAATTTGGAGAGCTTTACCACGCAACGTTTCTAGTGTATGATGCGGCGATACGATGTCAGCTCAGCTGTTCATTAATCAGCCTTTTCTACAGGTGAGCAAGTCAAAATAGACGTAAGCTGCAAACTTACAAAGGGTGAAAAAGGTGAGGCGGGATAAGCGCGTACAGTAAGAACAGCGGAAATGAAGACACTGTAGAGATTGGCCAAAGCTCGTCACGCAACATTAAAGATTTGTTAATGATTAAGATCACGACGTCACCTTGTCTCAGTCAGATCTCAGAAATGCTGACCAGCCAGAAACACATTTACTGTACACAACGTATACTACATCCACTCTACACCTTAATCATTCACTTCTGCCATATAGCCCAAATGAATCAAGAAAAAAATATATATTCTACATCAAAAACTTTTCAGAAGAGAATTACATTACTCTTCAGCTGCAGGGAAGATGTATTATAACCAGGTTATTACCGTGCATCCAAACCGGTTTCTAAGTTCTGATTTAAAAGCGAACCATTCTTAAACATCTGATGCTAGCCACTGTGAACTCAAAACTAATAACGTAATTGTCATGATCATAATATTTACGTTTGAGTGGTTTCATAATCTTTCTTTCCGTGTGAAGAACCTTAGCAACAGCGGTGCACGGCAGGCACAATAAATACATTCAGAAATCGTATAAAGTCTCAAGATCGAGGACTAAATTGTGTCCCTCTACCATTATCGCCTGAATCAAATGACAGCGAGATAAACCAACGGCTACAAACAATACAATCACCTTGGTAACCGCACGGAAGGTCTATGAGAACCACAGTAACCGTGTCTCATGAGATGCCGCAGTCAGGAGACCACAAAAAGATCGATCTCGGTACTAATCGACAGACGTTTGACAGTTTTCAATGCAAGCACCGCGCGCATGCCCAAACATCGATTTCCTTACTTAAAAATCAACAGAGTTCCAAAAGCTTATACACCAAGACCTGTGGGGGTTTAGTGATGTTTAACACCGTATTCAGAACCAGTTGGTGGACGCCGGTAAACGCAAATGACGGTATTAGTCAGTCGGTACGGTCTTGCCATCTAACAAACGCACGCAAAGTCGGCATTCCTTACAAAAAAAAATTAAAAAAAAAAAAGAGTTGACGTAGCTGGTCTCATCGAATAACGTCAGAAACGTCTTTTAACTTTGATTGCGTGGTTTAAAACGCAAGGCAAAATGTGGATTCGAGTCTGGCGTATAAAACGATACCACTGAATAGCGTCTTTTTCGTTTTATTGTCGGAGAACCAACGTTACGTTTGCAGTAACGTCAGTGCATTTACATACCAGGGCCCCAAAACAGACTACTGCTAACGCAAAAGAAACGCACCGGCTCAGGCCAACGGGCTAACGTCACTAGCCTCCATTAGCTATTGTTAGCTAACCTGGACACCCAACGTAAACCGGGTTTAAACTATTCGCTATCGTCAAACGTTACGTCGGACTGACCTGATCATTAAGCTATGGCACGATCACTAATTGGATGATAGGTGGGCCAAATAACGTTATTAGCAGCACACTAGCTACTGATATGGAAAGTTAAAAGTGTAGCGTTACCCCTGTCCTAGCTTGAGGTACAGCCAAAGCGACTGACAGCGTAGCGTTAAGATGGCCAAGTATGCTCCTTTGCTAAGCAGCTAGCGTTAGCCGGCTATCCACAGACCGCTGGCGGTTACCGTCTCTTCAGCACCAACCAACTGCACGGGCCGGCAAGTGTACCTACCGATAGACCACGGCGAACAACGAGTCTCCAGCGTGTAGCTTATCTTGCCATTAGCCCCGGGTCTTAACAAAACAAACACCGGGAAAACACGAAATTCCGAAGGAAAATAACGCGTTTTAAACTGATTCTGACAGGCGCGAAAAGGTAGATCATCGGAGGGCACTTTTCAAGATGGCGGTTCCGTCAACTTCAGCGGCCCCTTCCCCCACTAGCGCCACCGTGTCTGTCACTCAACCGGCTACTGCAAAGCTATTGGCTGTAATCCCGTCACTCAAAGTACGCCTTGCGGTTTTATTGGCTACAGAGCCTGCCACTTCACCACGTCATTCAATTGAATCATATATATGTTGCAGCCCGGAAAAGCGGAGTTTATACTGCTTTTATTTACTGTATATATGGTTGTAAAAAAACACCTGGTCAAAGTAAAAGTAAAAAATAAATCTCATTGAGTTATATAGTCGCTTATGGATCAAATTGGGTTAATACACAATCTCATGATTAACTCCGCTCGCACGTTTGCTTGGTATTCAAAATCGAACATACTCTCAGATTACCAGTACGCTGTTGGCTTCACGAGAAACGCCCAATTGACAGAGGTTTACGTATCTGTTATCTGAGATGTTTTTCACCTTTGGCCTCGCATACTTGTGGGCGGAGTCTATCCGAAGACCATATTAATGTAACCAGGTAAACACGTTATTCAGCTCTCGCCCTGACGCATGAATACATGAGTAGCACATGTATTGTGATACGAAATACCCCTCAAACAAATGTATTAAAATAAATTACAAAATACACGTGACAGAAAATGTAACAAAACACAATGTATGTGTTTTGTATTTATAATATAATATATTTTTTTCTGAATTCTACATTTTCTCACAATTTGGTATTGCAGAGCATTCAGGTTTGGGCTATATAATAAACACAAAGCTCTGGAGAGCCACACAAAAAAAGGAAGAACAGTTACAGAATCCCAGTGTAACTTAGCAACGCTATTAAAAAACAACAACTTGATTGATGATATATATATTGATGGGACTTAAAATCCCTTAACATCCCATAACCTTTGTAAGAAAATATTCATAACATACGAATAGCATCATATATAATGCCAATGTACTATAAAAGTAAAAAATTAATTAAAACCAGTTAATTCAGGTAAAGACCCGATTCCATCGAAGATTGCAGACATAAGCTTGGTTCCATCTATGCTTGTTGATGTTCATTATCTTGCTGAGACATAGTGTCCACCTGGCCAACTGTAGAATGTATGAAAATAAGAAGACCTTCATTATTTGCCTTTTAAATAGGATTAAGTGGATATTTAATGTTTAACAAATGGGCCGCTACTGTCATAGCCTGGCTAACTGAACTATAATATCTGCCTGTAATTGATATGGCATTCTGACACTCAAATCAAGAAGATACAACATAACTTGTAATACAGTGCATGATTAGATGATCAGACGTCTTTTTAAAGGGTATCAGGAACATACAAGCTCCCGCTTCCTATAGCTAGCTACTGGTATATTAGCTTGCTAAACACTGGCTATGCACTAGCCTAGACAGCACGCTAGCGTTATTAGCAGGTTAGCATCGATCGCTAGCTTAATATTCACCATGTGTCTACAATGGGATATGTAGCCAGACCCAGACATAAATTTTACATCAAGGTAGTTGACAGTCAGAGTGAGATACAATATATACCTTGACAATTAATTGAATTGAACTGTTTTTTTTTATTTGTGGAAGTATTTTGAGTATTTTAAAAACAAAAGGACTCCACCCTCAGGTTTTTTGTTACAAATTACATTCGATTTTTTATCGGTCCTACCAAATACAAACTACAAAATACTCAAAAGTAATTGAAATACACATTTCAAATACAAGTAACACACTTTATCCATATCTAAAATAGTTGCACATATTACAGTTGTGTAAATAAAAGTGTACTGTTGTTTTTATTATCATCATTATCATTTTAATAATCATGAGTATTATTGTTAAGATTGTTGTTGAAGGGATATTCCGTATTTTTGTCGATTTAGGCATTAGGGAAATCGTTTTCTGCAAAAAGCACAAACTCTTGGACCATATATTACACTTGCTAATATATATTGTCCTAATAAAAACAACTATATTCATAATAATAATAATCGTTCAATAAATGCATACAAATTCCTAAAATCAAGATAAGCTGCAATTCGAACACTTCGCCATTTCTCCTTCTTTCCCCGCGACACCTGAACGCAGCATTCGCGGGGCCTGCGGGCGCGCGCACGTCGTGCCTGACGCAGCCGTCTGTGGGTGGTGACAAACTCCGGCGTGAATATTCCACCTGAGTGACAGGTCTCACACACACACACACACACACACGCGCGCGCCGTCCTGCCGCGAAGGTGGATTCGGGGGGAGCGCTGCACGAGCTCGATGGCGGTGAAAATGGACGTAAAAGGCGCCATAGAGCAGATGGAGAGGGGAGAGCAGGACACCGCGTTATCGGCTCTGCGGAGCTACAACACGGAGGTTTGTCATCGACGTCCCGTGAACGGAGCGTCGATAGCTGTAGTTGTGCGCCAAAGTACCCGAGTCGATTTGGATGATGATGCATTTTGTCCGTATTGTGGGATACGTCCTTATCAACATCTCTAGAAATATTAGGTTTTTCCCCTCACGTTTAATAAAAAATAAAATGTTTGCTGACGATGAGCCAATATTTTGACGCAATCATTGTGAGGGTTTTCAACACAATTATACTGGAGAGTTATAAACTGAAATGGAAGCGTTGAAATCATCAAGTATTCAATTTATTTCATTTCTTAAAGTAGATACCAAAGCATCTTTGTTCGTTATTCGGCCACTTGGGGGCAGCGGAATATCCTGTAACGCATTATGATGTTGTCGCATCAAAGCTAGCAGTTATGTGTGTGTGTGTGTCCACGTGATGAAGTCACAAAACATCAAAACAAAGACCCAACCGAGGCCAAACATAACCGAACCGCGCTTATAGATTTCCACGTATAGGTCTCCGTTGTATAGAAGTCTATGAGAAAATGACTCTACTTCTCGCTTGATTTATTCCCCCTGTAAATATTGAAAACACAAGTTTATGGTCTCTAAAATCTCTAATTTTAAATATCCGTCAATACCGCATGACATGTATTTTGTACATTATGCTCCATTTAGAGTCAAAAACCCCTAGAGAAGCAGGGGGATGCTTTGGGGCGGGACTACACAGTGATTGACAGGTCTCTACCAGAGATGTATAGGCGCGTGGTCTTGGTTGACCGTACTTACTAAATTAACATTATTGAAAAAGACTTGAAACGAGAGATTGAGGAAGCCATTTTTCAACTGATTCCGATTGTAAGTTGATTATAGTATTAATACCAGCTGTACAGTATCAAGATTGATAACTATGTGATGTACTATCAATATTTTCTATTAGTATTATTCTAACGATGCTGTCCATTGTCTCCTGCCAGTCCTCCCCTGGTGTTTCCTTTTTTATCTGGTAACCCGGGGCAACAGCTCTCCTTTTAAACATGCGTCACTCTTGACTCTGAATTAGGGTAAAAAAAAAAAAAAAAAACACCTAAAATGAATTTGTGGATCTTTGCCGGAATCACGTTTATCACATTTCGCAGTGTGGAGATGACAACGGTTTTCCGTTTCTGTTAAATTAATCAAACCCTGCAAATGATTTCAGACATAAAACAATTGATCATTTAAAAAATGATGGTTTTACAAATTTACAACACATTTCATTAGTTGAATTTAGTATAAAAATAATCCTAATCATCATCATGCTCTTGGAAGCAAAACTGTGTGTCTCCTCCCGGACATCAAGAAGTTCTGTCTGAGGATCTTAGCGGAGGCGAGCTTAGCTGTGATCTGCGCAAAAATAGAGCCCTCGATCTCGACTTGTCCAAGTGCCTCCTGACCTCCTCACCACCTGCTGCAGCTGGAGCGGGACATGCGGCGCGTGCTTCTCTCGCCTTGGACTGTTTTGGGGGGGGGTTGTTCTCGAAGCAAATAGGTTTAGTTTCTCCGAGGCAGAAATACAGTTTTTAGAACCCCCCCACTCCCCCCCCCCCCCCCCCCCCGGTCAAATCCTGCCCGCTTAAGCCTTTAAGAGCTGAGATCAGCTTAGCGCAGAAGGTCCCTTTCTCAGGTCCATTCATTCAGCTTACAAACGTGTGATGACGTAAAGTTCGTATATGTGATACACCCTTTTCATTTGCACCCTCTGCTCCTCATCCTCCAGATGACCCACTGCTTTACCTTCAGCAACGAGGATGCGCTGGATCGACAGGTATTTCATCCGCACAAAGGAGCGAGAGGCTGTGGCTCGGTGGAGGACGGGGGCTGTCCTTCAATCAGGGGGTCTCCTGTCCCGTCCCCGGCCTCCGCTAGTGTTCACGTGTCCTCGGGCAAGGCTCTTAACTCCAAGGTGTACAAATGTCAGTCACTGACGGGAAGGCGGCCCCGTGTACGGTATCTCCTGCAATCAGCGTATAATCCTTGTGTTTTATATATGTTTGAATCTTATTTTACCTTATTTTATTATTATATTTCACCAATGCACCAAGTCAATTTACCATTTAATCATGTAAACGCACTGCTGCTCATAGACTGTGCACAATGACTATTAGATACATAAGTTACTCCATGTTCCATAAAAGTGCTTCAAATTCATATCTGTTGACCCTCAAAGGCCAATGCTAACAATGGAAAACCTATTTTGAACCAATAAAAACATTATTTCACTGTATCTTTAAATATAAAACGGTTATTTAAGGCCTTAATAATGTTTCGGGTATCAAACAGAGTTATTTAAGTAATTTCCTGACAGAAAAGACGAGACTTACCCGTAACAATGTTTTTGAGAGCACATGTCAAGCTTTGACTGTATTCCTTTTCTTATTTTCTTATTCTATTAATATTTTGCCGGGTTCCAATATTAGATAACTAACTTCAGGAAGTCCAGAAAGTACCTAAAGGTCAAAGGTCGTACATGCTCAGCGGGTGGATTCGTGCAGCAACGGTGAGAATCTGAACCCTTTTTATGGCCATTAAATGAAATATATCCGTACTTCTACAATTTCGTGGCAATGCTGCCAAATTCTGAAACGCTCCAACAGGCCGTTTTGATCAGACGCTCACCCGCGTGTGGCTGAACCCTCGTACCAACGTGAGCGTCAACGGCCAGGTCTAATCTGGATGAACGTGTGCTGCACGGCGTTGAATACCGCCATGACGCTCCAGATCAGCGTGCTTAGTCTTTGATACTAAGCACGGGTGATGTAATCTGAGCGGATCATTATTTCACTAATGAACGCACATCAGATCAATGAGGACGCACGAATGTATGACGGACCGACAACGGCGACGTTTTGAAAAGCAAACTAGTCACTAAATGCAATGAAACAAACGTGAAAAACTTTGGCAGAAAAGTGTTAATATTGTCCGGTACATTGTACCATGTAGAGTAGCTTTTCTAATCCAGCTGCAACCCGGTTCATTTATTATTCATTAGATTGTAGTTACATTCTACATATTCGCCAATATTGTGTTTTAGTGTTAAAACCACCTGAATTACCACAGAACACTTAAATCTATACAAATGCACGTGTGCGTGCCCCATTTTTTAGCTCCGTCAGCACCGTCACCATAGTTACACCTACCTCAGCCGTCCCCATGTTGAGAACCACGTAGATATGCGATATTTCAATTTTATTATCTATTCTTTCAGAACAGGAGTATTTAAATTTCAATAATGACGTATTAAATTGTCTCAATATGTCTGCCTGTAATGTAATTCTTTCATTTCCTTGTGTGATGTAGCTTTTAGGTGGATTGGTCCTGGGTTTCCTGGACAGGGAGCTGCAGCCTTCGTGTCAGCTGGCCTGTCTGGAAACAATCCGAATCCTGTCCCGAGACAAGCTTTGCCTGGAGCCCTTCATCACCCTGCCCGCCATGTCCACTCTCGCCCGCCACGCCGGCATCGCCGTGGTCAGCAGTGCAGCGCCACCCGACAGCCAGCCGGCGGAGGGCCAAGGTAATTCCCGCCGACCCCTCCCCACGTTTCTGCAGAGCTCCAAAGATTTCGCCCTATAAAATATTCACTTTAATGCACCAAGTCTTCTCAAATCTAAAGTGAAACATGTAGATTCGGTGCAAATTTCTGATTTGAATGCATTCAAATTCAATTTAATTGAAACGGCTGTTTGAATGCTGCTTTCCTTTGCAAACCACTCAGAGAAGATGTCGTTAACGTTAAATATGGCAATTTTCAATTACGTAGCCGGGCAACCGCGACTCGTAAAGGGGGAGAGCGGTTTGTCCCCCTTTAAAAGATCTGCCGTTTGATTCCTAGCTCCTCCTTGAGACCACACACGGCTCCCGAAGACGGTGCCGTCATGTATTGATGGGTGTGGATGCTTAGATGAGTCCTAATGGGCAGGTGTCTCTGTGTATGGCAGCTCCTCTCATCCTAGTATTGAAGAGCCTTACACAGTCAAAAGACTGGTAAAGAGTAATCCAATCACAATTTATTCACAATTTACGTGTCCCGGGAAGCAACGCTACCAGGAACCTGGATGCAGTTCATCTTAATAGAAGGCAGACATCATTATTTTGTAGTTTGTGGGTCCCAACCTCTTACTCTACAAGCGGTCTACACAAAGGTCGGATGTGGGTCCTTCTCGACTTTGCCGCTCGCTCTCTCTCTCTCTCTCTCTCTCTCTCTCTCTCTCTCTCCCTCTCTCTCCCCCTGGTGGAAGGTGAAGACGGAGGAGGAAAAGGCGCAGCGCAGGTGTCCAGCGAAGAGGTAAAGGAAGTCTCCCCTCCGCCGGAGAACTCTGACCAGGAAGTAATTGCCGAGTCACTCAAGTCCATCTCTAACATCCTGCTGCACAACGAGACCGGGCAGGTGAGTCCGCTGTGTGGCCCCTCCCACGCTGACATCACTTCCTCACGTCGTTAAGTGGAATGTGGTCTGTGCTCATAAAAGGCATCTTTTGATGGATGCATGGGTGAATGAATGACTGGATGGATGGATGGGTGAATGAATGACTGGATGGATGGATGAATGGATGGGTGGATGAACGGGTGGATGAATGGATGGATGGATGGATGGGTGGATGAATTGATGGATGGATGAATGAATGACTGAATTCATGGATGAATGGGTGGATGGATGGGTGGATGAATGACTGAATTGATGGATGGATGAATGAATGACTGAATTCATGGATGAATGGGTGGATGGATGGGTGGATGAATGACTGAATTCATGGATGGATGAATGAATGACTGAATTGATGGATGGATGAATGGATGGATGGGTGGATGAATTGACGGATGAATGAATTGGTGGATGAATGGATGAATTGGTGGATGAATGGACGAATGACTGAATTGGTGGATGGATGGATGAATTGGTGGATGAATGGATGGATGGATGAATTGGTGGATGAATGGACGAATGACTGAATTGGTGGATGAATGGATGGATGAATGGGTGGATGGATGAATTGGTGGGTGGATGAATGAATGACTGAATTGGTGGATGGATGGATGAATTGGTGGATGAATGGATGAATGAATTGATGGATGAATGAATGACTGAATTGGTGTATGGATGGATGAATGGACGAATGACTGAATTGGTGGATGAATGGATGGATGGATGGATGAATGGATGGATGATGAATTGGTGGATGAATGGATGACTGAATTGGTGGGTGGATGGATGGATGGATGAATTGGTGGATGAATGGATGGATGGATGGATGAATTGGTGGATGAATGGATGAATTGCAGGGGGTAGCAGCAGATCTACAGCTGATAAAAGGCTTGGCAGAGAGGCTGCAGCAGTGCTATGATCCCAACTGGATCCATGAGGTATGGACTTCTAATTCGACTCGCACATTAAAACATCTACGCTCGCAGTTGAAGTATGGAAGCTGCAGTTTGGGGAAATACTCAAATAAGTAATCACTTGATTTCCATCGACTTCGTCGTAGTCCTAAAGTCCCCCTTTGTTTTTTGTGACTATGGTTTGAAGCCTCAAGTTCTCCACTTTGACCGTTGCCATTTAGTTTTGCTGCAACCTGTAAAGGAAACAGGGTAATGAAGAAAACAGTTTCCAATATTTGAACATGTTTTTTAGTTTTTATTAACCAAGAGCTTCATTACCCTGAATATACCCATACAATCTGCATTTAGGAATTTGCTATTGCAAATGAGTTAAATGCAAATATGATTCTTAGGATATTATTTACACTTTGAAAGACACATGCACAAAAGAAGTCTTTAGATACAAAACCCACAAGACAGAAAACGCCTCTCAAAGAATCCCTGAAGAGGAGTCAGCGGATAGATGAAAGCAGCCTCCGTGCGTCTGCTCTCCGTCCAGGTGCGCTTCTTTGACCTGCGCATCACCTTCCTGCTGACCGCATTGAGGGTGGACGTCAGGGCGCAGCTAGTTCGGGAGCTCCACGGCGTCAGTCTGCTAGGTAACCCCTTCAACGTGTGACCAGTGTACGTAACGCCGGGTTCATTTTATCGGCAAACAAAGTTGTGCAAGTTGTCGTAAGCGACCATCTGCGACCTATCTGACTCGTGGCGAGTTCAGAAACGGAAACCCACAGAACACAGGCGAGATTGGAGCTTCAGTTCACTTGGATTTATCTCAGCCACAAATGGCTCAAAGAAACCCAGAATTCAAGTTTTATTGCACCATTGGGCTCTGATTAGATTTGACACCATTATGTGTCGCGATGTTTGGATTAATTTCATGCAAAATACACATTAGCGCACAAATGGTTGTGTAATCACGGTACAACTCTGGAGATGATTGTGTCTTTATTATTATTATTATTGTTTAGAAATGATTGTTGATGAATATACATGGAGTCTCCAAGGTAACCAATACTGGTCGTGTGAAACTAATGGGGATTTGTTCATGATAAATCTATAAAGATAAAACAATAAAAGACGCGCATTTAAAAAGAGGTTTAAAGAGCCTCCTCTCCGCGTGTCTCCAGGCAACCAGTTGGATGCCACCCTGGGTCTGTGCTGGCCAGATACACTGGAGGCGGCGAGGGGAGGGTCCGAGGACGTCCCACCCGAACAACTGCCCCCACTGAGTCGGCAGCAGACGGAACTCGCCATCGAGATACTGAAGATACTGTTTACGGTCACGTTCGACGCGAGCAGACGCCAGGTCGACGAGGTACCGCAGACGGTCGGGGGCCGCTAGGTTTTCTCTTTGGGGCCCGTTGTGAATTTTAGCGTTTTTGAACTAGTTAATCGGTAAATAACAGGATTCATTTTCTTATGTGAAGGAAGAGATGGCAGAGTACAGACATCTGGCAGCTATGCTGAGACACTGTCTTATGAGCCGCGCAGACGGAGAGGAGCGAACTGATGAGTTTCACAGGTGCACGCGTCTCTCTTTCTCTTAATCGTGCGTGTAGCCGTCGCCCTTACTTGACGCGGTGCCCTTACTCTCCTCCTCTCGAGCTCAGCCACACTGTCAACCTGCTGGGAAACCTCCCGCTGCCCTGCCTGGATGTGCTGTTGGTCCCCAAAGTGCAGCCGGGCTCCATTGAGTACATGGGGGTCAACGTGGATGCTGTCGACATGCTGCTGGAGTTCATGGAGAAAACACTTGACCGGGTGAGACGCTCCGGTGCAAATGTGGGTTCTTTACCCCGGGTACAATTATCATTACTGCGAAGGTGTGAAGCGTAACTTTTATTGCAGTAAACCAAGTTTTCTGGGAGGATGATCTTTACCACTAACGTTAGACTTTAACGTTAGTCTGAGACGTCTCGGACGATCCGACAGCTTGTAAATCATTTTTTCCTTGTCTTTCTTCCCAGGGACACAAGCTGAAGGAAACCCTTCTCCCGGTTCTAAACCTGCTGACTGAGAGCGCCCGAATTCACCGAGAAACCAGAAAGTTCCTCAGGTCAAAGGTCGGTTCTGGGCTTGGGGAAAGATTTTCCAACGACGAGGAGTCGGGCGATGAGTTTTGATGGCTCGTATGCGTTCAGGTGCTGCCTCCACTGCGCGATGTGACCAACAGGCCAGAGGTGGGCAGCGCGCTGAGGAACAAGCTAGTCCGTATCATGACGTCCATTGACACCGACGTCAAGGACTGTGCTGCAGAGTTCCTCTTTGTCCTCTGCAAGGAAAGTGGTGAGGGAAATTCCTATACGTCGCTTTCTTTCTTTCAATGTTTGTATAACATGATCATTCCAAAACTAGCTGTGCTGTGAGGATCAAATCTTAAAAACACAAACCTTGGCTAGTGTTATGGTCTAACGGGTGATGGCTTCAACCAAGGTCTCGTTGCAGCGGTTTCCCAAACTCAAGAACGCCGCGGCCCAGTTTGAAATCTGGAAAATCTTTTGCGGCCCACCCGAACCTTTAATCACGACTCCGGTCAAAACACGCGGAAAAGAGCAGCCGTTTCGAGCGAGAGCCTTATTGTTTTATTATTCTGTTCGTTTGAGTTGTTTGTGCTTCATCGATTGATGTTTCACACAACTAATGTGCCGCTAGAATTGTTCAAATAATACTTAAAACTGACAAAAAGATGTGCGTTTTGTATCTTATCAATTATCAATCGTTTTAAGTAAAATACAGAAATTTGCAACCCTAATGTTACGACCATGATACGGATCAAAAATAGGTCAGATAAAAGAATAACACGTAATTCAAATCCTAAATATTTTTATATTAATTTCAAACTTTTCCAAATTGAAAATGAAAAACATTTGATTTATTTATTGGCCTCTCGCGGGCCCACCTGCAGTACCTCTGGTGGGCCGCGGCCCACACTTTGGGAACCCGCTGTCTTGTTGAACTGAGGTTGAAACACTTCCAGGTGAACAGCGCCGTGTTCGGTCCTCTGCAGTTTCTAGGTTCGTTAAGTACACCGGATACGGCAATGCTGCAGGTCTGCTGGCTGCTCGGGGACTGCTGAGGGGGGGCAGAGACTCTGGGGTCTACTCTGAGGACGAGGAGTCCGACACAGAGGAGTACACGGAGGCCAAGGCACAGTCAGTACTACAAACGCAAATGGACCTTTCTTATAACATATATGGTGCAGCCCCAACTGATGGACTCGACCACAAAAACGTTTTTTCTATTATAATGCAATTATTTTGAAACATCAAGATCATTTCTGGTTTTCCTGTCCAGAATAAAATAGCTGATATTATTTTTATTATTTATTTAACTTGATCAAGAGCTTTCCGAGGTGAACTGTACAGTTGGGCGTGATGATGGATCGGTGACTTCCTGACACCTGATCCACTACCTCTCCACCCCGCAACTACAAAATGATCCTCTGCAATTGAGGCCCTTAACTGTTTTGTAGTCTGTATTTAAAGGTCGCAAACTGACCTCTACGCCTTGCAGACTTAACTGTTCATTTTTCTTTTGAAAAACATATATTTTTGCTTTTTTTTTCTGTGCCTTTTGATGTTTCTCTCTTGTCTTTTTCCCCGCTCTAGTATAAACCCAATAACAGGAGTGGTACAAGAAGAACAGCCCAACCCTATGGAGGGAATGACCGAGGAACAGAAGGAGTACGAAGCCATGAAGCTGGTCCGCATGTTCGACAGACTGTCGAGGTTAATAAGAGCAGCACACACGCAAACATACAGCCTTGTTTCATTCACCGTCATTTCCTGGAGACGCACCTCTACCGTCATATAGAAAGTCTTCGCCCTTAATTGTAACGTCGATTATACTGTCCCTGTACTGTTGTTAGGTGGGACCCTTTTGTTTGTCAATCTGTAAATTAATTCGGTGGCGGGTACCATCTTATTTTTTAACCGTTGTGCAAATACCGGGTCTGTCATCACAAAGTGGACTCACGGTTGCATTTGAGCCATTTCTCTTCTTCGCGCAGGACTAATTTCATCCAGCCCATGCAGCTCGGCATGGACGGGAAGATGAGCGAGATCTCTCCGGGAGATCTACACAACCTGGTCCACAATCCTTTGTTCCAGCCAGAGGAGCCGGCTCATTCAGACAGCGAAGAGGAGAATGAGTGACGAGAAGCAGAAACGCGTCATTCCTGCAAGAGAAGACCGGTCTCATTATTCTATTTATTCACATCGCGGGGTCCAATCAGCTCCTATTTACTTATTTTATTGGGAAGCGAGTTACAGAAAGATGGGATTTGTTTAGTCAAAGTGAAAAGTACATGGAACTTTAAGCTTTTTTTGATATGTGCTCCACATTTCCTGTCCATGAACACAACGACGGAGATACTTTATTACGCCTTTAGAGGTGGAGAATAATCGTGTGATTTGTAAATGGCCTAATATGAGCGTTAGTATTAGTTACGTATGTTCAAAGATTGCAAACTTGCGTATTTGTTGTTGTTTTGGCTCTATTGGGAACAACAATAGCTGAACATGATTGGTCGGTTAGTATCTCTCAATCAGCGCTACACACACACTTTACACTGCGGCCATTTGTTTGACTATTTATCGCTCCGCAACTATTTAGTTTCAACTCAACACGGGAGGAGAGGTGGTGTTTTTAAAGCCAAAGAGCTCCACTGTCGGTTTGTGACAACTGTATTTGGGGATTTTAGATGTCTGCTGTTTTACATAAAGATGTTTCATTTTTCAGAAGTGACAGGCGAAGCTGTAGAAAGATAAATCACAATTCGAGTAGAAGGAAATATTTACTTATAATACATAATTACTTATATAGACTACGAAGAGAATCTGAAACACATTATTTTAAAGGGAAAGTCTTTCACGTTGTTATTGTATAACCGTCCGCTCGATTATGGCGTATTAAATGTGAAGAAAATTGTTGTTGTCTCATCCATCCATCTTCAAACCGCGTATCCTTCATTCAGGGTTGCGCCGTTGTCTCGTGTCTATTTTAATGTCTTCGTGGCATTGATTCAACAAGGTGCTGAACGCGTTCTTTAGAAACGTTGGCCCATATTGATAGGAGAGCATCTTGCAGTTGATGGAGATTCGCGGGACGCACGTCCGGGGCACGAAGCTCCCGTTCCACCACATCCCAAAGATGCTCTACTGGGTTGAGATCTGGTGACTCATTGTCACGTTCAAGAAACCAATCTGAAATGATTCGACCTTTGTGACACGGTGCATCATCCTGCTAGAACAATGCTCAGGTAGGCCGTGGCATTTAAACGATGCCCAATAGGCACTAAGGGGCCTAAAGTGTGCCTAAAGAAAACATCCCCCACACCATTACACCACCACCAGCAGCCTGCACAGTGGTAACAAGGCACGACGGATCCATGTTCTTGTGACGCTACACAAAATGCATGGTCACATTTGTATTTAATTTGTATTCATTTGGAATGAAGAACATGTCTTCACGGTGTGTGGTGCTATCTATGGCCAGTAGGTGGCAGTGCAGCGTCTCGTTGCTTGAGAAGACGCTGACGGAAGAAGCCACACGTCTGCCTGTGTCATTGATTTCTATTTTTCTCAGGTCAGTAACCGGTCAAGTGCATTAGGTAAATTTGAATAAACAATTTTAGATGATCGGATTTAACTACCTAATATTTTTATGAATTACTGGGTTTTGTTTTGTAGCTAATGTGACGTTGCTAAGAAAGACCGACGGCTGAGCGCTAGCTAGAATGCTAGTAGCCCTGCGTAACCTCCTTGTTTTATCTGGCTCCTATACATTGATCTAATTATAAAGCTGTTCAACGAAATCAATCTGATCGCTCAAGCTCTCGGGTGGCCGTGGAAGAATACAGTGGTGGTCCAAAGGTTGCAAGGGACTGCATGGCATCTACCTCAGAGTGTGAAGAAGTGATATCCATAATGAAGCATTCATCTGATGAATCCCTAGTCTTGGACAAAACGAAGGCTACTTTTGAACACAGACAGAAACTTGTTCATGATCCCGACCAGTCTGTATCTGTTCTTGACATACCTGGCCTGGTGAGTTTACAAATGCGTAGAATAATATCTAATGAGGGTTCATGTAAATACATGCCCTGCCGTGCCAAATTTGCTGTCCTGTTAATGTTTGTGCCTCCACGTTTAATTCCATTAGTGTAAGTTTGGACATTACATAAGTGCTTGGGTTCTGTTTGAAGTGTGCAAATTCGTGGGAAGCGTGGTTAACCCACAGTATTTGTTTGATACTAGATTGAGCAGGATTTCTTGATGCTTTTTGGAGAGGAGACATCTGGGAAGTTCTTGTCCAAACGGCCCACGTTTTTTCCGACCACACATCACTGAAGAGGCCAAAGCGCTAGTGCCAACTCTCCATGTCAAAGAGCTCCTTAGTTCTGCCCAAGGCAACGACGGTGGTCAATTGAGTTCTCGTTGTGCCATTACTTACGTATTTAATCCTTAACTGTTTAGGATGGGATCGTGACATCGCTTCACTGTGCTTGCTGCTATGGAATGCCGTTTTAGTCAAAATTAAATAAATGAATAAATACATGAAATATGCATTTGAAATACATCATGAAATAAATAAATGAGGCAATAAATACATAAATATTAAATACATTTAATTATTTCATGGTACGTTTATTTCATAATGCCACTTTTCATTTCATGGTACTTTTATTTCATAATGCCACTTTTCATTTCATGGTACTTTTATTTTATAATGCCACTTTTCATTTTCACAGTCTTTTATTTCATAATGCCGTTTTACATTTCACGTTCTTATATGCAAATCAGGGGGCGTGGCTACATATAACATTCAGAACAGACAACAGAGCCGTGTGCAAAAGAAGGCCGTCTAAGGGACGTGAGTGTTGAGATAATGGAAGACATCGGTGGGCTCCGAGGTAGCATGCTAGCATTAGCAGATCAAATCCATCAACATGGGTTGTACAAGCACCTGTGCTTGTAGTACCAGCCTAATGTTGACTTCTTCAACTTGGACCTCTTCCACACGCACGCGGTGCTCGATCAGTCTTAAACAATTTAAAACTTCGTCGTCTATGTATACATCTCGAAGAGCACTTATCCGCCCTAGTATTTCCAAAAAAACCTCAATATGTGTCAAAATCGTATCTGCAGAAAACCCATGTTGATCGATTTGATCTGCTAATGCTAGCATGCTACCTCGGAGCCCACCGAGGTCTTGTGTACGGAGAGCTGTGTTTAGTAATAAAAGTCAAATACGTGTACCACTATCACTGCTACCATTTAGCATTTTCTTTTTTCTGTCTATTTGACTTAAAAGGTTGGTGCGAGCATTCAGATCCTCTTGTCCAGTCTCGAACCTTCTCAGCCGTTTCTGCTCTGTGTCGGCGAACAAAAGATCCAGAAGACCTTCGTCATCGTGGACGGGAAGGCAATTCCACGCAAGGCACACACACATCAGTCGCATCATTTGACGAGCTATTTAAGGCACACTTCATTTTTGGAACATCACATAGTGAGGCACTTGATGGTTTTTACACATTCATACAAACAACATTGATGTCTGTATGATTAGAGAAAAGAGTCAGGGAACTGAGGGCTTGGTTCCTTAACATCAAGCAATAAACTGCTGTTCGGGTATGTTTACGTGTTATGTTTGCAAGACGTAACTTCCAAATTCATTTTCAATTTGTCGCCATGCAAAGTTTCGTCATGGCCTTTATCCTGGAAGACACTTGCGTCTGAAATGTGCCGAGGATGGATGCACATCAGTGTTTGGAAGTGACTGTGGATTTAAAAAGCGATTAGTTAAGGTACATGGAAATAATGTTTCTGCTAGTTCATGTGACACAAATGGAAGGAGAGAAGATAGAAGATACAAACCAAACACTAAGGAGACCCGGCTTAGTAATGTTCCACCAGAGCTTTCTGAAACGGTTGAGAGATGTTTTCGTTCTATTGAAAATCCATTGCCGAATTTCAATACAGATGCTAAACGTCAGAGGTACTATGCAGATATGTGGAAAATTGTGCAACCAGTAGAACACGTTCTAGGTGTGAGATTTGATGTCAGGCTTGAAAAAAACTGGGATGTACAGTCAGGGTTCTGTTACAGACAAGTTTGTCTATGTCCCGGTCCTCAAAACTATCCAGTCTATGCTTAGTAATAAAGAAATACTGGGGGCCTTTCAGCAGACAAGTACATAAAGATGGCTTCTAAGACATTGGTCATGGCGCATATGTGAAAAGTAATCGATTATTTTCTTTGGAGAAGAAGGCTTTACAGCTCCAGCTGTACTACGAGACGGCCAATCCCTTAGGGCCCAAAACAGGGTGCCACAAACTGGCTTGCGTGTACGTTATTTTGAGAAACCTCCCCCCCCAAAATTGAATTCTGTACTGATGAACTTTCAGCTTCTCTTGCTTTTCCACACCGATGACATTAAAAAGTATGGTTTTGATGCCATTCTGAAGCCTCTAGTGGAGGATTTGAAATGTTTGGAAACAGACGGTGTACAAACCCCAGTATCTGATAGTCCATTAAGAGGACGTGTAGTGCAGATCACAGGAGACAATCTTGCACTTCATGGTCTATTTGGATTTGTTGAATCTTTCAGGGCCAAATACTGTTGTCGTGTTTGTTTAGCAGAAAGGGACGCTTTCCAAGGGATCTTTTCTGAAGATCAACCTGGTGTTGTATTGCACTCTAAAGATCTTTATTCTCAACACTTTTTGAGTGTTGACAAAATTGACAATTATTGTCACATTTTGGGTTGAGGAGAGAGTGTGTTTTTTTAAACCACTTGAGTTATTACCATATTTGTGATAACTTTGCTGTGGATATAATGCATGACATCCTGTAAAGGTGTTGGTCAATTTGAGCTTGAACTTGTTTACCAGCACTTGGTTAATACCAAGGAAGTTACAGCCACTAATTTGTGTGAACGGATTGATTCATCGCTTCAATTATGGATACCTGGAAAGAAAAACTCGTCCATCTGCTTTAAAAATGGATGATAGCAATGATCTTGGTTTAAATGCAGGTCAGGCAACACACCTCTTATGTTTGGGGATCTCTTCGACAGTGATTGTTCTGTTTGGCACTGTCTCCTACCGTTGTTACAGATTGTATATATTGTTTTCTCTCCTCGTGTAACTGAAGGCATGGTTTACTATTTAAAGCATTTCAGCCTTTTCAAAACGGTATTTCCAACCAGACGGTTGACACCTAAGCGACATTTTTTAGTTCATTATCCCAGTTGTTGTAAGAAAAATAGGCCCGCTCCTCCATGTTTGGTGTATGAGGTTTGAAGCCAAACATTGTTTTTTCCAAAACTCTTGTTAAAAACTTCAAAAATGTAACCAAAACTTTGGTGAAAGCACATCAGTCTCATATGGCCTTTTATTCTGATGGAAACATGTATTTGGTCACGTACTGTCACCTTTTCTAACGTGATATGTAAACAATACAACACAGCTATGATTGTACAAGACTATGGTGTGTGTTATAGTGTAAATTACGATTTAAGGAAAATGTTTAGCATTAAACAATCTTATTTATTCAGTATTAGACCTGTATTGTTAAAATTAACTCTTTAATAGATTTGAAATGTAACTCTCAACTCCAGTCTCACACTTGTTGGTGTTGGGTTTTTAACTCTATATAGAGTTTATTTAACACTGATCAAATTTATTTGCGACACTTAGAGTTAATTTTCAAATCTATTAAAGCGTTCATTTAACTCTACACCAGTCTCACACTTGTTTTAACTCTACATAGAGTAAATTTACTGATCAGATTTATTTGCGACACTTGGGAGAGTTAAATTAACTCTTTTAATAGATTTGAAATGTAACTCTACACCAGTGTCAAACTTCTCGGTGTTGGGTTTAACTCTACGTAGAGTGTTTTTAACGCTGAGCAGATTCATTTTTGACACTAATTCGGAGTTAAATTGTTAACACTAATTCTGCCATTGGAAGTTATTAGCAAAGTGCAAACCAGCTCTGCTTGGTTTATTAAATAGCAAAGTCAGAAACCAAATCCTCCAATCCGGACTCAAAATGGGTCTTAATAAAATACAACTGACTAATCAAAGTTTGTCTTCACAGTATCCAAAGTGAAAGTCTGAAATAAAAATGCAGAGGTCTTGGCAAAGTAAACATTTAAATAGTGAGCTGAAGAATATATCTCCCGATACTAAAATAATATCAGTCTGGCATTATAAAAAAAGAAAAAAAAACTGAAGACAATTCTCTGGCAAAAACAATAAGTCATCTGATTCTGTTCAACACTCAAATATACACTCACCTAAAGGATTATTAGGAACACTAATGCTGTGTTTGGCCCCCTTTCGCCTTCAGAACTGCCTTAATTCTTCGTGGCATTGAGTCAACAAGGTGCTGAACGCGTTCTTTAGAAACGTCGGCCCATATTGGTAGGAGAGCATCTTGCAGTTGATGGACCAGGACACATTTTTCCAGTCTTCAACCGTCCAATTTTGGTGAGCTCTTGCAAATTGTAGCCTCTTTTTCCTATTTGTAGTGGAGATGAGCGGCACCCGGTGGGGGTCTTCTGCTGTCGTAGCCCATCCGCCTCAAGTTTGTGCGTGTTGTGGCTTCACAAACGCTTTGCTGCGCACCTCGGTTGTAACGACTGGTGATTTCAGCCAAAGTTGCTCTTCTATCAGCCTGAATCAGTCGGCGTGGCATCAACAGGATCATCGTCTCAACTTTCAGGAGCGACGGAACACGTTAAACAAAACAAGAGGCAACGAGATCATGACACAACGTAATCGTTTTAATCATTAACATGTATAGATATGGATTTACACTCTGTTCATAGCTCTGTTTCTATTTGCTTCATGTAGCTTTGTACATATGCTGTGCGTGCAAGGCCGAGAGCAACGTGGGGGGTGGAAGTAAACTCTTCCCCCGAGATGAGACGGAGGCTCAGGTTCATCACAGCCGCCCTGAGAGTTCGATGGAGCGAACACACTGCCGCTATCGCACATCGTCGTGTGGTCATACGGCGTCGCGCGATGGGACGATTACGTGTGTGTGGTTGTTTGATGGAGGGTGGAACCTAAATCGAGTTGAATGTCACACGCTGATGTGAGTCAACAGATGCATGCAGAACTCTAGTGACCCCTGTGAGATTGTAAAAAGGTGGATATAAAGACATCTTAACAAGTCAGGACATATTTTCATCGCATGGATGGCATAACGGGACCAAAGGTTGTGTTTGACATCATCTTCAATGTATACAAATTGTGAGAAAATAAACACGTTTGACATATTTTCTTTCATTGGATAAACTATATTTTTTTATAAAGATGTTGTGTTCATCTCCATTCTTTATAGCAAGAGCATAATTTGTATGAAAAACTAAGCTTTACACAGCCGGACATTTGCCTGGTTTCAAACCTCCCAGTTACCACCTTACGATTTCTTTATGAAGTCGAAGGTCTTGTGCTGTTCCCCTGAATGAATAATTCCCCTGCAAAGAGAAAACAACTGAGCCAAATATGGTGACGAGGCTCTTCATCGGGAATCATATACCGACTGACTGAACTGGACCTTGCGTTTAGTTGTTGGCCCTTTCTTTAAAGAAAGTGGCATAAGACACGTATCGTTGTTTCGTTTGTCTATTTTTTTTTTTTCTCAACGGAATATAAAGAATGATCTTAAACGATAACAGGGAATTGTCATGGTGAACTACTGAGGTCCTGACGTACAGTTACATCTCTCCCCGTGAGCTTGATGGAGCCAATGGACCTGGTCCATGAACAAAAATGGCCAATTCATCGGTTTTCTGCCCCCTGCCAACCCGTCTCACCTGTGGTTTAAAGATGGACGGGGATAGGGTGGCAAGAGAAGGGATATTAAACACCTTCTAACACTGTAATATGTTTGTCAATCACATTCTGATATTTTACTATTTGCCTTTTTATCATTGAAGTGGTTCTGATTTGTGTTCCAGCTCAAAACCACGTCAGGATGAAGAAGAAAAACATGGCTTCCCTTCATCACACGTGTTACTCAGTGGGCTGACGTGAACGTGGCAAAGACTACTTCCTGTCACATGGTCTGTCCTACCAGAGATGGCATAGCTCGTAGCACAAACGCTGTTACAGTACATGGATCGGGACCAGCGTGAGCGCAGTAATCCACAGCCAACGGACGAAAGTATCACGACAAAGCCCGTTTGTGCGCACAACTTCCAAGCCGCCTTGTGGTCCTGCATGCCAGCGTCCTCGGCAGTCGGTGGTGTTAGTGAGCGGTTCAATGACCCGGCTTTAAGTTCCCAAAAAAAAAACAGATGACCAACACAGTGGAAGACTGGGAGCAAATGTAGACCAACTTCCAAAATCAAAGTCACAACGAAACATGTCTACGCCGTTTTCCTGGAACTTGCTCACCTTGGGGGAAAAAAAAAAATTCAAAAAGAATTCAAGGAAGGAAAAGTGAAAGAATCAACTCATAATGACGTCACTCTGTCGTTTGACACAATGATGAACTTCCCCTGCAAGCGTTTTGCCGATGCTTGTTCGGCTGAAGCTGGCTCGGCGCCTTAAACGTGCAACAACACTTCCCCCCCCCCCCGGTCGTGGGACACAGCAGCGGTTCTCCGCCGGCTGATGCGGCACCCGTGCCGTCCTGGGATCAAGTGCACCCGCCCAACGTCGCAATCCCGCCCGCGTTCACAGACCTGTGGCTCCTCCTGTGCGCTCGCTATTCAGACGGAGGCGGCTCAGTTCTTTGGTCTGCCGGCTCGGCCTTCATCGTGTGCGGTTTAGAGACTGCGCGTCCTCCCCCCGCGTCAGCCGTGGCCGGTGACGTGCCGGGGCTCTGCCTCTTGTGGGACAGGGGGCTCACCCTGGGGCGTTCCGGCGACCGGGTTTGCGTTGCGCTCGGGCTCTTTTCGCCCGGCGTCGGCTTTTCGAAAGTTTGCGGCGACGGCGGAGCGACCGGGCTCCTCTTCTCCCACGTGGCGGGAAAAGCGGGCTTCCTCTCCGGGCTCTCGGTTGCGGCAGGAGGCCTCTCGAGGACGGGCCGAGCTGCAGTCGGACTGACAAGTCCGGCTGCGAACGTTTCTTGCGGACCCCGAGCTGCAGAGGACGGACGCCCCGGGCCCCGGGTCTCCTCTTCGCAACCCGTCCTCCCCGGCTCCGCCTCGGGCTCCCGTTTCCCCCCGTCACCGGCTGGACGGACGGAGAGCGAAAGGAAACGAATCTATCAAAGAATAAATGCTCTTCAGTTGTTTTGAAGTGTGAACACCTCTCTCACCCTCCGGAGCTATTTTTGCTTCCTCCCTTCCAGATGAATCTTCGGTGCAGGTGGGCAGGTCTCCTCTGTTTCCACGGAAACGGATGGGGGATCTTTGTAACACTGCCTTCAGCTCTTTAGAGGGAGACAACCAAGAATTAAGTTCCTCAAGACCAAGTTCCTCTTTGATTCGTGAAAACACAGAGAGATTATGAACCTTTTGTTTTAGTGCCCATTGCTTATGATGCTCCTGGTACACGCTGTTTGGTTTAAGTGCCGACCCGTTCAAGTCTGTGCGGGCGCTGTGGCGCGTTTCCCAGTGGGGCTACTAGGGTGACACTCGGGTTTTTAAACCAAGGCCAATACTCTGGCAAATATGCAAGAATTGGATAGATGCCACCATAATAATGCTAGAAGAAGAAGACCTGCAGCAGCGATATTGAGGTTCAGTTAAATAAAGTTAAATTTGAACGAGTCACCATGTGTTTACCGTCACGCCTGGTCTTACAGTAAAGACGGGCTCTATGGGCTTTCTTTAAAAATCCAATCATTATCAAAATGATCTAAATAATGACTACGATATTGATGTTTTTTGTTGTGTTTTTGTTTGTAATGTTTCTCATATTGTAAAGCTCACATAGGCAAACAAATGTTTGAACTGATGTGTAAAAATATCTATTAACCTTTTATAAACGTGTAGTTTGGTCTTAACTTGTTTCATATTCCTGACCTTACGGTTATACTTATAATTCAACGTTTCCGTCTTTACTAAAGGCAAAGCCTCACCTTGAGTCATGGCCAGAGCGTCCTCATGGACGGACACGGCTCTGCGCTGTGGGAGGGCCTTCGCGTGTTGCCGTGTCCTAGGAAGACTCTCTGGAGGTACACACACACAATTAACGTGTCAAATTGAAAAGTTTCAATGTTCAAGTTTTATGTTTCATTAAAACATATCCGCCCAAACCGTAACACTCGGATTGAGACGTACCATCGGTCGCCGATTGTGCTTTCTCGGAACGATCCTGTGCGCCGGGACACCTCCATGGAGACGGGGCTTGATGAAGCAGCTCGGCCAAGTCGGCACCCTGGAGACGCCCCTGGCTCCCATTCTGCGGAGGGAGACCAGAGGGAACGTGGACATGTGGAGGACCCATGAGGCGTCTTAAGCCAACAATCCTGCAAGCAGTGCATGAGCAGATCGACTCCATGTGCTTCATGACCCAAACACACATGTGACGATGAAAGTCATGCCTGAAACCTACTGGATAGTTCCTGTTACATGCCAGACGGGGACGGTCTGCATGTGTTCTTGTCGTTCTCCCTCCTGCTCATTTGTTTCTCTCCCCCAGTGATTACGCTGATTGGCCAACTCCAAACACAGATGGAAAGCAATCAGCAGTTCCGGTGGCAGTCCATAAAGGAAGACTCCTGAGAAGTGAAGTGGGTGTGTTCTGTGCTGCGGGCTGGTGGCCAGTCTTCCTGTACATGAGCTTTAGCTGGCTGCTAGCAAAACTGGAGTTTTGTAAGGTGGAGGTTGAGGACCTTAGTAAGTTGGGGTACCCTGTACATTCTTGCACGTAGGTATACCTTTGTATAGACACACTAGGTGTAGTGGTTGTTGCCTCCTGTGTAACGTTTTCCTTTAGTCCTTTTTTTAGAGAAGCAGGTAAGGTATTTTGTTTGACTTGTTTTGAATGAAGGGCCAGTGGTGAGCTAGGCCTCGTTTTGTTATATTCATTTCATTTGTTTGGCACAACCTGTAGGTCCCATCTTCCACCATCTCCCTCCCTCTTGTTGGGACCTTCTTTTTGTGTAAGAATAAAAACTAGAAAGACACCTGTTACCCTGACTCTGTCGCCTGTCTTTGATTGTTGTTTTACTGTCCTGGAGTCTACAAAAGGGCCGTAACAGTTCCCAATGTTGTCATGGATGGAAGCGGAATATCACATCGCTGGCTCCCTTTGTGAATCCACAACGTTCATGTAACACAGGACATATGGAGATGTACCTTTGACTTGTGTACCGACGTCTTCTGTTTTGAACATTCTGCTTGAGAGTGTTCTATATTCCACCACGGGGCCATCTGAACTCTTTCTTCACCGGGGCTTTTTTGTAATCGTACCTGCGGTGAGGTTTATGTTCATGCCGTCTATGGATCTGACATTTCTGCCCTACTTTCAGTTTTCCATATTTGCTTTAAGAGAAAATCATCGCATGTATTTTTATCAAAGTTAATTCAATGAGGTAATGAGGATGTTATCGGCTAATACCTGTAACCTGCACCAGCTGATTGACTGGAAACAAAATTCAGTTCAGTTCACGTCCTGTCTTATTTTGTAGTTTTCTGCCACTCGTGTCCCCGGGTAACTTCACGTCCTGCCTTGTCCTGTCGTCCCCTGTGATTGTCTGATCGTTTCCACCTGTGTCCAATCACCAGCCGTGTGTCTCTTGTGTCACTTGTAGCGTCATTCTCTTTGGTCCCGGATGTTTTGTATTTACAGCCCAGACGCTTCTCGAAAACAAAAAGACTTTAATAGCCAGAAACTCCAACATAAAAATGGCCGAGGGGCAAAACCGCATACAGGTCCCGGGGGGGAAAGGCAGGCAGGAACGAGACACATCCAGGGGCCTGAAGACAAGGAACATCCGGGACAATAGACAATGACGCCACAAGAGACACACGGCTTAAATACACTAGTGAGGTGCAGGTGATTGGACACAGGTGGAAACGATCAGACAATCACAGGGGACGACAGGACATGAATACTAAAGCTGTGTGTTTAATTTACACTTTAGTTTGACATACAACAGCTTTAATTAAAGAGGAAATGATCACAGATACCGTATTGTTGTGTAAACCTAATACGTTGTTGATTCTGAATGCTCTTATTAACCAATGACATCACCAGGTGTTTTACAGGTGCATTGTGGGTGCACGAAATATGTTTGTCAATCATATTCTGTTGCATGTTTCCACGTTCTCATTTTATATCATGTCTTATGTCACTACACTTTTACTGTCCCGCACAAAATCATCAAGCCAACTTTCTTTTTTTTTTACCATTGAAGTGTTTCTGATTTGTGTTCCAGCTCAAAACCGCGTTATGACGAAGAAGAAAAACATGGCTTCCCTTCATCACATTCTGTGTGCGAGTTCCGCAAGCAGCGTTCGGGAACTTGTTATTGCCTCAGTAAAAGACTGAATTCTGCCCTCTTGTGGTCTGCGTCAGTCACTGTAGCCATTATGTCGTCACATTACAAATGTATGAATGATGTTCAGAGTATTTGACCCCGTCAGTTGTACGTTTGAACCAGTCATCATAGCACCAACGAAGTAAAGGCCTCAAGAACATCGCTCCCTTGTTATTGACTTTATGTTTCTGCAGTTTTTGGACGTTTTTTTAAACAAAGAGTTGCGGATGATCAGGTGACAGAGCGCCGCGTGTTACCTCTGCCGCCGTCTCCGTCGGCCTGCCGTCGTGAAGGTGCGCTCTGAGCTGGACCCTCCCCGCCGAGCTCCCGGCGCGAGAGGCGAGGCCGGCAGGAGAAGCCGGGGGGGGCAGCGGGGGCTTGGCCTTCACGGCAGGTTTGGGCGGCAGAGGCCCGGCGGGGCGCTCGGAGGGAACGGGCTTCAGGGGAGGGGGGGAGTCGGGGCGGGTGGTGTCCAGCGCTCTCACGGGATGCCTGGGGTCTGCTGGAAACAAGGTTAAAAAAAAATTTTTTTTAAGCGAGGGGGGTCAGGAAATTTCATAACTTATTAATTTATGAATTGAAAAAGAGCTTTAAAGAAATAAGTTATTGATATTAGAACATTAACGTTTCCTGAAATATTATGTTTTAATATGTAAAAGGAGAAAATACGCAAAGAGGTCAAATAAACTCCCATAATATATTTTTAGTTTGTATTTTTCTTCTTCTTCCAGTCTGAAAGCAGACATAATATAACATAACGTCGTCTGCCCAATGACAATATTCTCTCCTTGTGTCTCACCTTAAAACGGATTCATCTTCACGGATTCACGTTAACGAAGGAACGTTTTTGTCTATCCAGAGTAGATATGTACCTGATGAAGTGGACATGGTTCGTGGCTTGGTGTGCGTGGCAGGGGGGGCAGGTTTGTCCAGGATAGCGCCTGAGGACAGACGTGGCGGACAGTTGAATCCAAGCTGCACATGTAATAAAGTCTGGGAGTCGACTTAACGGAAGGCGTCGAAGCGACAGCGTTAATGTAAACGAAATATTTCATAAAATGTAGAATGTTACGTTTGTGCTTCATTTACAATATTATCTTTAGAACTACCACAGCAGCTGGCACAAGTTAAACTTGAAATGCATTTCTTGTACTCTTTAACTGAATTACACTGAAGATTATAAGATTTTGCGTTCTCAATAATGACTGAAACGTAAGCTCACCTTCGGAGTTGGCCTTTCTCAGGTCCTCCTCTGTGTTCTGCAGCAAAACAAAGAGATGATGGAAAGTTTGATCAATAGTCTTCTGGAACTTGTAATTCTTAAATCTTAAATATATGCAATCCAGGGAGAGGATGTAACGTGTCCTGCTGGAGGCCCTGCTGTGGTCTATGCCGAAGGAGTTTCTGCTAAACGGGTCAATTGTGCCATCCGATATAATAAAGTTTGACCCGACGGCACAATATGAATTTTCTCGCTGGTGGTCTTTTTTTTTTAAACTTTAAAAGGTTCATCGGGGGCATACAGTTATAATTAGCTAATAATCAGTCGACAAGCAAAGGTCGGCCAAGTCACCAATCGGTTCGTGGACTGTGAGTTGAAAGCCACAAGGTCGGCATTTTGGCCGTTTAGCCGCCTGTTTTTTCTTTTGAGGTGAAATGCAACTTTTTTTTTTAAACGAAAGAAAAATCGAACTGATTGAGAACGGGACAAACTAACGGGTTACTTTTCACCACTTCCTACCTGGCTCGCCTTGGTTTGGGCTGGTGGGGTTTTGGCCACGCCCATTCTGTGCAGCATCACCTGAAGTCTCTGCTCAAAACTAGATGTGCTCTCAGACGCATACTTCTGGAGGACGGTACATGGAGATGGAAAATGTGGAGAAAAAAAACACTTATCATTTCTAGTCCAGACACGCAGGACAGTACTCGGGATTTTACTGGTTGTAACGGAACCAAACACGCAGAAGCAGCTTCAGTTATTCTGCTCCGAATATCCGGAACAAACTCCCAGGAGGCTGCAGGTCTGCTGAGACCCTCAGCGGCTTCAAATTAAGACTGAAGACTTTTTTTCTGTTTGCTTCAGCCTTTAATTAAACCAGTGCTCTCTCATCTTTGGTGCAGGCGTGCAGATCAAGCGCCTGTATCACAATGTCTCTAATTCGTGATTCCCAGCGAAATGCAAGCGTTGCCCCGCCCTCCCCGTTTGAGCGCGTCATCAAACTGACCTTGTGTCTGCCGTCCTTGTCCTCGGGCTCTAATCCCGTCAGCAGTATGAGGCTCTGGCTCTTGCCCTCCCTCAGTGACCTCTTGGTCACCTTCGCTCGCCTCTCACCGTGCGGAGTCCCCGCTAACCTCATCTCCTTCGCCTGCCCGCCGCCGCCGCCGCTCCGCTCCTGCCCCGGTGGAGGGGAGGTGGCCGCGGGGCCGCGGGTGGTGCGGCCCGGTGAGACGGGAGGCGGCTCTTCTCGCGGGTCGGAAAGCGTCGCGGCGGCGGTGGCGGCGCGAGAGGGAGGGATCTCACTGGGGGCCGCCGGCGTGGTTAACGCCGTGGCCGGCGGCGGCGTCGTTCCCCTGGCATCGCCGGCAAGACGTTGGCCGGTGGCGACGGTCCCTTCTGTGACGGCGGCATCATCAGAAACGTTAGCATCCTCCACTGACCTTGCCCCTCTCCCCTTCTCCCTCTCCCTGTCTTTGGCCTCGCGGAGGGGTCGAATGAGGTCTGCAATGGAGGTCCTTTTGACCTTCACCCCCTCTCCTCCTCCTCCTCCCTCGCCCCCTCCTGCCTTGGTGGCTCGGCCGGCCCGAGACCTCTTGAAGGCAAAGAAGTCGCCAAACTTTTTCTTGACGTTTTTGTTGGGGAGTGTGGTGTTGGTGACAGAAGAGGGGGTGGGGCAAGTGGAGGGTGCAGAGAGGGGTGCAACGTCAGCGGATGGGAGGGATGTGTCAATACGCGGAGAGGAGGGAGAGGGGACGGTGGTGGTGGTGGTGGTGGTGGTGGTGGAGGTGGTGGGGGTGGGGGGGATATTGTCAGACGAGGAGCAAGAGGGGGTTGATGCTGAGGGGGTGAAGCTGGATTCTGAGGGAGTGGCTCGGGCAGGGATTGACTCCTCCCACCGGCCTTTTCTGCAGCAGGGAGACAGCAGAAAGAGCAACAGACAAAGAAGAGACACTCAGTACTACGACTACTGCTATGGGACTCAAGACGCACATCGACGAGGGCCACGCAAACAGCGCGCGGCGCAAAAACATCCCTCGGCGGGCGCCGCTTCCTGCTCCAGCGGTCAGTCTGTCTGCAGCACAGTAGCTAGCACAATAGCAACGGGCTTCCTTGCTGTTTTTGCAGCCGGTGGAAGCGGAAGCGCTATCCCCAATTTTGTGCAAAGACCGTAAATATGCAGGAAGACATGCTGCTATTTCAGCCGCCGCCCACGCTGTTTGGGGATGGAACAGTTTCAGGCTTCAAATCGTGTTTTCTCCCTACTTACACCAGAAGGTCACGATTTGGGGAGTGAGTTCTGTTCCAACGGATGCTTTTGCTTGGCGGCTGTTGTTGAAAAAGGGGGTGACGATGAAAACGTTGAAACGGACGCCTATAGCGGGACACTCGGCAGCAATCAATGCTCAGAATACTTTACGCGTGACGCTTCGTACTGCACGGTGTGTATGTCTACGTGGTATTAAACGGAGGGGGATGAGGGATTTGTTAAGCGCTATAAAACATTCAGCATGCGTTCTACACACAACAAGGAACAAAACACATTTTAGTTTCCGGAGAGGTTTCGTCTTCCTGATTAAACAAAATACAAATGACATGAGAAGACGCTGTGTGCTCCCCTCTCACAGTGAATGAAGAATGAATTCAATTCAAACTACTTCCGTTGCTTGCTAAAGACTCTCAGTGTGTTTGGTTACTATGACAACCGTGAGCGGTTGGTTGGTTGTCATTAGCCATAGCGTGCCGCATTTTAGGCTGAAATATGAATGTGAATGTGTCAGGTTTATTAAATTCCACATAAATTCTCGTGGCTTTATAAATCTTCTGTCCTGTTCTTGACTCGTCGCAGGTAAAGATTTCGTCCGCATGTCTGTAAGCGCGTGTGGTCGACTCACAGCGGGTGGTCAGGAATGATCTTCTTGGTGAAGAACTCTTCTACTCCTTCGTCCACTCTGCCCATCGCTTCACTGGCCTCATTCTCCGCCTTTATAACCGGCTCCTGAAACACAAAACACCACAAAACAGCATCAGAATGCAGATTTTGCATCATAGTTTAGATGTTTTTGTGTGTGTGAGAGAGAGAGAGAAACAACAGGCGACATCGTTGCTCAGGAGAATCTTTAAAACTCTACAAAGCCTCATTACACAACAATTACTCGTTTTTCTGAGAATGCTGTTATATTTAACACAATATAGCCAAACAGTACATATACCGTATAAATATTCTTCATTCTAACATAAATCATCACCTCATATTCAGCTTGGAAGCCTAGCGACTGAGAGGCGCTCCAGCGTGTGTCCGGGCAGTTCTATTAGACAAAAGCTGTTAGTCAGACACAACGTCCAAAAACAATCAAAGCAAGCGCACCGTTTGCTGCAGCACGCTACGCGCTCCGCTGCAAGACGCGTGTTTAGTTTGCCGTTTTTTAGTGTCGGCCCACGGAGCAGCGGCTGGTGGGTCTGACAAAGCACAGACAGACGCACAAATGCATGCGATCGCATGGTTCTTGTGCATGATCTGACAATAATTAAAAAAAAGCAGAATAATTGTAACCGTTGTGATGCGTTCTGATGAATGGAAAGTTGCTGTGGACCAAGCGATGACCGTTGGGACGTGTGAGCAATATTCTTAACTTGGTCAAATCCAATAAGCGGAAAACTCCCGAGCAGCTGACAACGTCCTATTTGTTCCTGTTTTTCCTCTTTGGTTGCATTTTTGGTATTACCTATTTGCCATGACCTTTAGCCCCCCCCCCCTCCCTCGAAGTTGGATCAGCAACACCCGTCGCTCCCGATACACGTCAGGCTCCGTTAGTTCGACAAAAAAAAATCTCTCTGACCGCCGAGCTCTGCCTGTAATTATTTCCCACCACTTTGAATTTAGTAAAAAACTACTTTTTGCAAACTCCTCCTACATACTGGCTTCAATTGTTTGCAAATTGTGCAGAATTTGTTGTCTAGAAGATATTGGCCAATGACCCTTTTGTGTTGTGCTGTATTTTCAATCCGCATAACTTCCAAACCATGTGAGGTGGCATCATCACATGTGCAGAACACGTCACGGATCACACCCCAAAATTTCCAATTCAGCCTTTTGGCGTTTTCAGACTTCCTCCGAGAGACCAGAATGCTGTGAAGACGTTGTAGTGTGTGTAAAGTCTGGGGCATTTTTGATGAATGGACATTAATGGGCTCCCATCTTCCGCCCATGTTTTGCACATGGACCAAAATATAATTTTTCGTAGCTCCAACGCACAAATCTGGCCGAAGTGCATTTTGCACGATGGAAGTTCAGGACTGGACCCATTTCCACGCCAAAAATCTGTGACTTTTTGATCGTGTGCGTCGGCATGTACCTGGTACCAGACTATCCCAGTGTGTTTAAACCATTTACACTCTGCTCATTCTCGTCTATTAAGCAGCACCTGTGACCGTAGTGACTGAACATGCGTTGAGTTGCCATCCCCGTTCGACGCCTTTCAGGCTCCCCTCACATTTCCCAACGCGCTTCTAATCAGTCAACGCAACACGCAACACGGCTAAAAAGTCAAACTAACAGTGAGCAAATGGCTAAATGACCTACTCTTCTGTCAAGACCTTAACTTTGTTAAATCAGTTGCCAAAATAAAGGCTTGGACTAACAACGGGTTCTTTTCTTGTTAGTGAACACGGCACTTTTCTCCATCTTCATTATTCTACGTCTTATTCATTGCCACCTCCGTCGCAGCCACCTGTCTCTCACACACACACACACACACACACACACACACGCACCATGCATAGGCTGATACATAGAGTGACATCTACAGCAACACACTGCACGCTCTGCAGGTGAAGCTTTACAGCATCTGGAGACAAGAAAACCGTGGAAGAAGATGATGATGCAATTTTCGTTCTTGTCACCAACTGACCTTTTTTTTTCTTGCTGTAAACTCTAAATAACTCTGACACTGAGGTGAGGTTTTGCGGTAACAACCACGGTATCGGTGGCGGGGAAAAAAAAATGACGAGAGACGTCCATGAGGGTTTTTCAGCCCCCCCCCCACAGTAGTGATGGAGCCTGATTGGTGCAGTCTTTGTCGAGTCCACCCGACCCGACCCACAAACCCAACATGGGTAGAAAGAGATATTCCCGACAATTAAGCCCCATCTTTCTGCTGCTGGACGAGTCGGTGCTGGGTGGGACAGTTCACATGATTCGATAAGTGATGGCCAATATATCGATATCAAATCAACATGTCATACGAGACTGTTGTCTTATTGTCTGGTACATTTCTAGTCTTCTGATTCCTCGGGTTCAAAGGACACATTGAGTTTTATTTTGTAAAAAAGCTCATTGTGTTAATGTTTTTTGGTGAAAGCACCCAAACATGTAATAGCGTCAATTTTTCGGGGGCCATTTGGATTATTTCCCAGAACTACTTTTTAAAAAAAAAGTCCGGTCTTGAAATTGTGTCGTTGCACAACAGTGTGCTCAATGGCAACATGCATCGTTTGTGTAGAAGCATTTGGGCGTGACGCAATAGAGAACCTTTACAAAGAGCCGCTTTTAGCGGCACACGTGTTTCACGTGTTCTAGAGGCTTAAAGAAAAGCATCTTTTCCCTTTTTTCCACAACGGCGTCAGCTCAATATGCCGAGCTGCCTTTTCCCCCCAAATAGGCAGTGTTCTTTGTATCAAAACAACAAACATAACTCCTATTTGGGTGTAGGACTTGTGTATTTTATTTTGAAATATGAAAAAAAAAAAACTTTTCTTTTTAAAAAAAAAATAGTGGCCATATGTAACTGACGGCGAAGTGACGACATAATGCAGGCGCAGGCTTCTCTTGGTGTGCTGAGTCTTATGATTATGTGATTCCTGCAGGAATCACTATCACGACAGGTGATACGCCCGCCATTTTAATTAGCAAATGTTCGTGTTATTTATTTTGGCGAAAGCATGTATTTTTCAGAGCTTTCGTGACTTATGACGACATGAATGTGGAACTCGCGCTTCCTCCTTTAGGGCGAAATAAATGTCGGCGTCAGGTCAACTCGCCAACTCGACCTGGCTCCAGCCGGGAACGCTAGATGGTCATGGAAGCCCTTCTTCAATCAAGCTAGCAAGCTAAAAGCCTAACGGGAATCTACAGCTTTTCAATTTGTATTTGAATTTGTAAAAAAAAAAAAAGAACTCCAGTTGGTTGGACAATTTACATTAAAGTCAAATACCAAAAAAGTAAATGATTTACTCTTCTACGTTACACACGAGGTGCAATCTGCCCACGCAAGGTCACTGCAGGTGAAGAGACGTCAACCTCCCCCCGTTATCACAAGTGGAGCACAGGAAAAGAGTCCCCCAATAATATGAACACATGAATAACTGAGTCAGTCAGAGAGAGAGAGAGAGATGGACGCAGGGAACACGACTCCCAAAATGGTTCGGCTTGTTCTCACACTTCACTGAGCACGACTACACGGAGCGAGAGGATGCAAAGATAAAGATGGCTTCCGTCATTGCTACAGGAAGGAGGGATGGACGTGGTGGATGTTTTGCTGCATTAGCCTCAGCATCACGGTCATACGAGCGCTCTGTACTTCTCTTTTTTTTTTTTTTTTAACCACTGTGTTGTTTCCTCCATCTCCATCGCCTTCTCCTCCCCCCCCCCCGTGTGGTCGTGCCATTAGCTCCCATCAACTTAAACTGCCCTTCCCTCCACCCTTCATCCGTCTCCCGCTTCAGCCGGCGTGTAAATCGCGTGCATGAATACAAACGACGTGCAAACTGACAGCTGTTTTGTAGGTGTTTGTGTGTGTGTGTGTTCTTACCTGAGGCCTGGGGGAGGGGGGCTGCGTGTGTGTGCGCCGTGGCCTTGGACGGGTGGCAGTGTAGTGCCGTAGAATCTGCCCCTGGGTGGGTAGAGGCTCCATGGGAGAAGCGGGGGATCCGGAGCCGGGGAGGGGGACCGGGCTAGGGCGCGGCTCGGGACGGGAGCGCGTCGTCTGGGTGAGCCGCCGCGGCCGGCAGCCTCCTCGCCTGCAGCTCGAGCGGGACCGAATTGCGGGAGGGGAAGGGGGAGCCGGGAGGAGGAGTGACGACGCTCCGCTCGCTCCTTGATATTGGCGCTGCCGCAGCATCCGCTGCCGCCGCCTCCCCCTCCTCCCTCCGCCTCCTCCCCGTCGGACCCGAGAGGGAGGGGGAGGGGCTCAGAAACCGGACTGACAGCGGGGTTGCCATCGGCAACCGGGAGAGGCAGGACCTTCTCCCTCCTCCTCCTCCTCCTCCTCCTCCACCCTGTCGCTCTGCTCCTGCGTCCCTGGTCTGCTGCTCCCAGTCGGCATCCAGGAAGCCTGAGAGCGCAGCGGCGAGACGGATGAGAGGAGACGCGGCGAATCCGGCCCATGCAGTCTGAGCGCTTTTTTTGCGGAGATGCGCTGTATGTAGGGCAGGCAAGCCGCATGCGAAAGACACGAGAGGGGAACGAGGAGGAGGAGGGGGTGTCAGATGACTCTGATAGAGGGGGGGGGGGGGGGGGGGCACACAGAGAGGCAGTTTGGAGATAATCAGTCGAGCATAAACATGCAGAGAGGAAGCAGAGCAGCAGATTTAAGGCACATTATTCTGTTAAATGAAAGCTATCGTCCAATCAAACAAAAGGAGCGGGGTTCGGGGGGAGGGGGGGGGGGGGGGGTCGGGAGCTACAGCGTCCTACATCCCCCCCACCCCCACGTTTCCTCGTCATCCCCTCCCCCATCTTTTCTCCCCCCCCGTCTCGTCTCTCCCAGGGTGGAAGTCACGGATGTGAGAGTAAACAGGCCGTGCTCCACTTGGCCAAAGACGGCCGTGTGTCCACTAGGGGGCGCGTCCTGCAGGGGGGAGGACCAGGGGTCAAACGAGACGTGCAACGCGAGGTAAAAGGTTTACGGCCTGAGTTGGTTTGTTCCTGACGGCTGGAGTAACAGATTTAAGCACATTAAGCGTCACAAAGGGGTTTCTAGCCTGCAAATGAGAAAGAAAACATGACGAAAAAGGGGGGGAAATAAACAGGGCTGTAAATTGTTACATTGTATATTTTCAAAAATATGTTTCTCTATTTGAATCTTCCAGGCAGTACGTCTACTAAATTGGGCGTCATTGCATCTGTTTGGTGGTTTATAACTATAAATATGTTTCATTTTGTGTTTTGCATTTGGACAAAAGTAGCAACGTATTCGAGCACCAGAGTCAATTAAGAAGACCCCAGAAAGGCCCGACCGCTCTCCGTCCCGGCGCTGGTTCTCCTGTGTCTCCCAGCGACACCTCCCGGATCTCCAGCCGCGCGGTGGAGGAGGAGGAGGAGCCTCTGCTGCTCTCGCCGGGGCTCCGACGGCCGTTACCCGATCGGTCGGTCAAAGGCTGCGGTAATCGGGGACCTGGGGTCGGCCCCACGTGGCCCGTCTGTCGCTGGAGGCCCCCCGCTGGAGAAGAATCTAAAGGAGGACTTGGTAGCCTTTGTAGAAGCTGCATTTAAGTGAATGTATTTAAATGAACGTGTGCAGGCGAGACGGGCGCTCCTATCGGTTGGTCGGCGTGCTGCTCAGCCGGGAGAACACCGAGTTTGAGCTCGGCCTCGGCCCTGTGGCGGCGTGCAGAGGTGAAGACAAACGGCTTTGGGGAAAGGCCGAAAAGAATTTCTGCCGAAACAGCAATAAATAGTTTTTGTGATTGGATCTGACGGCAGACATTTATAATAACTACAATATATAGAAAGAGATCAAGAGGTCAGTTGTGAATCAAGTGTGTTTCATAGTCATGGGTTGAAATGGAAACTGAGGTAAATCATGTTTTGGGTGCAAGTTTGTAGCAAAGTTTCTTTGGTACCTTGTGAGATGCAAAATTGTTATTGCTGGTGATCATAGAGGAACATTAAGCAGCTTAAAAGACATTTCAGGATGTTTGCTAACACGTTTACCAGATCAACAGCGCATTTTTAGTACATTGTTTTTATTATTACAACTTGCATCTCGTGGCTTTGTAAGAAACACAGACACCCACAAATGCAAACGGCTTCAGCGGGAGGAGGAAAGACACGAAGGAACACATCGTTATTGTGGTTTTATCTCACTCTCAATTGAAGGAGCAGGCCTCAGGCTCTTGGAGTGGAAACTATTCCTCCAAAATGCCGGACTGTACTGGTGATGAGAAAGAAAAAGCACAAGATGGAGAGAAAAGGTAAATGCGACACATAAAGGAATGAGTGAGTAACAATGATGGACGGCCAGGTAGGTAACGGTCTCTCACGTCATCAGTCGGGAAGTCACTGTGGACCAGTCGAAGCTCTGGGACGTCGATGTTCAGGGCAGTAGACACATTTTCTTTTATAAGATTATCCTGTACAGTAAATACAGAAAGACATCAATAGTAATGAGTGGAACATATCAAATATATATATAATATACACATATACATATACACATACACATATATATACACATACACACATATACATATACACACATACACACATATACACACATATATATATACATATACACATATATATATATATACATATACATATATATATAATACATATACACATATATATATATATATACATATACACATATATATATACACATATACACATATATATATACACATATACACATATATATATACACATATATATATACACATATATACACATACATATATACATATACACATATATATACATATACATAATGTATATGTATATATATATATGTATATATATACATATACACATATATATAATGTATATATATATGTATATATATACATATACACATATATACATATATATACATATACACATATATACATACATATACACATACACATATATACATACATATACACATATATACATACATATATATACATATACACATATATACATACATATATATACATATATACATACATATATATACATATACACATATATACATACATATATATATATATATATATATATATATGTAAAGATATGTTTTGAGACTTCTTGTTTCCACGGTGTTCCATGACAGGCACAATAATAAACGTGAACATCAATAATAAGCGTGTGCTCTTCATGACCAGGAGGTGAAAACGTGCCTAACTCCATCCTACCAAGGTGCTTCATTGACTGCAGTGGACTACAGGTTACAATGTAAATTCTATAGATAAATTCATGTGTTATTAAAATCTACGGCTGGTCATAAACTTATTAACTAACGTTAAAATAAAGGATTTATTTCCCATGATAAATATAAAATGGATGGACTATAGTAATCAACATCATATTAAGTCACACTAATGGAAATGAAACCACACATTTACCATTTTGTGCTGCGCCGTTGTCAGATCGTGAACAACCTGTTCGATGAGGCTTTCAGCCAGAGAGACACTGAATGTTTGTCTCAGTTCATTAGATGGGGGGACAGGAGACAACAAATGCGCACATCAGAGGGAAGACCAATTCAAATGAATCAGCCACTCATTTACAGCCATCAAAAGGTAATATTGGGGTAGTGGCTAAAGGGTAATCGGACGCATCTATGTTCCTAAAAGGTAACTCCACCCAACAGGTGAATGAAGACACACACGGAGCTGATAGATATATAATCTTTTTCCCAAAACAAGAGTTAGGGGATTAGGGCCGTCCCACCGTCCCACTGTCAAAATACCAAGTACATGAGGTCTCCCACGCAGACAGTTGGAGCCCTTTATGCACACTTTGACAGACTTTACCTGAGGGAATTACCCACAATTCATAGCATGTATTGAATTAGGCAGGAACCTCTGATTTTCCTGAGTGAAGTCAATCGTGTGTATTAAGTGTGGTTTCTCTCTGCTGACCAGTAAAGGGCAGAAAAAACAAATCAGACTGTATAAAAATCCATTCAAAAATAAAAACTCATTAACGCCCCTCGGCGTTCCAAATATGGTACGTTCCATTCATTGGGTGCAAAGAAGCGCAAAGGCCATATTCCAAGAGGGAGACTGCAACATTAGCAGTCCACAAACCAATCTGAAGGTGAACGTGGACACGGTTCTTGAAGGCCTTCTCTGCTTCAGAGGTCCAAAGAAAGGGAATATGGAGGAGGTGAGAGCCGCGAGCGGGGAAGCAACCGTGCTGTAATTCCAGATGAACCTTCGACAGAAGTTGGCAAACCCTGAAGATGTGCCGGGAGTCGGGGACAGACCAGGTAGCGATGGAAGCCACCCCCGCGGTCCGTCCCGCTCGCATTGGGTTCGGCGGGTAGGCTGGCATACGGTATTCCGGCGAGATGGAGCTCAGCCCCAAAACCACAACGACGCTGTATTACATGAAAGTTATTACCGCAGTTTGTTGCTGATGATCGGCCCCATATTCTCCACCAGGGTTCTTGTCAGGAATGTGTCGGTCTGCCTACTTCTCTTGGACACGCACTCCGACAGGCATTCTGACACCCTGGATCGCTGGATCGCTTGTGGACACGTCGCCTCTGCACCCCTCATCAGGTCTTGAGCCAACGCCTGGAAAAACAAGGGTTTGTAAGCGCGACCAAGAGCGGGCATTACCGAGACAAGGCAGAAGCCGCCGAGGAAGCAGCCTCAGACCAAGCCGGACGTGGTGTCTGACTAGCGCTATATCATACGTAGGTGCTAAATTTGAAATTCGGAATAATAATATTGTCATGCTCAGCCCGCCTCTGGGACAGGCTCACGTGTCCAAAGGCCTTTGAAGAACTGTTCAAACCAAACGGACTTTCAAAGAGACCAGAGAGAAACAATGAATTGCTACAAAAAGTGACTAAAAAGATACACGTTTTGTGTGTCCTGCTGAGGTGTTGGGGCCGTTGGCATATCTATAAGATGTTATCCAGCGATTCCCAAAGTGTGGGCCGCGGCCCCCTGGTGGGCCGCGAAGGTACTGCAGGTGGGCCGCGAGAGGTCATTTACAATAAATAAATAAAGTTTTTTAATTTTCAATTTTTAAAAGTTTGAAATTAATATATAAATATTTTATGATGCGGCACATTAGTTATGTGAAACATTAGTTGATGAAGCACAAACAATTTAAACGGACAGATTAATAAAACAATAAGGCTCTCGCTCCAAACGGCTGCTATTGTCCGCCTGTCGTTAAACAAACGCGGCGCCCTCTTGTGGTATTAAAGTAAATATACCGCATTTTCCGCACTCCAAGGCGCACTTAAAAGGCTTTAATTTCCTCAAAAAACGACCCTGCGCCTTATAATCCGGAGCGCCTTATATATATGGATCCATTGGTTAATCGGTTGATCCATACTGGTTGTACACGGCTGCCAAACATGCCAAAGCTCGTCTACGACGGCGAGATGCTGAGTGAGATACGGAGCTGCTTTCAGGGCGCGTCGGAGAAACAAAGCTGTCGTTCTCGCCGAGGACTTCGTAAGATTAAAGAGCGAGAGACGGCGCCCTTTTCTCTACAGTAGCTGAACCATCTTAACGGGAACAGAAGTTATTCTAAAAGCAGCCAAAGATTTAAGGCGTGGATGGCTATTTACAACCATGTCATCTAAGTTGATGGATTACTCAAAACATGCATATTTAAAAAAAAACAAAAAATTTCTTCTGCATTCATGATGAACCGCTGCTGTTACGCAGCCCGAGTTATGCCGTTAAGGCGTTTACCTTGTTCTGGAATCTAACACACGACTGTTTCTGGAATATTCTCGTGACCGCCTACGATCGTTACACCAGCGAACAGCGGGCGTTGAACGTGCACCTGTATACTGCCGTTGAACTCGTTCATTAGCGCATTAGCGGCGTCGGCGAGGGTGCAGTTCACCAAGTCACCATCAGGGGCACACTTCCTGCCGGCCTCGCGCAGAGAGGGAAGCAGCTGCATGCAACGAGACGTTAGGATAGAGAATCAGTCACATGGATGTACTTTTAATGAACAGAGTACTCCAGAGGCTGTGTGTGATTATTTAGTCCAAAAAAAAATATAATTCAAAATTCATTCAGTAGCCCGTAACCTTCAAGGATTCCCTCGCGGTGTACAGCATCTCATGTGCAGTCACGATGTCATCCTGGACCTCCTGAACGCTGCAGTGGTTTAGATGTTGGAGGCTGTTCTTCAGCTGCTGACACAAATCCTGGACCTTCTGAAATGGGAGACGACCGAGAAAGACGTGGCTAAAGAAACAGGCCGAGCGCTTCCACGTCAAAAGGAGACCACGGGGACTTCTCTCTTCATGTAACCCCTCAGCAAACATCTCTTTTAACCATCGGATGTGCTAATCGGACCTTCTAATGTAATGGCGTTCTTATGAAATTGACCGTGAAATGAATCAATAAGACACCTAAATTGAGCCCTTTTTTTTTTTTTAACACTTTCAGTTTACTACGTTGGAGTTTTGTTAACTTAATAATGTGTTGCTTAACTTCTTACCTTCTCAGACTGGCGAGCTCCGAACCCTTTCTGAGCTTCCACCGTTTCCGACTGTCTCCGGTTGTTTCTGTCCAAACATTGCTGAATCTGCACACACACACACACCGGAGGTGTACAGCAGAGAGTGGCGAAATCTAGGCTTAATACAATTGTGCGTTTGAGATTTACAGCACATTCTCAACTTGTTGTGATCCAGACGAGCGTAAACAATGAACACTGACCCTGTGCAGAGCCTCCTTGGTTCTTTCGGGGTTGCTGCGGTAACTCTGGGTGATGTCAGCCAGGCCGGACACATGCAGCAGAGTGAAGTTCCTACACGACACAGACACACAATATGTTATGTGTGTGTGTGCGCGTGTGCGTGTGTGTGTGCGCGTGCGTGTGTGTGTGCACATGCATGACCTCTCCAAGGCATCAGCCACATCCTGGAGACCTTTGGCGGTTACGTTGTTCCTGTCCCATGTCAAGGTCCTTGAAAGAGAGACAGAGGTCAGTTCAGCTGCATTAAGTCGGCTCCGGAGTCTCCGGCGGCGGCGGGGAACGTCAAGTCCACGCTCCTGAAGGTCGGCGGTGACACCTAGTGGCCAGCCGCGGCCTCACGTCCTAACGTCAACTGAGAGGAGAACCTGAATCGGGCCGGTTCTTGACTTGGCTTATTAAAAGGTAATTGATCACTTAAGCGGATCAATGCTAGAACCGATTCTATTGTTCTTTATTTCTATATTCTTATCCAATAGAAATGTGCACATGTATTACAAGAATAAAACAAAGTGCTTTACTTCTAGCTGGATTGTTTGTGGAGAAAATTCTACCTCAGCCTGGTGTTCGTCATCAGGGCTTTGGCCAACATCTTGGCTCCAGTGTCTCCGATGTTGTTCCCACTGATGTCCACTTCGGTCAGAGCGGCGTGGCCGCCCAGAGCGCTCAGCAGGCCGTGCATGGCGCTCTTCAGCTTGGAGTCGCACATCGATAGAGACTGCAGGGGCTGCGCGCGCACACAAATCCACAAAGACACGTGGTTTAGAGGCGGGCGGCAGAGCCCAAGGAGGAAGGAAACGTTTGGATTGAAAAAAAAAAACGAGCAAGTAAACTGATCACGCTGTGTCACTCACACATTCTTCGTCCTGAATGAGCTGAGCGATGCGGTGAACGACATCGGTGAGCGCTCTGGCGGACGGGAAGCGGGCGTGAAACAAAACGTGGTTTAGAAACAGAGACGGATCTGAGACACGAGAGTAGATGCTTGCAGTGAAGGTTTGGTTCCATTTGGACTCGGCTGTGGCTGATATGATGGAGGACATTCAAATAAAGGTGAGGGATGTATCCCTTTGTCTTGGGTTTCCTATTTCCTATTAATGTCACTACGTTGTAGCCGATAAGCTTTACTCACCTGCAGTCTCCCCAGAACTGTTCTGATGAAATAAAAAAAACATCTATGGCAAGAAATGTTTAAACACTTTTCTAAAAGTCCTGCTGTCTTCGCCCCCACAGTGTCCCTGATCTCTGCCTCTTTTTAAGAGCCTTTGTAGTAAAGATGTATCTGTTGGGACTACATATGGAATTCAGCGGCTAGACAGATGTTGTGCGACGGGCTGACGCCACGTTCCCCAGACCTGGACTTCACGGGAAAGTTCCTCCCCAGCGCGAGACGTCGAAGGGCGTGACACCGGCCGACGGACAGCACCAGAGTCACCATGTCCTTCTCGAAGCCTGCGGCGGACGGAGGGACAACGCGGAGGGTCAAAGGACTCGGGGGACAAAGGACTGGAGCTCGTGGGAGGTTGGAGTCGCAGGTCAATTGGAGGGGAAAGAGCAGCTCGCTGACCTGGAACTCGTTGTGTTCTCGTTTTGTGTGTTTAAACATGAACTGGACCGACGTCCTCAAACTAGGAGAGCAGATTAACTGCATGCACGTACACGTTTTTACTTTGAGAGTGTGTTTGTGTGATTTCGCGTACCGTTGTCAGAGAGATCCAGACTTCTGATAGACGCGGCTTCAGATATGTGCTCCTGTATCACCTGGGCCCCTGCGGAACGCAGCTTAACACACACACACACACACACACACACACACAAACACAGGCATACAGTAGATTGTTTACTGGAGCTGGAAAAAGACGTTTTTTTTTTTGCATTTGTGTGTGAACTCTACCTCACAGCTACTGAGGTCCAACTCCAGCCCGGACAGACGGGTGTTGGTGGCCAGACCCTGTAGTAATAACCTAGTTTGAAACAAAACACACAGGTCTACACACAGCGGACTCACCGTGAGCAATCCGGCTTCCTCTTGCACTATAACCAACCTTTTAGAACTGCAGGAAGTGGCAGCAAAGTTACTGACAACAAACACCGTGCCGATTAACTAGAAGCTGAGCTACTTTTCTTTCTACCGTCGGAGGTCATCAGCACAGGCAAAGACAAATAGTTAGAGTATTAAATAAAATATTTCTAGAGGAAAGTCTTGTTTTCGAACACGGCCTTATAACTGCGCAAAATGAATATTTAAATTCCCTCACTTCTACTCATTATAGTGCAATTTATATTGTGGTGCAGAACTAGCTTGGGGTGAAAGTCATTGTTCTACCAATAAAGCCGTAATGTGATGTGAATCGTAAAAGCGAGGAAAGACGTTCAACGTTTACTTCAAAAGGGAACACAACGTTACGGCAACACGGGAATAAACCCACCTGAGGGCTTGTGGAGGTAGTTTGGTTGCAGACAGGCCCACATATTGGAGCTCAGTGCTCTGACTGAAGAACTCCCGAATGCTCCTGGTTACCTTCTGCACCTTTCTGCACACAGACACACACACACACACACGCACGCTTATAACAAGCCACGAAAACACAAACACCAGCTGACCTGATGAGGAACTCTAATGGGAAATATGGCCTGAAAAGCTGTGCAAAGACACACACATGAAAACAAGGACTCGTGTAATACGTGTGTCCATCGCCTGGATTGTGTTCTTAAATCGTGTTTCACCACTTTGTCGCGTTGTGGGACTGTGAAGTTATGCCATAGGATTAACAAGCCACCGGTGCATTGCTGAAGCTAGTGGACATTCTGCAGAAACAGAGAAGACTGCAGCAAAGCCCGAACTACAGCAATAGAGAGCTTTAGGTTTTGCTACAGAATAAACACGTTTGGATTTGAATTGAACGTTCTATCCTGCTTTATTTTGACTCAACACTCAGAGTTACTTTACGAATGACACAAATCCAACACACTGGTCCAGTTCTGCCACAATGCCGACTTGTCTGATGCAGAGAGGAACCACAGGGACTGAAGAGCGGCGCTGACCTGTGGCTGAAGGGGTTTCTGGCCGCGCTCAGTCGCTTCAGTTTGCAGCATCCGGCGGACAGGGACACAAATAACTGCAGCAGAAGGTTCACAAAAACACAATATGCACACAGCGACACGCACGCGGCACCCATCGACTTTCAACATTTTGGTATTCGCGTGTCTCCCAGCGGATGGACAATGTTTCGCTGACGTTCGCCTACCGTGACAATAGTTTCTTTTCACCTGCATTCCAATTCAGATAATTCAACACAGGAATGCTGTTTTTGTTTTGTTTCGCTGCCAATGGGCTGTGACCGAATGATTTATTATATTCATATTTATTATCTATTGTGCAACTTGCGCTTTCGTGTGAACTGACCGTGTCCAGAGGGCAGCTGGTTTCACTGAGGTCCAGATGAGACAGAGAGTTTGGACCGGATAAGAACCTAAAGAGAAACTGCAACACACACACACACACACACACACACACACACACACACACACACACACACACACACACACACACACACACACACACACACACACACACACACACACACACACACACACACACACAGTGTTTATACATGCCGCTTATGTTTAAGGTGTCCAGACATGCTGCACGGTTTAAACTGCTACTGAGAAGTCTGACGCAGATGTGAAATGTGTAAATCATGTTTTGCGTTAAACCATCACTACAATGCAGTATTTACATGTAATATTATACAGATTTAGTTTTTTTAAATCATATTTATTGTTGCTATCCTCTCCAAAACGGTTTCGCCGATGTTCACTGCCGTCACGTCGTCTCCTGCTAAACCGAACAACAAAAAGTGGCATCACGGGAATAATGTACTTTGCCTTTTATATTGAATATTTATTGCTTGTCTTGATCAAAGCGGGTTTTATCACGCTGTTACTCTTATTGACATGTGCACTAAAGCATGTTTACGCACGGCTGCATGCATGACCTGTGCTCCGTTGCGTGCGGCAGCGGCTTGGAGGCCAACGCAAATTTGCCTGCAGGACATCGAAGTATCTCTCATTTTATATTATCTACCTTTTCATGATCTCTGTAACTTCCCAGCAATAGTTACACTTCCGGATGTCAATGTGCAGTAAATGCAAGTACGCTATTCTTTGTAGGCAACACTATCTTGTACCCTATTTGACACGAGAAACACACACAGAGAGGCGGCGCACCGTTGCGTCTTCGGCGACCAGGATGCCGGGGTTACCCGACAGGTCCAGGTGGGTCAGAGATGCCGAGAACAGCCGAGTGGAGGACAACACCTGACTCAGGGAGCCGAGACCTGCAAGTGAACAGAGCACGCTCATGCACGGGACCGTGAATGGACTTTAAAATAAGACGGTCACGCGTGTTGCGCGTGTTGTGCCAACATGACGCCGTCTACACGTTCACGTTGTGGATAAATAACACGATGTGAACGTTTTAGGATCAAGACTTCGGAGGTTGGGGTTCACGTTACGGTTGCTCTTTGTGCCTTTCTCATTTCCCCCCCCCAGCGTGTTCAGGTCCGCTCGTGGCCGTGTGCGGTTTCTGCAATGTGGTGTCCTGTACAGTGATGGGAACGCGAGTGCGTGTGCGTTCGTTTGAGTGTGTGCACCTTTAGCAGTCATCGACACCCGGGATAGAGAAAGCTCCTTGAGTCCTTCAGCCAGATTCTCCAACTCCCGACTGAGAGCGATGACCCCTGGGAATGAAAACGCCACAAACGCCTGCTCATTTAGAATAGATACCTGGTACGATACAGTGGCCATTTCTCTTGTTTGTTTAGACCATTTTAACAGCAAATACTTAGATTGTTCAGTGCAGGAAAGAGAGGCGGAGTTAAAAACATCGATGCTGACTTAAGCTAAAAAAACATTTGCAAGATGCTGCAAGAAAAATAGGGCAAATGTTCTTACAGTTAAACCAACTTTTCACCAACAAAGCAAAAGTGGCCACTCGGCTCAGGGTGGAACGTCACATCTATGTTCTAGACCTGCAGATTAAAAAGAGCACCTTTGTCTTCGATGGGATTGCCCGAGAGGTTGATGGATTGCAGGGCGGAGGAGTGGTGCTCCCGCAGCGCTGCTGCCACTTTGACCGCAAAGTCCCTGCAGCCGAACAACCAGGTTACTTCTCAATGATTCCCTGTGAACGGCTCTGATCTCTTGGATTAAATGTGTTTGTCCCTCGGACAACGTGCACGTGTAAAACACGAATGTGCTGCATGGCTACAGCACACACACACACACACACACACACTCACACTCTGAGTCCGCTGGCCTCCAGTGAAAGCTCCTGCAGACTGAGAGATCTGGACAGCAGGAAAATCAACACCTGCTGGATGTCGACTGACTGAAGGGGAGAAGAGACAGAGGCAGACGCCCTGAACACCTTTCACCCGTGGGAGCTAGAGATGCTTTAGCAGGTGGGATGAACTCCTCCTCCAGAGAACAGCTGCGGCTTTGAGAATTTAAGAGGAAACGCGTCCAGCTGGTTCCTCGTCAGGTTAGTGTTTCTGTGCTTTGATGCAAAACAAAGCTGCATTTTTCTAATACGGTCTGACTGAATAAAGCCGAATTCTCTCGCTGTCCCAAATGACCTTTAAAGACTATTTCTGTTACCTGGAACAAGTACTGTGGATTTGTTTTTTTTTACTTTTTGCATAAATTAAAGTATAAATTGCATAAAAAACACTTCTGAAACGGTTTCCATGAATAAGATTAAGGGCTCAACACAAAATAGAAGAGCTTACCAGTTTGAGGTCCTTGCAGGAGATCTTGGTAAACCACCGGTTGAAAGACAGAGCTGACACTGCTACGGCCAGGTCCCTGGGAGGAACGGAGGGGAACCTAAAGCCGCTTTTCCACTTGAAACTCACGCTCGGCACTTTTGGGTGTGAGCGGGTTAGCTCGGGTATTTTGAGGCGAGTTTGTACGTGTGCGGCTTTATTGTGGAAGGTCCAGTCGAATTGAAGAAAGCGATAAAAACGGCTGCAGTTCCCGGGTTGAAAAGCGGCCTGAAGGGCTGCAGAATCAACATTTTAACCACCATCTATGTCCTTTTGAAGAGTGCACCGGATGGACAACTGAAGCCGTTATCTATGCTGACAAAACCATTTTTCATTTCATAGATCACAGGTGTGTGTATACATATGTATATGTACGCTGTACGGTGTTACACCTGCTGTCGATGTGGCTGAAGTCCTGCAGGTTGAACTCTCTCCAGTTGTTGATGCAGTAGATGTTGTCAACATCCTGTGGAAACAGTTTAGCTTTGCGTCATTTTGGAAACACCACCGATCTCATTCAGTGCCAGTTGAGCGGCTGCGTGGCAAACGTTTAATGTTTAAAGTGCGCTACAAATGGCCTTCGACAGTGACGTCGTGTCTCACCCACTGGATCTCCTCCCTGACGGGCGTCCGGTTGAAGTCGCACAGAGCCGCGTAGGTGTCAGAGAATCCTCCTGAGGAACACATGCAGACGCTTTCCATCTGCACGTACAGCAGGCGTCACGCCACCAGGTGGTCAGGTACATACCACAGGGACCGGGCCAACTGTCCAGCTGCTCTTCTACCGCGCTCGTCAACGTGAGGAGCCTCTGCTGGATGTCTGCAGGACTCGTCCTCAGCAGATTTCTAGCAATCGAAGGACAAGAAATGCACTGCAACATATTGACGTATATCAAGCCACACAAGCAGCAGGGGGCTTTGAGCTGTGTCGGCACCCAGTGGCCTGACAGTCGATTCACAAGTGGACCCATTTTATTCAAGAAAAGCCATTGGACCACCAGCATGGACAGCAGAGACTACTTGCCAGGTGGGCCACTCATACGGCGACGGACATCATTATCGTCATTTGTAATACGAATGAGGCTGTTGAGAGGGAGTCACCTTGGAGAGGAATCAGGGAAGACCCTCTTAAGAGAGGCGGTCACGTGACTGACCATGGCCTCAAGATCCGCAACGTGCGACACACCGAAGGACAGAGTGAGTCCGTCGGCCTCCAACACGATCTGTAACATACACACGTGTGTTACCGCTGAACGGGGAAAACGGTAAAAACGTGAGCAATAACCAGCATTATTTTTGCTTTCCATCTTTATGGATTGATATATATATATATATATATATATATATATATACACATATTATTATACATTTATATATACATTTATTCCACCTCCTTGATGAACAAAATGTTAGCTAGTTTGCGATATATATATATTATATTATTATATATATATATATATATAATATATAACAATATATTTTATATTATATATATATATTATTATTATACATTTATATATACATTTATTCCACCTCCTTGATGAACAAAATGTTAGCTAGTTTGCAATATATATATATATATAGTATATATATAAAAATAAAATATAACAATATATTTATTATATATTATATATATATAATGCAACAGGCAACATAATGACAAGATCCTGGGACCTGCTTTGATTTTTTTGGGCTTTCCTGATCCCTCAAACTTCACTCCATCCAGTTAAGTTGTGAGGTTTCAGGCTTTTAATAGTTCAGCTAGTGGAAGAAACTGACATTCAATATCAAGGAAATGGAACAAATGCTTAAACGACCTTTACGATAAGCAAAAGAGCAAAGAGTACACGAATTAACACCATTAAAAATAATAAATGTATAAATATTGCACCTCTGTGAGACTGTGGATGTTTATGGAGCGAATCTCCAAGAAGCTGAAAGTGCTCTCCACCTGCTCCACAAACAAGAGATTAGAAACGACGGGAGAAAACATCTGTCTCCATTTTGGTGCCATTTGTCCCCCTCCCCAATTAAAATGAAGGCAGTTTTCTTTTGGTTTGTGCTGATAACTAAAATATTTGAACATTTTACAGCACACGACTACGTAAGAAATGTTGTGAGAAGAAAGTAGTTTCCATTAAGGAACATATGTGGCATAGCCGCCCCCCCCTCTTTGCGACGCCTCTGCAACCCCAAACTTACAATCCCTCATCTAGTGTCACACAGGACAACTCGAGACACTCGGAAAGAAAAAAACAAAACCCAGATAAACCAACCACACCGGCTGGAATAGCATCAGGGGCATCAGGGGCGACCAACAAGCCAAATTGTGGTCCGTCCAGCCGCTGTTTGTAACTTTTTTTAACAGGTATTATGGGATGGACGGCATCCGAGGGGAACCTCGCGACTACTTATTTGCGTTAGGTGGGAACACGAGGAATGAATTCAACAGGAAAGCACACGGCCTCCACCGGCCGTCCCTCCAGCAGGTGTGATTTACCCTGACAGGTGGCTTGCTCACGACCAGGTAACCTCTCCATAGACTCAGCACCTGGGACAGAGGCACACGTGACAAGACGTTACGGGACCAGCAGCTGCTTGTTGTCTTTGATGAATATTTATATTTCAGTAGATAGATTCTAGGTCCATGGAGCCTCCCTCGTTTTATACTCATTTAACCCAGATGTGCGGCCTCCATTCCCCGGGAGCAGAGCTGCGTCCGTCACTCACCACGAACCGGCCGGCCGACCCCCCGCCTGCCGCAGCCGATTGGTTCAGGACGACGGGCAGCAGCACGCACACTCGGTGAGGCTTCAGCAGCTCGGACATCTGATCTGCTCACACAAACAAGCGCGGCAAGCTGAGGTGGTTCTGCCAGTGACTGCTGGTGGGAGCAGCGCTGTAGGGAACCTTTAAAGAAAACGCTTGTCTAATTTGTGGAAAGTCGTGTGTCGATCGCCGATTAGAGACGGCAGGGACAGGTGGTCCCGTCCGCTTTTTCAAAGGCTCAGATATTTTCGAAACTTCAAAAATCATCAACGGGAAATGCGTCGATAAGTGGAGATTAAAGGTGCAACGCATAGAAAATCCACAGTTCATCATTAAGTTCATGTGGAATGGATGAGAAGTCAGATTCAGAATCAATGTTCTGTAATATATAGAAACTAACTGTTGTCCGTTCATGTTCTCCAGTTTGTGAGGAACAGAAGGTCGTTACTTTTTTGTCTATTTCGTTTTTAACCCTGGATCTCAGTTGCGTAGTTGTGCTTCAATGTGAACGAAAACTGAAGATAAACAAACGGCTATAAACTGCCACATGTGCCCCAGTGTGCATTTATTTAAAGACGCATTTTAAATGTAGACATCGGGAACCGTGAAGCCACAGGGAACAAACGCGTGAATAAACGCCATTTCTTGAAATGAATGAAAACGGTATGTTGTACATGAGACAATAGAAGTGATCACATTAGGACATGTTCACACGGAGAAGGTCACCGAGCAAACCACTTTGAGTCACATCGTTACCATGGAAACGCGGCGGTTAGACCGACGCGTCATGTTCGACCTTTTGTAGCTGCAGACCTGAGTGAGTTAATAGAACCATCTATTGAACAGCTGGTTGAAGTTTGCGATTGTTAAAAACAGGCAACGGGTCCGTTTGGGTTTTTTTTTGGCATTCAACATGTTTTTTTTATTTTCTCACGTTTAGACCTTCTGCCCGGAGACGGACTACAGGAGGACGTAGTCTCGCAGTCCGACAGGAAGTCGGCATCGCCGGGTCACTTGGCAGAAATGCAACATGGGACTTTTCCTTGTGATTAATGGGGAGAAGAATCTCCGTGGCAAACAAACGTTTCCCATCCGTACACATGTTGTTAACAGCGAATCCTCTCAAGTCGTTTCCTTCAACAAACAAACATTCTCTTCATCTCGTCTTAACCACGAACCTTATTTCAGACAGAAAAAAAAACCACGATGACCTCTTGACCGGAAGTGCAAAACTACGCCAAAAGAAGAACGTTTCTTAAAGTAATTCCCAGCGTCACAATGTTCAAATCACTTGAGCAGCATCACAGAGCACCGACACCATGGACGGCGCCGATGAGGCGGACTCACCTCGCTGGCTCTGGCCGACGGCGTACATCCTCAGGCGCGCAGCTGTGACCGTCTACTCCCCCCCCCCCCCTGCGACACGCCTACGCTGACCGCAAACTGGTCTCGCGCCACATCATCAACACAAAGAGATAACGGGAGGGAAAGCGGCGCCAGTGCGTGTGTTAAGCTCTCGGAAAGAGGCCGGGTGCAGAGACCTGAGGAAGAGCTTCAGCAGCGGCGGCAGTCGACTCGCTTCCCGTGGACGCGTCGCTTCACGCATCGCTCTTCAGGCCGCGCCCGCCCGCACACATCCTCTCCCGTTCTTGCTTAGCGTGCACACGTGTTGAACACACACACACAGACACACACAAACACACACACACATCCTGTTCCACAGTGAGACTCACTGAATGTAGCAAAGAAACTGATCTGATGCGTTTTATCAGGTTAAAAGTACGAGTCTTAGTGAATGATTGAAGAAGGGCCTCTGCCGGTGTGATAATAAACGCGTGTTTATTCGCACCCGGCTGTGATGGAAGTGCAGGGTTGACACTAAAAGGCGGCGTGTTTGTGCACCGACACGCGAACAGCCAGAAGGAAACAAAACCAGACAAAACAACCAGAGACAAACGCTCACGATGGTGCGTGTGTGTGTGTGTGCGTGTCCCCCCTTTGCTGCCAAAGAGAGAAAAGGTGTTGAACGGTTCTTTGTGTGGGATTAATCGATGTTTTGAAGCCTTTCCACATTCGTTTGCTCTACTGACCTGGAAGAGAATTGAAATGAAGTAAGCGGCAGTCACTTGATATTGGGAGGATTTTATTTTTGGGTCAGCCGTACGGTCTCATCTTCCAACATGCAGACAAAAGGTTTCTCGCGTTCCTGCCTTCTAAACAGGGACGCCTCGAAAAACAATTCTGTCAAAAAAGGACCATGCGTTGTGTAAAACCAAAAGCAGGGCTGTTGTTCCGTCCTCCAGCAGAACAATGAGGACATTTTGGACGCCGTGCCTCACAGAATGAGCCGTCCGATTTCACGGAGACGGCCACCGGTGTCCGTGCTTCTCATGGTGGACGTCTTACGTCTTCTTGCTACAGAGGTTAAGTGTCTCCATCTACCGACGACAGGACGACCACTTCTTGAAGCGGCCTGTGGTCAAACTCACAAAGCCAAGTGGCGGGATCGACTCATTTGATCAGCGTTGATTCTCTTGTAGATGACGAGAGGAAAGCCGTGGGCTAAAAACACTGAGAACGCCTCCCCGATAACGGTAAGTCACATATGAGGTTACAAGAAGGCGGGTCGGTGGTTCTTACAGACATCGTACTAGCTGAGCGTCACAGATTCAGCACGCGAGAGAGAACCGCGACGCTCCGCCAGGAAACCTTTCAACACGTGTTAGTGTATTTACCTGCAGGCCGTTAATGATCCCTTACGGATACATAAATGATGAAATGATCAGCTGACAATGAGCCAATCTGCTTTTATTGACTTTAGTGCAGCATGTACAGACTCGGACACGGCAGGAGGCGGAACCACAGCTCACGACAGGTGCATAAACTCATTTAAAAAAAAAAAAAAGTACATTATCGGGTACGAAGGGGAGGAGGGGGAACGTCATCTTCCATCCGCCACGAATAAAAAGCACGCGAGTTGGTCCTTTGCAGGAGCCGACTGAGGGAAAGTGTCCATAGCTACTGGACCGCTCAGGGTTCATTGGAACGCATCTTCTGGTGTCCTTTTTCTCACTAATTAATCCCCCGTGTCAACTTCCCCCTCCGTGAGCGAACCGGCCGAGGAGGGAACGAAAAGAATATACGGAGTGGTGGTATCTCATTAGACATACTAGGTTTCATTAAAAACAAAACTACGTATGCATGTAGATGTATGTACATACACACACACGCATACATGTAAAAAGGTTTGGGTCTGCGCATTAGCAAGAAGAGCAAGCGAGTCAGCGTGAATGTAGATCATCTATGGTCTCCTGCTGCGAGGTGTGTGTGTGCGAAGCACCGGCACAGGATGTGGCTTTGTGGTAGAAACGAGTAGCAAAATACACAACGATTCACTTAGAGGACTTTCAAACGGGAAAGAAGCATTTTAGAGCCGTCTGTCATTAGCGTGGACGACGTCTGTACGCGACGCAGGAGATGTCAGCGTGTGTTTGTGTGACATCCACAATCCTCAGTATGCAGTTGATGGACATGGATCTGAAGTGTGTGTGTGTGTAGAAATATTTACACGCGGCGTCGCTCGTTTTTCCCGCCGCCATCTTTTCGCAGCCACGTCAATGGGGGGGAGGGGGGGGGGCCCAAGCGGCGTCACGCGGCTGGTACGTGAAGACGGGGCCCTGGTTGTGGAAATGTTAGTGTGCGTCAGCCGGCTTTCACTCATTCACCGGTCCATCATACTGAGGATCATCTCCGGAGTCAGGTCTCCGTTGGCAGCTGCCGCTGCGCTGGCCGTGTCCTCGTTGACGGGCAGCTCGACAGTCTCCGCCCCCTCCGCCGCCGGGGCCGCTCCCTGCTCGGCGGGCGTCGCTTCGGGCGCCTGGCTGTCCTCCTTCTTCACCGTGATGTTCTCCACTGCGCCGGTGCTCTCATCCTCCAGCTGGACGAGAGCAGCGGCTGCAAAGCACAAGAGAGCGACGCTCAAGGGTTACGGCTACAAACACATGGGCCTCATAAGTTACTGGAGACAGTCGCTGTTTGCATTTACAGTCAAATATTAAGATTCAATAAAGTAACACTTGAACACCATTAACCAGGGAAAAAACCTGCAATCAAACCTTTTTTTGGTTCTCTGGACAACTTTGTCAAAAATAGCAGCTTGAGTTACTAGCACGTCCACAGCAATAAGGAAATGGATAATTAGATTATAAACTAGACCTGGATAGCATCTCCAGTTAGTCTGGAGATGCGACTGTGGGTGAGTGGGGAGCGCGGTCGTCCTCCAATCAGAGGGTTGTCGGTTCGATCCCAGGCCCGGCTAACCCGCATGTCGTTGTGTCCTTGGGCAAGACACTTAACCCAACATTGCTCCTGTAGCTGCGACTACAGTGTGTGAATGTTAGTTACTGATGGCAGGTGTCAATCTGTATGGTTCTCCTGTCATCAGTGTATGAATGGGTGTGAATGGGTGAATGATGTCATGTAGTGTTAAAGCGCTTTGAGTGGTCAGAAGACTAGAAAAGCGCTATACAAGTACAGTCCATTTACCATTTACCATTTCTGGTAATAGAAATAGGTTTGCCTCCAATTAGGCCTGAGATTAGGCAATCCAGTAACGCTGAGAAATGATTTCATCGTGCGTTTATTTTCTTAATAAAAGCCGTATTGTTTCTTTTAAATGGACATTTTTCATTTAAAATCTCTACCTGATAACATTACCTTAAAATAAAAGAGTGGAAAAAATGTATTATTGAATTTAATCCAGTTAAATATTTTCCCAGCACCAATTTGAAATGACTTCATGTTCCTCAACTAAAGGACCTGTGAAAAGAGGCCAGAAACATGACGTGTTCTCACCAGAAGCCGCTGCCTTGGCGGCCACCCTGGCGGATCTGCTCGGTGTGGGAGGCGGCTTGGGAGCGTTCTTTGGGGGACGGCCTCGTTTCCTCTTGACAGGTGGCTCGTCAGGAGCTGGTACTGGGATGGCAGCGGGGGCCTGGTCCAGTTCCATGCTTTCTGGCTCCTCCTCTTCTTCTTCTTCTTGCAGCAGTGAGGTCTCTTCCTCGCCAACACCTTCTCCGTCCTCTTCCTCCTCCTCCTCATCCTCCTCCTCTTCTTCTTCATCCAACTCAGCATTATCGTCCTCTGCATCAAAGGCAAACAACGCAGAGAAATCTGATATAAAGTGATCGGACCCGAGTAAACAACGTCTTGCCCATCACAGCATACGATGCGAAACCCTTACCGCTGTCTTCTTCATCTCTCCTGCTCCTCATCTTCCTCTTCCTCCCTCGCCTTCCTTTCTTCGGGGCTGGGGCTCCGTTCTCGGCATCCTCCACCTCACCATTGCAGTTCTCGGAGTGGCGAACCATGGTGTTCTGCAGGAGCACACCGTTAACAGTCAGCGGTAGCTCTGATTAACTAGCTACTGGTTAGCGCCAACAGTTTGTGCGCGATGGGCAGGAAGAGTGTCGTCACCCTGCGAGTGAAGGTCTTGCTACACTTGGGGCAGACGAAGGCCGTGGGGATGAAGTTGGGGTCATGGTAGCGTTTGAAGTGCATGTCCAGCAACTGCTTCTGCCGGAAGGTCTTCTCACACTGGCTGCAGGCGTACGGCTTCTCCCCGGTGTGCGTTCGCCGATGCATGACCATGTGGCGCTCCTGGACGCAGCAGCACGCGAGACACAGTTACACAAAGCAAGCGTTACACAGTTCATCCGGAGCGATTGGAGCGCCGAGGCTAAAGCTTTTCGTTTTGCTGAAAATATTTGGGATCGATGCAGAAGATTTATTGTGAGATGAGACACAGGGAAACATGGTGCCGTGGGGATGCTTCTCTTCAGCATCTACAGAGGAACTATGAGGGGAAGATGGGTGGAGCCAAATACAGAGCAATCCTTGAAGACCTGCTCTATAGGAAAGGTCATCTTATTCCAGCATGTGTTAGCTGGTTTATTACAGCGGTATGAAAACAAAATGAACAATAAAAGCACATTTTTGATCCGAGTTGAAAGATGTTCCCTCGCAATGATTGATTGATCTACTCGCGCTAACATTGAACGTGTGATCAACGTGAAAACGTTTAACATCTACCAGCCGACCTAAACAGAGACGGCCTATTTACAGTCGTCCCGAGAGGCTTCTTTCTATCTACTTTCCCCGTAAAGATCTTTGAACGCAGCCTAAAAATGTAAACATTTCAAATTAAATAGATAAACGGACGATAATGATTTTCATCGTTTCAGTGCTGCGGACTTGTTCAAGCGATTGCTGACATTCAAACGTAGTTCCTCATTTGCCCCCAAGCACGGCGACCCAACCGGTCCCTTCCTGAAGAGGTCTCAGGGAACACACCTGGCGGCAGCAGTAGTCGCACATGTCACATTTGAACCTCTTCTCGTTCTTATGGGACTTCTGGTGCTGGATCAGGGCGTAGCGCTCATGGAAAACGGCGTCGCAGTAACGACACTTCTTTCCGGTCTCGATGAAGGAGTGCTGCTTACGAAGGTGGACCCCTTGAGGTGCGCACGGATAGCAAAAGAAAGCACATCAAGGGAATGAACCATCGCTTGTCCACTGGATTTACAGTGTGTGTGTGTGTGTGTGTGTTACCCAAGTCACTCTTGCGTGCGATGACCGTGTCACAGTGTGGGCAGTGGAATTTTGCCACGTTTTCCGTGTGTTTCTGCAGAATGTGCATCTTCATGGTTCCACTCTGGGTGAATCGGGCGTGGCAGATGTAGCACTCGTAAGGTTTCTCTCCTGAATGAGTTGAGTCGGATCAATATTTAGGTTAAGAACTTTTATAATTTAACAGGAGATTCAAAAGAAGGCTAAAATGTAACAATGTTCAAGAGGCAAGTTACACATTTTATTGATTACCCCAAAAGTATAGATTTAAACAATCTTGTTTATATCAGTACATGCTTTAAATGAACAAGGTAAAAGAGGTCAAATGAGCCCCCATCTCTTTGATTGGAACACGATGTTTAGTCAAAAAAACAAACCTTAAAAACGTGTTAATCCTCAACTGCTTTAAAAGTGGAGAAGAGAAGAAAAGGCATCGATTTTACCTGAGTGTGTTCTCATGTGTCTCTTCAGCTTGTACGTGTCTCTGCTGGCATAACTGCAAAGGCTGCACTGGAATGGACGTTCCCCAGTGTGGGAGCGGATGTGACGCTTTAGTTTGCTCACCTGCATCCACACACACACAAGCGCATACATTTAATATTTTAAACCTTCATTTGCAATGCACAGCGTGCGGTCTGTCATCCAGCGCCGCCGTTTTGCACCAGCGCAGGAACTGATGTATTGTACAAACAAGTGTCCTGTTAGTGAACGCTCTCATTAACTCCAGTTCCCGCTAATATTAAGTGGCACATTGTGCAGATGGGACAATCGTGTAGCAAATGTCCAACATTACGCTTTAAAAAACCTCCCACCAACAGACAGAAGCATTGGTTTACCTCCACACTGGCGTAGTCACACATGGAGCATTTGAAGGGTTTCTCGTGCGTGTGTTTGTAGCGACGATGGCGGACCAACTCGCCGCTGGTCACAAACGCCATATCGCAGTCCGTGCACTTGTGCGGACGAGTTCCTGCATGCGTAAAAACACAAGGACAAGAGTCGGGCGGCCGTTGCTGCACGACTTGGTTTCCTCTGATTCTATGAAGACGCGCGGTGGCGTATACCAGTGTGCGTGTTGAGATGGTTCCTCAGCAGGGTCACCGTCCTGAAGGCTCTTCCACACAGGTGACATTTGTGAGGTCTCTCGTCCGTGTGGCTCTTCATGTGTCGGTCCAGGTTGGAGCGTCGAGGGCACGTGTAGCTACACAGCTCACACTGGAACGTCTTCTTCACGCCTGACGCACGTCGTTCATGGAATTACTGCGTTAGAATCTGGCTTTGGAATGTTTTACACAACACTCGCAAGGTGGGCATATAATGCAGCGACCCTCGCCTCAGTTATGGTGATATGTAGAGACGGAATTGACTCCCTAAACATTATCATTATCCAAAAATAAGTAATTAAGCGTGTTAAATATGTTGACCTAATAATCATTACAAAAAAGTCACTTGGATTCTGCAGAGCGCGGTGTCTCACCTTTCTTCTTGATCTTGGTAGGTTTGGGTGGCTTCATGTTGCCCACCACTTTCTCAGCATTGACCTCAGACAAGAGGCCCTCCTGCTGCTCCTCCTCAAAGTCGTAGACACTGACATCCATGTCTTTATCTCCTTCACCGTAACGCAGACGGCTCTTCTTGCCCTGGACAAACAAGCGAGCCGTCAGACCTTCTTAATCTTAAGCAGAAAGAGTGAAAGCAACGCAGAGAAGGGTCTCACGCCCTCCCCCCCCCCCCATAACAAAGGGACTGACACCACACAGCGATCTTGCCTTCTTGGGCTTTTTGAATGCGCCGTGTGGGGGCTGATAGTCCGGGTCTTTGGCCCAACTCGCGTCGTCGTTCTGAGGATGAATAGGTTCCTCCACTTCATCCAGCAGCTGGTTCCCCACCTCCTCATCTTCTTCTTCCTCCTCTTCAGGGTGTGCTTCTCCTTCGTCCTCCTGCTCCACTGTCTCCACCTCCCCATTAGCTCCCACCTTAACCACCTACCCAGGGCATTCAAATAAGAGCAAACAAGGTACAGTTAAGAGAACATTTTGTCATGCACGGTTTTGGCATGCATGTGTGCGGGAATAATCAAACATTCTTTAAATAAATAAATGAATAAAAGGAGCTTGTTGATCCGACCTGTGAGCAAATCAAGCCACCACCTCTGGCTCAAAAGAAAAAAATCCACGCACCCAATCGAAAAATGGAAGATAGATTAGCTTAGGGTGGGGGAAGATGAAAAGAGAACCACCTGCATTTTTTGCAAGGCACCCGAGGGACTCGAACTGCCAACGTTGTTGTCAACCAGCACTGCGAATTCTACTGCAGACTTTATCGAGGGGAAGAAATACGCGTCCTTTCGTCACCAGACGACCGAGCAACATACCATCGCCATACCAATAGCTAACGTGGGCAAGCTCTTATTAGCTATTTGACTAACGTTAGCTACGAAGGCTTGCTAGCTAGCTAACGCTAGCTAACCAGGCTTATATTGGTTAAAAAAAAAATCTAAGAAACACATAAGACAATCTGTAGACTACTGCCTAGTGGTCTTATTTCTGCCATTTGATGACAAATGCATATACAGGGAGCCCAAATAAGTATTTTTATTATGCTTTATTAACGCTCACAGACTCACAAACACGCCCCCATGTTCACACTTATTCATTAAATTATTACCATCAGTGCAAGTTAAGTAAATGTATACACCACATACAAGTGCTACGAGATGAATTTAAAATGGCACAAAAACAGTACAACACACAAATATATTTATCAACAATAACCGATATTGAACAAAGCACGAATTATATAGATGACACATTAAAAATAATGAATGGTGCAAAAAAGGCGAGTAAATAACGACGTGTCTTTAGTCTTGCTAACTGCTTCACTGCTGCTGTTAGCGAGCTAACGCAAGCTAACGCAAGCTAACGCTAGCTTGTTCAGCTGGATGACGAGTAAACAGCAGCAGCAGAGCAGCTGGAGGCTCCTTACGTTCCTCACCGAACGTCGACTAGACAAACGAAATGCAAGTGTAGTCCCCTACTTGGGAGTGGGTCTGTTTGTTCACCTGAAAGCCTTCTGGCAGCGGCAGCGTGTGGCAGATAACCGGGTCCCCGTCCTTTGGCATGGCAGTGGTGTCTACAAAGGTGCCTTGCTGCAGGGCCTCCACGGTAGTGGCAGAGACCGGCACCTGGACCAGCTGAAGCTCCCCAAGACCCAGAGCAGCCTGTTCCTCCATGTTCACCACCTGAGAACAAGGGGACCGGAGGTCAGCACACACGCCACACAACCATCCAAATGAGAACTGAACGGAGGACGCGGTCACAGAAAATGGCTTTAGAGGAGCACCCACCTGAAGTGTGATGATTTGAGTCTGGTCCACTGTGGTTACGGTGGCTTGGTGGGCGGCACCCGCCACCCCACCGACAACACCGAGTGTCGCTGATGATCCCCCCACTGCAGAATCTATGACCTGCAAAATACACTACGCCTTAATGAGCTGTAAGGGACATAAGGACTCCCCAGTTTGAGCAATCATTCAATAAGTCTATAACCGTCGATATGTCACATCTAACACAAAGCTCTTGCCAATCAGCTTACCTCAGTCTTCATCTGCAACAGGGGGATGGGATCCAGTGAGTCCATAACCATCATTTCAACACTTGCCCCACCATCCACACCAACCCCCACCGCCGCTTCCATCAGCTGGTGCTGGGCTGCTGCTACCATTCCGTCCCCGTGACCTGAAACATTGGTGGGAATAACACATTCAACCAAATGGTCCAGAAGAATTGCTTCAACTAAACACTAAAAATGGACTACTCAATGCAGTTTTTTAATGTGGGACGGTTTCATGTGAAATTGAGAGTGAACCTTGTTCCAGGACGACTCCTCCGTGTCCCTCCATCACGCCCCCGGCTTCTGCAGCTTGCTGGAGGAGGTCAGCCACCATGTCCTGACTGTGAACAGCCTGGATCGAGGGGAAGTCTTTGGGCGGGACCTCCACGCCCCCTGCACCCTCCGTTGGCCCGCTGTCCATGATGGGTAGGAACTGAGACATGTGGAAACAAAAACATTACCTCCCGGACAAGACACGTTTGCTCTATAACAGCAGTGAAAAGTCTCACACCACGACAGAATAAGCACATTTACCCTACAACTCATCATGAAATAGATTCCTTAAATACAGGGCTGCAGCCTTCAGACGCTAGCACGACACTGTAAAACACGGGTAACCACACCGTCTCCGCTCGCGAGCTACTTCTCAACCCAAATAAACAGCAATAAAAAAGTAATTACTGGTCGACAGTAATGCTGCGGAGGGTGGTAACAGCCCTTCTGTTGTTAACACTACTAGTGTTACCTGGAATAACAAGGATAAATTCTCTGCTTTCATGGTTTCCGTAGGCCGGACTGCAGCGTTGTGATACGGCTGCTCTGCCTTTTGCTTGCTGCTGAACCAAAGACCTGCTCTGCTACCTGACTGTCCCTGTCCACCTGATGGGGAGGGGAGGGAAACGTTACACAGCTGCACTGATGAAATCTCTTAAATGCGTCCCAGTTTCCCTCACTCGTGTCTTAAGTCCCCCCTCCCCCCCCACCACAAGATGTGCATGAAGAAACAACACAAGGAGAGAAGAAACAGGAGACGTCCTTTCATCTTGGTAAGTGGAGTGACATCTGTTTGTTGAGACAGCTTATCATCAGCTGAGGGGACTTTTGACATTTGGTGTCTGTTCACATGCGAACTGTTTACTACTAATAAAGATAAAATAATCCAGTTATTAGCCAGTTACCTGGTTGAAAAACAGCATTGACGTCTTGATCTGTTGCTTTGAGTGTTGTATTGTATTGTTACAATTGTGTTGTTCTATCAGCGGAATTATTCGCATTTGTGTCTGAATTCCTTAAAATAATCCAGAACGGGATTGTAGCATACTGGAAGTATTTGACGATGCTCTATGTTTCTAGGCAAATAGAAATAATAGAATGAATCAAATCAGCCTTGTGTGCCTGAATGGAAATGAGGACAAATTACATAAATGGGGTTTTGTCTCGTTATTATGGGAAATAGCAGATCACAAAAAAAACTTGTGCATTTCCGCTCATGGCTCCATCCTCGTCCTCTGAGCAGAAATAAGAGCTTTTAACGCTGTTAAATTGAAAGCACAAAAAGACTCCTGGTTCTGGGAGAGCGAGGAAGACGAGAGACGTTAGATGAAGCGACTTCAACAGCCCACGCACCTCTGACCATGTCAGCGGTTCTGTTTGGGACACTTCTGTCCCGTCTGTGGGACGGACAGATACATTAACTCAGTCATTGAGTGCTTCCACAACCACAACAGCTGCTCTCCACTCTTTTTATTCGTCCAATCTCAGCAGATGCAAACGCATAAATTCCTACAAAATCATACTTGCAATAGAGAGCACGGTTAGGTTTGCGTTTATTGGTCACATGGACACATTTTTTGAAAAGCTTTTTACAAGAATCTTTTGGGCAGAGGGGTTTTATTTGTCTGTGGTTCTTGCAAATATTTATTTGTAACCAGCGGTCTAGTCATTTCTCAAAAATGTCACATGCCCCCTGGTTTTTAGATCAGAAAAAAAAAACTTTTGGCCCCACAATTGTTCTGTCAAGATTGTGTACAGCGAAAATCCAACGGTTTGACCACAACTGCCTCTTTTGTTATTATACATGAGACATACAAAGAGAGGACATTACATCATGTTGGATAATGTGGCTGCAACAATCGCAGTATACGACAACTGTACACAAACGACGTGGTTAATGTGAACTGTATTATCATTACAAGGCCATGTTGTTCAGCACAACGCGGGCTTGTTTGCAGGCTTCCGCGTCCACTCTCTCTAAAGGCCGTCATCGGATGCCCAGCGGCACATTTAAGGCAGTGACCCGGGGCAGCTGTCGCATTCACGCGGCAGTATTTTTGTAGCTCTCCAAGCCGAATCGTAGAGGGAGCTCTCTGCCATTTATATACATCTGTGGCTACGATGCTCACGGTGGGCTTAGAATAGACAAGCGGGCGGCGGACGCAACAGCAACTGCCAACCCCCGCGACCGCGGCGCCGTCGCGGGCATGGGAAGCCGGCGATATGCAACATTTCACGATGGAAGAGGACTTATTTCGGGGTGGGTGGGTGGGTGAAGGGAAGGGGGGGATAAACGCATCGTGTGTGTCCGCTCCTCGGGGATCGGTGGCCGCCGGTCAATCTTTCACTCGAATGCCTCGTCATTCTCTTGTCCGAGCGGCCCCCGGCTCCGCGTCGCCGGCGGGCCAGCGATGTAAAAAAAAAAAAAAAAAAACACGCGTAACGACGGAGGCGATTGTGACCGGCTTAGCTGTGCGATGCGGCACATCGAGGTTTTCGCGTGGTTGCTTTTGGGGAACTTTAAAACGTAAGGGTTCTTGGGTGGAGGAAGGGCCTAGTTATCTTCGGAGAAGACTAGCTAGCTAACGCTAGCCGTTGGCTAACGCTAGCTGTTGGCTAACGCTAGTTGTTGGCTAACGCGGGCCGTTGGCTAACGCTAGCTGTTGGCTAACGCTAGCTGTTGGCTAACGCTAGTTGTTGGCTAACGCGGGCCGTTGGCTAAAGCTAGCTGTTGGCTAACGCGAGTAGCTACGCTTCACGTTATTTTCGTACAGTTTAAGTTGAGTAACGCTAAATAACGCGTGCGCCAATAGCGATATCCCCTCTGTGTTTAGTCTTCAATGTCAATGTTTAGACCTTAGACCCGCCGTGCGTCAGCTCCCCCCGTACACGCTAGCGTTAGCTAAGGGCGCTGACTTAAACCCCGCCAGTTCCCCATGTTGTCAAGCCTGTAAAGACGGGAAACAAAGAAGCGAGAAAATGGACGCCTGGCCTAAAGACGCCAAAACCAAACCGAAGTACGCTTAAGTGATCATCGCCGACATTCTGGGAGATGCGTGCGAACTAAAGCGGGTCGAGTGCACATTTATCGTCGCTCGGGTCATTTAAACGTATTTTGACGGGGTTTTCGATAACGATAGAGGGAGACAAACACTCTCTCCCGACGAAGCTGCCCGGAACCCAGAGCCCCATCGTGACACCTAGAGGCCGATTAAAGATCCTGCAAACTCCCCCCCTTAACAGAAAAAGTACTCTCACTTTACCTCTTTTCCTGTGCGTTTCTGTCCTCGTTCAACTCGAGCGAAAGCGGGGGGGGGAGGGACGGGGTTCCTGCGCCGCAAAGTTTAACGCGCCCGCGGGAAACGCGGGCTTCTTCGCAGTTTGTTTTAATCCTTCTCCCGCGTTAGCAGAGTAGCCTCTGCCACAAAATGGCAGTTGGGCTCCAGTGCGCGTGTGCGGCCGCTGGGGGGTGGTGTCGAAGCCGCTGCAGGCACCCTGATTGGCCAGGAGGGGCGCCTCGTTGGAACGCGTTGCATCCCCGTTCATTACGCTCTTTGTGGGTCGACGACTCTTCTTCCAGGGACGTGGATGCAGACATGTGGAGGTGTTTATTGGAATAAAGAAAAGAAAAAAAAACTGTCAACTTTATGAAATATTAATTCATTTAATTTAAAGTAATAATTATTTTATATTATTATTATTAATTATTATAATAATTTGATGCACATTGTGTAATAACACATGTGTTCTCTGTTCTGTTTAATATTTTAATATTTTTAATCAGGAAAAATGTATTGCCAAAATATGTCATACATACAAGAAATTTGTCTTGGCGGTTGGTGCGTGACAGACAGTGTAACAATAGACAAAAAGACAGCAGTGCACAAGTAATAAAATAAAATGAAATGCTATGGGTTAGTATAAAATAAGAGAATAAAGTGTTAAAGTGTTAAAGTTAAAGTGACATGCCACCGGTCACTCTCTTTCATACTGCACATGTCATTGTGCAGTATGAAAGTCTGTCATTTTTCACTCATCACTTGTTCGCTAGTGCACTTTATTTTTTAATATTTTTTAACTTTATTCTCTTATTTTATACTAACCCATAGCATTAGCATTTCATTGTATTTCATTTTATTTTGATATTATTCTGTTTCCTGATTCCTGAATAATAACATTTTTTTACAGCTGCGGTCTCATCACAGGCAAAGGGCAATTAGTCAGTTTATTTAGGCCAGCGATTCCCAAAGTGTGGGCCCGCGAGAGGTAATTTACAATAAATAAATAAAATGCTTTTATTATTATTTTATTCATTGAAATTAATATAAAAAACAATGTCAAATGGGGCACCCTCTTGTAGTATTAAAGTAAATATATATGAGCTCTGGAGAAAATGGTACAAAACATACATTGTCGGATAACACATTTTTAATCAGTTAAATTCTTAAGGTCATTTAATCATCCCTAGTTTATGTTTTGATCAGAGTTGTGATTAAAGGTTTGGGTCGGCCGCAGAAGATTTTCAGATTTCAAATTGGGCCGCGGCGTTCTCGAGTTTGGGAGCCGCTGATTGAGGCCATTTGAACGTGTTTGTGTACAATCAACAAAGCAAACAAAGCAAATGGCGCGTGAGGCATTTTTTTTAAAGACATTTTAATACGTTGTATATATCTGAAACCAAAATGCTTTTTAGAAAATACAAAATACAAAATCCACATCCGGATCCTGTACAATTGATTTCATTTGTGGGGGGAAATATAAAGTGTGCTGCATTGTTGTTGTTTTTTCAATTCTCCATTCTTAAATAAAGTATATCATCTATTTTTTTGCATCTGTTATTGTCAAACCTTGAGGCACTTAAAACGCGGACAATCCTTATACTGTGATTCCACATGACTGCGAATGAATGAAATCTCTCTCAAACACAGGAGGAAAATTAGATCTTTTACGTGTCAAATTATAGCCAGCAATAAATATAAGTTTCAGTATTAGTCGACTACGAATGCCTTCAGCTGAGGGCACCTCTGTATAATAGTATTGCTTCAATCTTCCAGGTAAATTGAACCATTACTCTGAATAAATATGGCGACCATGGTCGAAGATGGTCGATGCATTACGAGCACAGCAGCTACCGATCGGATTCCTCCGAACGCGTCGCTCAGTCAAAGCCGTTTGGCACGTTGTACGTGTATTAGGGGCCTGAGGCCTCCTGCCACTCACATCCTCCACACCAACTCTAGCTACTGCATCGATTATGCAAATATAAGTTAATCACAATGCATCCAGTGAAACGTGAATGTCCGAACGTTATCAGTCATATGCACAGATGTTTCCGTCCGGATGAGGAAGTGGTCTCGTCTCATGATACAGAATGAGAATGAGACACAGGAAATGAACAAAAGGCAAAAGTGCAGCGTCACCGTGGAACAAATGAAACGCACTTAAAATAAACCGGATTAACGGAGCCGTTTCAGCACGATCTCGACTCTCTGGGAACCGCCGCTTCTCTAAATGACACCAGGCTTTTTGCGCCCTTCTACCCATTTACTAAAAAAAAAAAACCACGTTCTTGACTTCACGCTCGCTGTTTTTATTTTGTTATTTTAGTATCCCGTATAAGTTAAATGATGATTTAGAAAAAAATAAAAAAATCACAATCACGAGGTGCTACTTGAGAATAATGAAGAAATACTCGCGTCGTGAGGTCGTCATCTTATTATACAACAATTGCACGCGGTCAAGACGGTCAAATACTAATCTTCTGTACTTCGTGATGAAAACGTTCCTCGGGTTTTAGTACGTCATTTTTAAGTAAATGGCATAAAAGCGGCAAAAGCTCTGTCATGGCCCTTTTGTAATGTACGATTTCATGCATGTGGAATATTGAATTCTATTCGGTTCTATTAGGATCATTCCTGCTCAAATGTTTATGGACGTCAAAGCGAACACAACAGAGGCAAATACATATTCAACAGAACATCATAAACAATCTGCAACGACTGCAGCAGAAAAGAGTAGAAACGCATCCAATCAAGTACACAAATAAAGACTCTGTTGGGATTTAAAAAACAAAATCTACCGTCATATACGTATTTCCATTAAAAAAAATAAGATACGTCACTATTGTGGCAATGGCACTGAGTCGCTGAACCACCCTCGACCACAGCTCGACACCGTCAGCCTCTGGGGGGGTCCTTCACCTGCTGCCACTACACCACCACCGTCCCACACGGAGGCCTGAGAGTCGAGTCGCACCCCCTCGAGCCGGGCGTTAAACCAGCCGGGAGGCCAGAAGTGCTGAATCTGATGATTCCAGGCGCTTGGTCACGGTGCCGGTGGTTTATGCTCCGAGGAAAAAAAATAGATATTCAAGATGTATTTCCTCGCCAACGGCTACATTTTTCAGAACGAAGCAACGTTTCCTCCCGTTAGAAGTGAATCCATCGCGGCGGCGCACAGAGCTGCAGGTCGGCACCGTTGTGCCGGAGGCCCGTCGCGTACTTGTAGAATGAATACGTCGCGGTTTTCCCGGGAGCCGTCGTCACAAATCAAGGTTGGCAGACAAAGACAGCTGAGGCAGATGAGAAAATGAAAAATAAAAATACAGCGTGGAGGACTTGGAATGGGTCACGTTGGCTCCGCTTGGACTCGACTCCGGCCCCCGTGGACCGGTCTCAAGTAGCCTAGACTGCAGCCAGTCGAGAGTCAGCGGGCTTCAGTAAAAGGCAGGACTGGACGCAGTGGACCCCTTGTTTACCTTGGGACGTTCACTCCGTGCATGCCTAACCGCGTCACCGGGGGAAACGGTAGCGGCACGCGTCGCAAGAAACGCAACATTTTCCGGGAACTCAGTGGGGCGTGACGCCGGCGATCGCCCGACAAAGCGAGTTCAAATCGCTTGAGACTCAAGTGAACACTCAAGCCTTCGTCCTGCAGGTGTTCCCGCCTGCTCGCATTAGACATTTTTGTGGCCCAGTGTTAAACGGTGTGTGTGTGTGTGTGTGTGTGTGCAGGGGGAAGGGCTTAGAACGCAGTGCTGGCCATGCTTCCCGGAGCGAAGAGCCTCGGTACGCTGTCCTGGGACGTTTCCACGTGTCTGTAGGCCATCTTCCCCTCCTCGCCTGCTCCGCGTCGGGAACAGAAAACAGAAAAGTAGACGACGAATGAACCAATGCGTTTATCCAACAAACCCGATCATTGTGACAATCATTGTTATTACCGAGCACGAGCAGCGCTTGCTTGGCGGCCTCTCGCACCTCGTCCTTGTCCGTCCGACAGAGGTACACCAGCTGGTCGATGCTCTCTTTGGCCTTGAAGGACATGGGGTTGGAACACAGCGGTCAGCGCGACGCGGACGTGCTACGCGGCGGCGGGCGGGCGGGAGGAGGGTGTGTTCGTACCTTGAGACAAGCCAAGGCCTTGCATCCGCACACTCTGGCGTCCACGTCCTCGTCTTCCAGCAGCTCCAAGCAGCCGACCAGAGCCTGAGGAGGGATGATGACGCCGCGCACCGACACGATGGAGGTTCCCGTCATTGCGAAAAAACAAAAACGGACATATCTCAGGCTTCCTGTCTGACTTGACTTAAGAACTCCTGAGTGTGACGGTAAACTTGGTCGAGGCCTGTAGCTCTCTGCAAGATTCACACTAGGCTGCACTGCATTATGACCCCTGTTCACCTCGTAGTCAATATATATATATATTCACGTATTAATACAATGTCTGTCTATTGTTCCGCATCTTTATTGTCGTGGCCATACGGACTTATCGTAAAAGAGGACGGTTCTGTTCTGGCTAAAAGATTTGTCTACAGTTAGCAGGTTCTTCTGCACGATGAAACTCTAATATTGCGCGATCCTCTTTCCACATAATGACAAATATGTAATATATGAATATGCATTCGGCAAAAAACATTCCTAAGATAAGATTGAGCAGTTGGAAATAACAAAAACTCTAAATGTAACGCTCAATCTCCAACTTGGGGAGCTCCTGTAATGAGGCCTGGCTGTCCCAAGTGATGCCTTCGATCGATATTTTCTCTCCCATGTTCAATTTTTACCGGCGTTGCTTTACAGTGACGCTGAAAATAAACAACGTGGGAAAGACAAAAATGTCAGCGTGCAAAAAAATATCATTCCTGACATTTAGTGAGTGACTGTACCTGGATGTCTAAATGACCCCCCCCCGACCCCTCAGAGACTCAACCGACGTCCCAGGTGTTTTGTGAGTGCGAGAGTCGACGCTTTAAGCGGCGCTGCCGCCCGTCACGTCACCACGGCAACGTCAGAAGACACGACTCGTGATTGAGGAGATCGATTTCTCCGATTCAAACGTCTCGCGGGCTCCTTTTCCGTAATGTGAGAGGTTATTTTAAACAGGGTTTACGTTTTTTTTTCAATTTCTTTTTTGTTAGATTTAGTCTTGAATGAATGAATTAGTAAATATTCGCTGACTTTGATTGGTCTTGCAGGCCAATGACCTCGGACAGACGTGGTTCATTGGTATGAATTCCGCTTTTTTTCTCCCAGCAGTCTGACATGAGGTAAAAAGGTCAACGATCGCCGCGTACGCGCCACAGTAAAACGCTCTCACCTGCTCTCGGGGCCGGGGCCGCGCGGCCAGGCTCCTCAGCGCGGAGCTGGCGGACGCCGACACTTTGCCTCGGGGGTCTTTCAGCAGCTTGGCCACGGCGTGAAGCCCCTCCCCCTGCAGGCCGCGCTCCGCGGGGCGGCGCAGGGCGCGCACGATCGCGTCCTGGTCCCGCGAGGCCAGGCTCCGCGCCAACCACACTGTCGGGACGGAGGGTCAACGACACTGTCAACGCCGGGTTCCCACGCGGCTGCCGCCCTTTTTTTTTCCCGGGAGGACGCGCCGAAACTGCCAAAGCGTCGAGCTTTTCGGGGGGGGGGGGGAAACGCGCGGCCGATACCTTCCTCTGCCAGCTCCGTGACGAGCGTCTCCATCTCTGCGACGCTGTTGGCCTCCAGGTAACTCCACCACTGGAACAGGGTCACCGTCGCCGCGTCCCTGCTGCCGTCGCGCCGCGGCAACCGCTGGTCCAGCACGCGCTCCACCAGGGTCAGGAAGACTGGCGCAAACCAACACGGGCAGGTGTTAACAACACGCACGCACACGCACGCACGCACACGCGCAGATTTACCTGTGTCGGCCATGTTGCCGGCCCTCTCGGGCAGGACCCCGGAGTAGGTGGTGGACAGTGCGTCCAGGAAGCTCTCCGCCGACACGCTGTACACGCTGCCCTGGCCCACACACCGTTGCCATAGCGACACGGAACCGAGGCACAGACCCAGCTGGGGCACCACTGAGACAAGAGGAGGCGACGGGGCGGCGATGTGAAGAAAGAGGAAAGATGCGAGGGAGTTAGCCCTTTTTTTATTGTCGGACCAACATGCTCAACAAGTTCCACCTTGTATTACGGTACGTCCGGAGTACGTAATGCGTCGTCAATGCGATAACGCATGGACACGGGTAAGGAGCAGCGGCTTCCGTTAGTGCATATCCATTTCTTACTGTTCATATTGCACGACTATTTTTTACTGTACATATCTATTTATTCACATATGCACACACTCTGCACTTTTTTGCTATTTTGCACTTCTGGTTGGATGCCAAACTGCATTTTCGTTGCCTCAGTACTCAGTGGCAATAAAGTTGAATCTAAATCGAATCCAATTCTCACCTTCGGACGCCCGGCGGCGCCTCGGCTCGTCCGCGGCGACGCGTCGAACGGCCTCCAGCACCCGAGCCTCCCTCAGCAGTCGGTCCAAGGCGTACATCTCCCGGCAGCGCAGCGGGCCAAACACGCCCAGACGCTGAAGAAGACGTCACGCCCGTTTGCACCGTTTATTGGGTCTCATTGCACACTGCGAGTTCTCAGTAAAGAATATATTAAAGCTTCTCCTCCTCCAAGACGCTTGGTCAGACCTTCCTGCTCCGCTAAGGGTGAAGGAACTGTATTAAGTTAAGTATTAAAAAGGACTTTTGTACTGCTGCTTGATTTGAAGGCCTGTTGATTACAATAAATAGGTCCAAAAAATATGTTTATTATTGTTCAGTACTATTTATATTCATTACATTTAAAAAGCAGGACATAAAAGTTACTTAAAAGTTACTTTCCAGAGTAACTAACTACTTTTGATACACAGTAACTGGTAAGTCATTTAATTACCTTTCAAAAAAGTAACTAAATACTCATTTTCAGTAACTTGCCCGACACTGCATGTTAGTCTGTAATGAATACTTTGATTTCTCTCCAGAACACCGAATCCCACCACATTTATCAGAGGACAAAACTAGTCGGGTGTCATTTTCCCAGAGAAATCTGCCTTTGCTCCTACAGCATTTAGTGGTAAAATACAATACTAATGAGTGAAACGTAATACTTTCCTGTTTCCGTAGTAGTAAAGATCCCACTGCCACTGAAAACAACTACAGCGGCTGAAGCTACATAAAACGTTATTTTGATTTAGTGATTTCTGAAGGAAACTAATGCATTTAACCCTCTTGAAGCGCTCATTGCTTCAAATAAGGTACTGATGGAAAATAATGTTCCTACTTCATCCTTGAGGTATTATGAACACAGCTGTTAGAAGATTAGATTCAACGATTAAAGCGCCTTCAACCTTTTTTCGTCACAACAGCACTTCGGGTTCAACTTCACGAATTCGCCAGAAGAAAATGGGCACTTTTGATGAAGGAAAAGGGAATTTCATACTTGATTCTACGATATTCACGACAAACAATCACACTCATCAATCCCAGAAATGATAAAGAAGTTGTCCTACCAACAGCTGGGTGCTGCAGTTCTTCAGGTGCACCACCAGGCAGCCGTCCAAGGTGGTGCAGCCCGTGGTGAGGGGGGAGGGGGGGCTGTCCCAGCCGCCCTCCTGCAGAGACCTGCACACACACACACACACACACACACACACACACACACACAGTAGTCCCGTATTTGGTCTGTGTGTAATCAATAACCTTGTTAAAAGAATCAGGTGCAAGTGACTGAGAATGAATGCTGCTTCATAGTAGAACGGTTATAAAACAGTGACCCAACTACTCCGTAAAGCTTCTTTAACTACTTAACACTAATAATCAAATAATCAAAATGCATGACTCCTTTCCTAAGCAACAAATTAGATGCCATTTTTAACTGACGTCATCATTTAAAAACAGGGATGTGACCTCGTGTACGACCACAGGCCGCGGCAAGAATCTGGCCATCAAGCCAATGCACATTAATCCTCCGAAGGCCGAATTGAGGGAGAAGTCATGAAAACCCGTGTTTTTTCAGCCTGTTCTCTCAGCCGCAAACTGATTCTCCACTCGTCTGCTTGCAGAAACACAGCATTTCTTTCACACAGGAACGAATCTTAATTCGTTTATTTGGATTAAAAGTATCCCGACAATTGTGCCAAGGAAGGACTTTTATTAACTTTGGACACTTTCTGAGAGGAGCGTCCATGACAGATGACCGTGAACCCTATTCCTCCATCAATCTTTGCTGCACCTATTTAAAAAAAAAGCGTCGTTTGTGCATTTGTGAGGTGAAAAGCTGCCGACATGATGGGCAGGTTGACTTGATGAAGACTTGATGAAGAGTGCGCGGCGGCCTCGGACAAACCCCCCCCACACATGCGGTTTGGCGGTTTTCCCGAGCGAGCACTGACCTGCCACTTCCGCTCTTCTTGCCCTTCTCCTCTTCCTCCTCCCAGTCGGACGCGTTGAGGAAGTCGAAGCTGCCCAGAGCCGTTTCCACCGCGAGGCTGGCCACGCTGGCCGTCCGGCTGCGCCGGCCGCCCTGCACGCGCAGTCATGTGTCGGCTTAATGTGATTGACGGCTCTCTGAGACGTACGCGCTTAACTTCTGGTGATGATGTATTTGAACTACCGGCGTGGCTCCGTGTGACCGTATCTTATTTGACTGATTCAAATGAAACCTCACACCCTCATCTCCTTAATCCGCCGTACGTCATTCGTCGACGCTCTTTATAGTCTTTATTTAATGTCTTTATACCTTCTAACATAAAAGACGCCGTGGTCCGTGCATATCGGATTTTTCAAATCATAATGTATTATGCACATTTACAAAATATTCACACGGGGGTTTTTGTGTGGATCACACAGAGACGTTATGCCTTCCAGAGATGCTGAACACGAATCACTTCTTCCCTATGGAAGTAAATCTGTGTCATCGGATTTTGAAAGAAAAAGGTGATTGAATTTCTAGCACTGAATATTTATGCATTGAAATCATGTATCTGAATGTTTTTCAACGGTAAAATATTCAACTGCAAAAAATTCAACCGCAAATAATTCAATGCAAAAAAAATTCAATGCAAAAATTCAACGCAAAAAAATTCGAACCGCAACATCCGGGAACCCAAGGAAGAGCAACCGATTCTAGATCATACGCTGCAGCGGCTCCTATGCTCTACAGGCGCGTTCCTGGTTGCAAAACTCCACCAATCCCTCCTAATAGCTCGTTGAAGCATCCCAGCATCAGCTGTCTATTACTGAATCGTACAGACACAAACCACACTGATGGAATGAAGTTAAAGTTAAAACACTCAACGAAGCCCCGTTATTAATGGACATGGCTGAAATCCGGTCATCATAGTCGACAAGCCCAAGTTGTATTGGGGCGCTCGCTCCTTTTGCTTGACGCACGCTCCCGATCTTCAATCTAGAATCGATTGCTCTTCCTTGTGTTCCCGGATGTTGCGGTTCGAATTTTTTTTGCATTGAATTTTTTTGCATTGAATCTTTGCATTGAATTTTTGCATTGAATTTTTGCATTTGAATTATTTGCGGTTGAATTTTTTGCAGTTGAATATTTTAACGTTGAAAAACATTCAGATACATGATTTCAATGCATAAATATTCAGTGCTAGAAATTCAATCACCTTTTTCTTTCAAAATCCGATGACACAGATTTACTTCCATACTTCCCTGCTACCCGAGGAGCAGGGAAGGAGCATTTGGGGTTAAAACAATGTCGTTCGCCTCGCCATCAAATACTAATAACAAGCACCGAAGACACAAAGCGTGACATGGTGTGCCGTCACTTCTACTCGAGAACTAGCTCCGGGAGCCTCGCTCGTCCTCACCTTCAGCGTGACCTGCAGCAGCCTCAGCTCCTGCTCCAGCAGTTGCAGCTCGGGGAATTGTCCTCTGTAATCATCCAAAGAGGAAATCACGGCCACCAGGGCGTCCTCCAGCCCACTGTCCACCGGACCGCCCCCCTCCTGGGGCAGACAATCTGCTCCTGCGCCGCCCTCCTCCTCCTCCTCCACAGACACCCGGCGGGCCACGTACGTCAGGTCCACGCTCTCTGGCCGCGCGTCCGCTCCGGAGCCGGACGGGTCGGCGCGGCGGGGGGTGGTCCCCGGGGTGCCGCTCGGCAGCTCCATCTCGACGTCGCTCACGGAGAGCCCCCCCGACGCCAAAGGCGCCGCCTCCCCGGACTCGGCCGGCCTGTCCGTCGGCGCGGCGCCGTCGGCGCTGTTCTCGCTGATGTGGCTCAGGGAGCGCGAGTAGCCGCGGGAGGAGTGGCCGTCGGTGGTGGTGGCCGCCGCGTCCCGGTCCTCGCCGTCGGGTCCGGTCATCACCGGGGCCGGGCCCTTTTCCTCCTCCCTGCAAGGCAGCCTGGGTGTCAGTTCGTGTCGGTGTGAAACACAACGTATCGATGAAAAGACATCGGCTTATCAGACTCATCACCCGTTGCTCTGTGTTTGGTCTCCGGAGGAGTCGGCGGCTTCCCGGAGCGGGCCGACCCTCGGCGCGGGGTTTGGTGGAGCGGAGGAGCGGAAGGAGACGTCGGGCTGAGAGGAGGACCTCCCGCTCGCAGCTGGCTGGATGTCTGGGGTCACCACCACGGACTAGAGAGAGAGAGACACAGGTGGAAGAGTCATGCAGACTGACAAGTTGCGTCCACGATTCTCCGCACACTGACTTTATGCACGCTTTCATTTAAACAAAAGGAGTTGAGTTACCGGAACCCGGGACATTAAATTGTTAGACTGCACATGCAGCACTTTGTCGAGAGGGGGCGGCTTTGCGGGCGGCTTGGACTGCAGCCATCCAATAATTGTCACTTTAACTGTAATTCATCACTTTGTCGTCACTCGTCACTTTGTGCACTTTATGCTTAATATTTCTTTTTTTAAACTTTTTTAATATTTAAAATTTGTAACTTTATTCCCTCGTTTTATACTAACCCATAGCCTTATTCTACTAACCCATTGCATTAGCATTTAATTTTACTTTATTTTGTTACTTGTGCGCTGTTGTCTTGTCTATTGTCACACTGTCTACTGTCGCGCACCAACCGCCAAGACAAATTCCTTGTATGTTTGGCATATTTTGGTAATAAATGATTCCTGATTCCTGATAAACTATGACAAATATATATTTTTTTCTTGAGGAGTTCTAGGTGATCTATGCAGAAACCACCTGCACCCTGGTTTGCACTGTTAGCTATTAGCGCTGGAAACGCGGTTATCTGCGCGGCGGCGGCTTTACCCCGACTGAAAAAGGGTAATTACTCGTTCCAAGAAAGGTTTGTCCTCAGAGAGGGGGAAAAAGCTCCAGGTGGAACATAATGCACCTGCACATTATTAAACAGGGAAACAAAGTGACATAATAATTAAATAAAGTTAACGGTTGACTAAAACGGCTTTAACAAGGGACCTTGTGACCAGTGGTTTTGTTCTCGTCTCATCTAAAAACAGATGGGAGCAAAGACGAAAAAACAGTTTTACAAGCTAAATAAAGTAAAAGCCACATAAATGACTCTGTTGGACCAACCATCACGGCCCACTGCATGAATCGCCACGCGCTATAGACGCAGGGTTCAGGTGGAGACCCTTCCACTGCTGATCTCGCATGCAAGCCAACGGCCCTCGCGATAAAGAGACCCGAACGGGACGACAAATCCACCATCCCATCCCCGCGTGCCTCACCTTGTGACGCGCAGAGCCGCGCAGGCCGACCGCAGACAGCCGAGGACTGGAGGAGTCGTCGGAGGATTCTGATGAATTAGACCACGCCGTTCCATTCTCAAACTCCTCGTGACGCCGGAGCATGTTCTGGAAAAGAGCAGCGCTCGTTTTGAAAAATAGGGGGGGCTGGACCGATGGGGAAAAGAAGCGCTCGCTTACGTGGCCCCCGACGATTCCGCCGTCATGGAGGCCCAAAAAAGAGCAAAACCAGTTCACTTCCATTCCGGGTCCGGGAGCTGCTAGCAGGCTAATTCTGATCGACGCAAACACCAGTGACACCATCTTCCTTGCGGACACGTCAAAGAGCACGTGTGTGCGTTGGTAGGTCGACAGCGGACATATATGAAAATGTGTTGATTGGGTTCAATTGTGACCGTTTCTGAGGCGTGTTGCAATCTGGCGAACCCAAAATACATTACAGGTCATTTGGCAGACGCTTTTATCCAAAGCGACTTACATTACACTTTAAACCCATGGCTTTTTTTCACATTTTTGCCCGGGGAGCAATTAGGGGTTAGGTGTCGTGCTCAGGGACGCTTCGACATGGAACATGGGGCAGCCTGGGGGCAGCCTGGAATTGAACCAACACCCTTGTGCTTCACAGCACACGTTCTCTAACCCCTGCGCCACGACAACCCCTATCGACCCCGATCACCTTTATTTGTTCTCTTCACATTTGCTTCCGTTTCATTCACGGCAATGACTGGGACACCAAAACAAACGGCTACAAAAACAGCTGATCAATCATTCATTAAATTGTTTTATACGTTTCTCTATAAATCTATACTTATAATATATTACATTGCACCCACAATCCGGTGGGCAGCGGCGGTTTGAGACATAGGGTCCAACGTCAGGGTGCAGGGTTGTCGAGTCCCAGTTGAAAACATCCTTGAACAGTTTGTATTACCAGTAAAAAGGGCTTCGTAACGCACCACCTGAGCTAAAAAGGTGAACAGCATTGGAAAACCCATTTTACACGTGGAATCAAAAGAGGGGGCTGCGTCCTTCCAATTTCCTTGTAAATTTCAAAAACTGTTTGTCATGAATGGGGGGACAAGATGTTCCCTTCAGTGACGTGGGCTCCAAAGTCGTAGCTTTTTAACGCCTTTTCACACGGGGGCCTTTGCCCTCAGCCGCACAGTGTGAGATGTTCCAAGACTTGAGGATAATTCAGGTTGTAAAAATGTAGGTGTCGCAATTACAGCCTTAACCATAACGCCACTAAAGAGACAAAGAACAACGCTTTTGAGCGAATGCACCTTCTCAAATCTGAAAAGAAGGCGAGAAAAGAACATTGGTGTATGATAAAAAGATAGCTGACGATGAATATTTCCATATTTCAATTGAAATGATTTGATTTGACGGCCAGCTGTGGACTACATACACATGTTAATACGACTGCTGTGCTACTTGAATAAATATGGGACTAAGCCTACTACTGCTCTCTAGGTTTCTACACCACCGTTACTGTCACTCATCAATCCACCGGCGGGGTTTGCGTTTGGACATTCAGGGTGGGTGGGGGGGTAGGAGAGAGGGGGCGGGTTCTCCACCGTATTGACTTACTGCAGTGGGCGGCCTTGTCGGCGAGCTGTCGCTACAGGAACAGCTCTGGCTAATCGTGTCTCGGAAGATGTCCAGCATCGGCCAGTGCTGCCGCCCGGTCAGACTCCGAGGCAGAGACTGCACGTCGATGGAGCGGCGGGTCGGACAAAAGGGAAAGTTAAGAGGTTCCGCCGGGTTAAAAACTCCCATTTCCCCCGTCACTAAACCCGGAGACCTGAACTGCTTTTTTTTCCTCAAGTACACAGCCAGTTCCAGACACGATGACAACTATGATCTATGACTATGAGAGTGCACAAAATACCCAATTGTTGTAGACTAGAGAAGTTGCAGCGAGACCACCGAGGACGAGTCTCCTAGAAAAGCAAGCAGAACCCCTAAAAGAACTCACGTAGAAGGCCCTGTTCCCGTAAAGAAGAGCGTGTCAGGAGGACTCTAGTTGAAGATGATAGAGATTCTCTTACTGACGGTGGAGACTTTGTTGACAGAACTTGCCACTGATCCCAGGTCATCTTTATCAAATGGACTGACAAGAGTGGGGGGAGACAAAGAGCAAATTAATAAATATAATGTTAAAGGTACAACGAGGAACTCATTCTATGTTGATTTTGACGTCATTTTACTTTTACTACCCGTTCTCCCTTGGACCTTGGCCTCCTTGTGATTTTACACAGAATCAAACTTCTGGGAACCGCTGACATGCATTCAAAATAACTACATAGAAATCTACTCTCCAATGACCTTGTTTACAGACGAAGGCGTCAGTATGCAACGGAGACCGATTTATAACACGTCAAAACTTTAAGAAATGTTCTTAGTAAACTCAACAGCGCTTCATATTATTGACCAACAGTAGATTCTCAGTACGCTGAAATCATTGTTGGCCAAACTTACTTCCAGGTGACTTCAAGGCTCAGTTTAATAGTCCCAAGGTCATTAATGTCCACGGCAACCGTCTGGGGGAGGGCAGCAAACAGGTCTTTGGTCTCGCAGCAAACACTCCCCACCGCCACGTGATTGGCTAAGCCCTTCAGCTCCGTCACCTAGGAGACGACAGGAACACGATCAAAAGCGTTGGCTGCCCTCGACGGGGGGTCGGTCGCTCGGGCCGAGGCCGCTGCGGCGTGTCAACGCACTCAGTGTTGAAGGTAAATCTGTGTGATGGGCACAAGGGGGCGATACGGAGTATTCACGCCGTCGTTAAGGACTGACCTTCACAGAGAGGAACTCACTGACGAGCGGCACGAACGCCGTCTCCTCGCTGTCCCACACCTGCTTGCCGTTGAGCTCTATTCTGCCCCGGAGCTTCCACCGCTGCCTGCCGAACTTCATGAAGACCTGAAAAAACGCGTCACGCAGACGTCTCAGACGCGCCGGTTGACGCCTTTTCACGCGAGGCCTTTGCCCTCAGCAGCACAGTGTGAGATGTTCCGAGGCTTGAGGGTAATTCGGGTTGTACAAATTGTAGGTCTTGCAATTCCAACCAGACGTGCCGGTCGTCTGCCCACCTACCTCACATGGTTTCCTGAGTCAATTTGAATCAATCTATTTTTCATGAGTAAATGTGGTAAAACCTTTTAACCAGTTAAAAGTTCCTTAACAATAATGCTATAATTATAATAACAATAGACAGATACAAAAATAACAGTATGAACACAAGACATAAGGAAGTTAATCATTACGTCATTTCGAATGTTTATTTATTGTGTTATAATTTGTATTATGATTTTTTGTGTGTTCATAACTCAGTATAGTATAAGATCCTTGGTATTCGGATTGGTTTGGCTATTAGAACAGATCAGAGAAACTAACCTCATACTGATCACCAGCACACAACCTGGCGAATCCCGCCAGACCTGAAACACAAATGGAAACGGATATCGAAACGTTTGGAGCTTCAAACACACCGTTCTTCTTCTGCGTCTTAGGTCATTCTAAGGCACCGATCTATTGTGAAGAGATTCGTTTTCATAACACGTCCGTGGAGGTGGTTAGCACGGTCTCCTCACAGCAAGAAGGTCCTGGCTTCTAGTTTATGATTATCATTACATCTGATTTACTTCTGATGACGGGGAAGTAGCTACATTTTGTTTTAATCAACACACCGTATCACTGTATGAAGAGGGACATGTGAGGATTTGTCCTGACGAGGAACCCGGCGCGTGAACCAACCCGGGCCGTGGTTCCTTCTTACCTTTCATTCGGATGTGGAACTCCCCCAGCTGGTTCTCCAACTCGCTCTCCAACAAACACATGTTCTGCAGAGAGGGAGACTTTTTATCCATTTCTACAAATACGAATTGAAGAGCTTTGGTTTGTAAATCCACTCCTCATTTATCTCCCTTCGCTCTGTTTCCGCGACCGTTTCTCCACCGTCTCAGTTTGCGTCCTCACCCTCTCTCCTCCGTCCCCTTCGTCTTACCTCCGTGTACTCTTTGTATCCTTTATTGGCTTCCGCTAAACTTTCTTTGGCCTCCTTGCTGATTTGCGAGGCATTGAAAGCCTTCGCCAGCTTGTTGGCTCCGTCCCGAAGTCTCCTCTGCAGGCAGTAGGCTTCGTAGAGCTCCTCGATCTGGGGAAAGAGGGGCGAGAGGGTACGTCCTTCTACCCGATGAAGCCTTGCCTTGAGGCAGGTTGGAACGTTCAGCAATTTCAACCATTACACCCAACGCTATGCAAAATGTTTATATAAAGTCATTGCATTCAGAGACTTGAAAGGGAGAGTTTGGGGGATTCGAAGTGGGGGTGTTGTCCGCTGACAGCAAAATGTCATTTTGTTGGGATTTCACGGTGGAAGTAGGCCTCAAATGCAGACCGGGTCTCAAACAAAATCACTTCTTCATAACTGAGATGCCTCGGGAGCAAGCAGGGAATACAACGGCTGGGAAGCAGGAACATCAGAGCTCAGCATCAAAAACCAAAAATGACAAACAGACCGACCACAAGACACGGGAAACACATGGTTTGAATACACTGAGGAGGCGCAGGTGATTGGACACAGGAGGGAACAAGAAGGGACGAGGCAGACAGGCAGGAAGGGAATTTAACCCAGGAAATACAAAGTAAAACAACCCAAGCACCCCAACGGATCTCATAAAGGCCCCGGCTAAAAACACGATATACACGCTTACTGCTTTGTCTTTCCAACAAGCAACTAAAGCCATTATTTTGCTCTCTTCGGTGACAAAACCAGTAACCAGTAACCAGTAACGGACGGCTGGTTTCGCTGCGGCTAGTTAGTGTGTGTTATTGTGTGACTTTGAGGTTTCCTAAAGGGTCTGTCTAATGTCGCTCGATACAACAGCTAGAAATCTGTTTCACATGGCACACACTTTCAACCGGTATTGATATCTTTGGTTGCTGACAGTGGTGTACGACCCAAATCTAAACCAAGCGGTCTTTACTCAAAAACTATTGTGGGGTCATTTTTGGAATGAAATCATGAGCAGGCTTTGTTTGAGGGGGATCGCGGTGGTCTTACCTTGCTGAGGTGAAACTCCAGTCGTCTGATGTACCGCTCCGTCACCTTCACTTGCTGCCAGAGGGAAGCACAAAGTCACAATCTAATTTGCAACACAAACGCAGCTCTTTGGAAATGTGCACTATACTGAATTACGTCAACTACAGGTGAACATGGGGGACGGTGTTGAATTTGCATCCATCACATTCCCGATACAATATTCCCGAGCGGCAAAACAACTTTTGCATATTAGTGGCGTGAGCGATAAGATTGTGATCCGCTCAGATTCCCCCCCCACAGCTCAGCCCAGTAAGGGGGAACCTCTACACAATTTCACGCTGATCTAATTTGTGATATGGCGCGTGAGTTCCATGATCCGTCGCTGTGTTACATCCTACGTACGGAGTGGTCTCAAGTCTCCCCGAGCGGAGAACGAGGTCGTTCTCCTTTCTGCGTACGTCGATTTAAAAACAAATCGATACGCTCTAATTTCCGTAATGAGCACTTTGTTATTTTTAACTACCGTAATTAGAAATGAAGGCATGTCTCTGATGTACCCCCCCCCCCCCCCTTGACTCTCGGCAGTTGAGATAAGAACAGTACCTTGCGTAAGGATTCCACCACCCTGCAGAGCTCACGTGCCAACACGCATAGTACTTTGAAAGTGCAAAATACCTTTTATTATAGTGACAATCGACAACGACGACAAAAAAGTTGTTGGATGCATAAGTATTCACCCCCCTCCCCCGACCACCCCACCCCACTTTCTTCTCGGCCAAAGCTGAAGCTCAGTCAATCAGTTTGGATGGAGGTTAAGGGGTTGAAGACATATGCGCTCAACATATGACAAAATGTAGAAAATGGGTCTGAAGGCCGGATGCGCTGGATGGAAGAATTCTCTGTAGCTCACCTTGTCCAACTCATAGAGGAAACCCTGTGGAGGCAGAGAACATCAGGCTATCAGTGTCTCACGTTCTTTCATTTAGTGACACAATGTAATGTTCACCTTTGAGGATAATTGGTATTTTCCTTCGTCATGTCTAGTAGACTGAATGCCACAGGTTGAAACAGCACACGCATAATAGCAGAGCGGTGTCTAAATCAGACAGAAGACGAATCTGGGTTGTGCTTTGAGTGCTGAGCCACACGGTGTGGTGAGAACATACCAGCCTCGAGTTCCTTTTTGATTCTTTCATCTGTCGGCTGAGGCTGTCCGACTCCATCTGATGAACCTGCAGGTAGGACCTGAGAGAATAAACACACAAACAAACGCGCAATGACAGACGTATCAAAGTGTAAGCGATTAGGGTGAGGCTCGCTCAAGATACTTTGGAGTTCTCACGAGGACTAAATCCACAAAATTTCCACCACAGCTGATTTCCTTACAAGAAACAACAGGGGTCTCAGAAACTTTGCCTGCACTCGTTACAAGAGCAAAGAAAACTGAATGTTTTAATTTGTTATTTATTATTGCTGAAAAGCACAAATTTTATTTATATTTCCAGGTTTTATTTTGTTTTGCAGCATGTTCATATTTCTAACTTGTATAATTTTGACAGGGGATATTTTTATGGAGAGTAAAATAATTTGGGATATTTAAAATCTAAGTTTTTTTTAATATAAAATGACAAAAGCAAAGAAATTCAAATGTTTTGATTTGTTATTTTAATGTTTACTTCGATCACAAGCAGTGTCACAACTTTTATTAATTTTTTCAGGCGTTTTTTTGCAGCATGTTCATATTTCTAACTTGTATAATTTGGACTGGATATATTTTTATGGAGAGCAAGATAATTCAAGTTATTTAAAGTTTAAGTTTATTTATTCCAGAATAACATTCCTGTCGGTTTGTATTTATATAAAAAGAAACATTTAGTTTTAGTGTGTTCAATAAATGTTTATCCTGTTCGGCCGACCTGAAGTGTGTTTTGAATTTTGTCCCCCTGTGCAATTGAGTTGGACACCCCTGGTCTATCGTTTGGAACGGTGTGCAGCATTATTTGATTGGTTTGTGATGGGTCTCTCTTATGAGATGGTATGTGGCAGAATAATCAGGGTTCAACAGGGAGAGCCCTCAAAAAAGGGGACGTTGTGGGCTTATGAGGTTTTTAAAGGTCACATTATTGTAGAAAGTCAGGTTTGTCTGTCCCTTTGAAATAAAACAGCAGGTCAAGGTGCTACATGAGGACCAGGAAAAGTATCCGGCTCAATCCGAACAGCCTATATTCAGACACTGTAACCCAGCAGTCAGGACCGTGTGACGGTGTACTCACTGAAGGCCTTTCTTCAGGGCCTCGTAGATCTGGTCCAGGCGCTCCGGTTGAGGGACCTTGGGTGGTGGGTTGGACTTGGTGGACAGGTTGAACATTCTACTGGCTCTGCTGGGCTTCCTGCTGAGAGCTGGAGCGCTGAACACCGAGAGGTTCCTGCAACATCAGCAGGATCATCCTTTAAACATCCCCTCCTGACATCAGCGGGATCCAACTCGGTTTTCATTTGACAGCATTGTCGTATCACACATTGACACTATATCAGTCTGCGTCTTCAACATACATTTATACACGTTATAATGATTATTGATTTTTATGATTATATAAGTTACCCTATTTCAACACAGCGCTTTCTCGTTACATCCAATTGTTACATCCAAATTACCAATTTACCATGGTAAATTGATAAATTGGTATGCCGTACATATTCTTATGTTTGTTGTTTAAATTAGTTATCCAGTAAACAGATTTATTGCAACAACAAAACAATAATTATTTTCCAGCTTCATATTTTGTATCGTCAAAGAAAGCCGTAGAGGAATAGTATGTGCCACGGTTATCCTGGACGGGAAAGTACCAGTTGTCCCAGTCAATTGAGTCCCCAGCCAACAACACAGGGGAATGTGAAAATATTTCACTTATTAATAGCAACAAGGAGGACATTTAGGTGGAAAAAAAGAGGTAGAGTCTCTGAGCACCAGTTCCTTTAACATTGTTATAACACTACATATGTATTTGTATTAGTGATTAAACTTATTTCTAACAAGAACCAACATATGTCAGTACAAATTTTAAATATTGTGTGAAAAGTGAAAGTGAAAAGCATCTCAGCATATTTTTATTACAAGTGGCAGCAATAAACTGCTATCGTTCCAGTTTATGCCCTGAAACACTATACGAAACATCTTGATTCTTCAAGGTTAAATTATGATAATCCATATTGGACTATTTCTCAACTGCATGAACACACAATTTCTCTTAGGGCATTTGGGGGATGTAGTGGCAATCGTCCCATTGTTCTGTAATCCACATTACCACTACTGTTGCCGTCTTGTGTGTTGGCACCAAGCGTGACGCTCCGCAGACCGATTAACCTGGACTGAACCCTACCGGCTCTGACGTGGCCAGTCGCCTCACTAAAGGAGCACTTCAACATTTCTCTTTACTAAATCACCAAGAACTCTAAGATGTCTCTTTAGAGGGGATATTACATTGACTCATACATATTCTGGAGGCTTAACTCAAAGATGACCCAAACATCCCCTTTTCAATAGGGTACATTTTGGTCTAAATTGGAGAAGCCAATCCCGTTTACCACGTCTTTAGCCCAAAATGTGTCCCTAAAAAGGTATTTATGAATACAACCACATCCAGGCTGTCTCTTGAGATCCAGCTGACAGATGTGCACCTGTAGGTCTTGTCGTGGGTGTTGACTCCAGTGAAGCTCTGGCTCCTAGTGATGGATCTGGAGGTGAGGCGCCTGGTTGGGCGAACAGACAGCGACATGGTGGAGAGGGATCGGGACGGGCTCCCTGCACAGAGGGGAGGAGAAGAACCATCAATAGGCTGATGACAACAGAACTTTACACCCTGTCGCGTTTTGGTCAGTCTACCGATCTGATGGGCGGTTCTGGGATTGGCGTGACGTCAGCTCCCGTTACCCCTGAGAGTTGATTCTGTTCAGACTTCCCTCTCTGGGTTTCCCCCCTCAGACTGATTTGGAGTTAACGCGCCGCTCATATATTTAAGCGTTTTCAAATAAAACTGCGTCCATATGAAGCAAATATACTGATGCGACTTCTCCAAACTAAAAGAAGAATCTTGTTATACCAAACCAGAAAGGGCCGTTGAAAACACCATCTATTGTTTTGTGATGGTCAGCATCCAGTGGGTCAATGACCCGTTTCCTGCTGGAAACACTGACACATTTGACGAGAATAACCCGGCCTGGTACGATGACGCCCTAAACGTTAGTCACTTCAGTACGCTGCCACCTATTCTACGCCGTACACGTCTGTATGCGATCTCATTCTCACTCCAATTGACACAAACTCATCCTTGAGTGTATTAACAGTGATTCACTGTGTGACCAGTATGTCCCATGTCCTAATCGGAAGCACAAAAGCAGATTAAACAAAAGGCAGTAGGATTTGTAAAAGGCAGGGCTGATCATCTTCATCAAAAACACTTTGTTATATTTGATGAAATTACCATTGAATCCTGACAGCAATCATTCAATTAAATGCTCGGACAAAAAGTGAAGTATTTATGTCTTTATGGCTGTTGTTACTCAGATTTTTTTACAAGCAGCTAGCTTTACAGGTTGAGTGTTAATTCACTGCCATGTCGAAGGACCACTAGACTCAGCAGCTGTTGGAGCTGGTGCTGATAGATGCTTTCATAAGAAAACAGTCCAGAGAAAACATCTCTGGACTGGGTTTTTGGTTGGGTAATAAAAAAAACAACACACTAGCTACTTCATCAAGATTACCTTTATTAACATTGCCTTTGAGCAAAACCAACATGGCCGGGCGGCAATCGATCAGCCACTGAGTGCTAAGTGGTCGATATTTAAAGGCCAAACACAAGAGCGGATCAAATGATGAACAATGCCTCTGATATGGTTTCGGTTGCGTTGGAGACTGTGTGGGGGGGGCGTTTCGCATCACTATCATGTCCGTTATAATAGCTGCCACTCAAAGCGACAGTGGTTGATATCTGGATACATTGTGACAATTGTTTTGTTTTTTTATGTCTGTTGCCAGGAGCAGTGGTTTGTTGTTGTGCGTCAGCGGTTAACTTGTGTCAGCTAAAGCAGCGTTTTCCTACTGGGGCTGACACAGTGCCTTGCATCCTGTTTAAAGCCCCATCCACTCCCCTCGTAGCGCAGGAAATGTCACAATCCCAAAGGAAGGCGGATGCAACTGCTTCTCCGGACAGGAAATTGGACAAAGGGAGACAGACCTGAGGGCTGCAGCCATCGGGATGAAGAGCAAAAGGTCAGTTGAACGGAATCACAAGGGATGTGAAGAATTCTTTTCATTGATTGTTGTACAACTTTCATGTCGAAGTTCAAAGACCGTTTGAATGAAGAACAACTATAATTTGACTCTTAATTCACAGAAAAGGTATTGAAATACTAAAAACCCAGTAACCCGAGGTAAACGGGAGTAAATGCGATCACTTACTCCTACCAAAGAATGTGTTTATGTGCAGTGGGACAGCGGTCAACCAGTTGTTGACTTAACCCAATTTAAGTCCTCTCATAGAGGAGCTAGAGGGGAATAGAGAGATAAAGGAAGACCGCACAGTTCCGAGAGAGAGAGAAGCACCCTGACGGAGACGCACAGCGGAACGGTCCGGTCGGACATCCCATTCAGGCCACTTCCCCCCTTTTGAGTTCATGCCATATCACCGTGTGCTGTCACAGAGGTTCAGCGTCTCTATGAGAGTGCCAACCCAGTGAGTGACAATAAGGAGTCTCTCTTAAGCATTTGGATCTTATACTCAATGAGTTTCCCAGCTGGTATACGTCGTTGCACGACACTTTTATAATAATGACGGAGCCAGATTCTCTTTGGAAAGAGAGTCAAAAATAAGGCAATTCTAAAACCGCAGGTTAATGCTGTTGATGTTCGTTCTGTGGATTGGAGGGACTTTACCGCATATACTGAAGCTGGGGTGGTTAACGTATTAGGTGCATGCATCATGATAGAATAAAGGCTTAACGACTGAAGACAGTGACGGATGGACGAACAGATGGAAGTAATCAAGCCTCACAGATGTATTAAAGCTGCAGGTAGCCCGAATTGGGGATCCCAACGACTAAAAAGTGACTTTTTGAGAAGAAGGTAAACTATGTTAATTCGATTTGGAGAAGAAAAAAAACAGATGTCAATAAACTATAACCAGAAACTGAGTGCCACCAGTACTGATAAAGTACGTCTTTCGATACCCGTCATGTGAATGGAATCTGTTTGTGCGCTGCTGGCTCGATAACCTCTGCCTCTTTGCACAGCGCTAGTACAGTTACCACTGACCATTCAGCTTCTGGTTTTATATAAACAGCACAAGAAGAAAGTCAATTTCTGTTTGATAGATTATTTCTCAATTGTAACAATGTTTATTGGCAATACAATTTGTGGGATGAGCAGCAAATATCCTCTGGCAATGCTTGTTGTGCTGTTGACTCTGGTTTGGTGGGTAAGATGACTGAAGTCTCATGAAACAAAGCATATTGGCAAATCTACAATTACTTAACCACAAGCCCCAGTAGCGCAGAAGAACCATCCACAGCCACAACCTGGGCACCAGCCTGGTCACACGGTACTAGTGGGATGGCATCCGAATCAGCCAATGTGGTTGTGTTGGTCACTTTGGCACGATCGGCCCACCCAGCCTCATCGCACAAGTGTTCAATGGAGTTGAATCTTCCAAACAAGAGTTGACGGCAGAATAAGCGGTTTGGCTTTGGCAGAGAAGATTGGGCCGAACTTCCATGGGCGCAACCCACACGCTCGGCTGCTCATCCCACAAGTGTTCCTTAAGGCTGTGCCACCATTTAAAAGGGAAACATACAGGCTCTCCAACTATTTTCTAGTATAAGATTTTCTTTTTGTGCTGCGTTTAGATCAGTGCACAGAAAGGGATTGATTGCATATACTCTTTGTCTGTGGAAGTTGGGGTTACTGTGGTTGATACTTTAAAAAAGGTACCAAACCGCTGGATCCAGAGAACCGCACCCTTTCCAGTCACCTCATACCCTTAGTGGATAAATGTTCTACAGTCTTCCCACACTGACGACAGGAGCTACCACACATCCACACACAGGAGTCACAGCTCCAGGAGCAATGTTGGGTTAAAGTGTCTTGCCCAATGACACTCTTCAAAAAGGCACCAACAGAAAACCGTCACCATTGACAAAGACTGGAAGAACAAAGCATCCCACTTTCTGCGCAGACACCAGAAAGGTTTTAACAACAAACCATCTCTTCTCCAGCGACCTTCCGATGTAAGCAGAATCAGGAGCCAGTGTGCGCTTTACAAAAGATTACTTTTTTACCATTACGGACCATTTATTCCCTTTACGTTGACCACTCTCTATAAGAGCAAGGCGCTGGGAACCAACACTGTCACATTAACCTAATACAACCTATGCATATATGTATCTATACACATTTATCCTGAATATCTACCGTGTGCCAATGTTTACGAAACTTCATTTTACATGCACATGCTTTGCATTTTTTTAACACGCGTGTCATCTTCTGGTTTTGTAGTTGTCCCTCCGTAGTAGCGTTAGGCCCCCGTCTCTCTGTCCCAGTCCCCGTTCGGACAGAGCAGCGGTAGTCGGCACACTTCTCTCCCTTTCCTGTCCCGTAGGAAATCTCTCGCCTTGTTATCAGACTTTCATGAGCTGATCGATCTGCGTCCCATTTAGTTTAATGATCCATTACCTCTGTTTAAGCTTCATCTACCTGAACTTGCACAGTTAAAACACATACTTTTGCGGTCCCTACCTGATCCAAACAGCGCCCCAGTTCAGCCCATTGACAAAAGCGCATCCCGGTAACACCATCTAGTCCGCTCCGAGCCGCGCACTCGGCCTTCCATACGCCTCTGTGGTAAACGAGTGTGTGACACCGCGACTATTGTTTGATGCTCCCCCGGCCTCACCCTCCCAGACCATTCTGGAAAAATCAGCTGCGCAGGACCCAAACACAGCCCATCACCAAGCAGGGTGTCCACGCACACACACAAAAGCGCAGGGTTGCCCGAGGGTTGGATATGAAGGTATTCATTTGATGAATAATCATGGTACACTTACTGACCTACTCATGGCGTCTACGATTCCAGACCAGAGAATTATTTAACAACCATAACAGTGTAGACACCACTAGCAGGAAGTTGGAGGGAATAGACTGAGTTTACTGTTCATTCTCCGTCTCCTGGGATGAACCGTAACTCGCGTTGAGGTCACAAGATTGTTTGGAAAATCCCCATAAATCCAAGTCCCCTTTATTTGCCCTTCATGTAATTTACCGGATGCGAAATTAAGCAGGCCAGAAAGTAGGGACTGCCAATATAAACTCATGTTTACAATGCTTACTGATCTAGTGAATCAAGTGAGAGTTGATTTACTCATGGACATTTCAGAGGATCAGACGCAAGATCCCTAATTAGGAGCATTTGAATTGATGTCACACTGGCAGCTCATAGCGAACACGTCTCATAATGCCATCTGTTTTCATGAAGCCAATGAAGTGAGTTGATTATTTGGGGCTGGATCTAGCCGTTAGTCTGGTCTGGGTCTGCAGCTGGAGAAGCTTGCCAGAGAAGACGGTCGCATCCTCCTCTATAGTGAATCAACCTGTCAAATCATGAAACATGCGTGTTTGCTGTGGAAATACCTTCAGTCGAGGTATAAAAAGGAGGATAATGAGGGATATTCTACCTGGAACTAGAAAGGCACCTGTAAGGACCTGACAGATGTTAACAGACTTATTGAGACCCAAACTAGAAGTTGTGACTGTAGAAATAACACGACGAGAACGGACTGAAACACGTATGGTTTGTCCTGCACGCTAAGCAAGGTGAACGAAGGGTCAGTTGAACATAGTCCTCCCTTCACAAAAACACGGCTACAAATACACCCCCACGCTGAGTACAGTTTCTCAACTCCCTCCCCCACATTACTTTCCTTAGGAAAAGGAAACCCAAGGGGGAGTAACTTCCTGCATGGAGGGCAGGGTCAGTTTATGGCTGTAGTGAGACACAGGAATAACCCACCAGCTACGGAACAAACACGCTAGATAGCTTCCACCAAAAGGACACTAGTGTTTGAGAACACAATGAAGCTGGGAGCAACATGCTATCAGAGCCTAGCATGCCTCAACCTTCTTGGAAAGAATGAGATGAGGAGATTGACGCTAGTATGCAGAGTTCACACATCAAAGGGTGTTTACAGCTGATAGCTGAGAGTTTGACTGCACAAAAAAAAACTCAATGCAAATAAGGAAATGTGCAAATCCCCACATACAGAAACCCTCCTATTTATATTTGGTCTAAACTTTCGACTGCATCTGTACTCTTAAACATGTCTGCAGGTATAGATGAAAACAAGGCTTAAATGTATCTTTAAAACTCTTTTTCTGGATGGTGCAAAGTGTTGCAGTTACTTCATATTTACATCAGCCGCGCCTTCTTCTTTTTCCGTGTGTGTGTGTCTGTGTGTCTTTTTTGCGGGACTTCAACCGGATTACACTTCCTCCTCACCCAGCTGCTTTCCATCATACCATCGCTGCACAGCATATCTACCCTGGTTTCTCGTCCACACAAGCGTTGTGCGGCTGATCAGCAATTCCTGTTTTCTGAGAATGTTCCAAACTGCTCAAATCGATTGACCTCCGTCGCTGTTTATCTGTTTATCTTCCCATGTCTACCTGCCTCTGCTTTATCTCCCTCACTCGCTGGTCTGTGTTTGCGCTTGGGTCTGCCACCACAACAACACACCACCAACACACCACACACCGAGACAACACACCACCAAACACAACACAACACACCAACACAACA